GATAACTGCACAGTTATATCAAAGAACATAATTGTCCTAATAGTTTTAATTGTAGTATTTGGAAGAGAAAACATGTCATTAAAAGAATTTCTACAAAGTCCCTACATCTTTGTTTTCACCAATGAACAGTGTTGCGTCTATGTGTTAGCAGAAATGATCCAATATCACCTTTAGCAAAATCCAGAAAAGCTTTAAATCACCCCTTTTTTCAAACTTTAATTGTCTGAACAAACCATTTTGTACTAAATGCAGCGGTCCATTAAAAGCTGCAGTTCTCTTTCTAGCACAGTTTCAATGTGCATGTGACTGTTTTTAAATAATTAAGAACCCGGTTCACAAGGTTGAAACACTGCATTTAATATCCGTATTACCAAGATCATGCAGTAAAAATCAATAATTCTAATCTTCTCCGCGTCTATAACTTTAAATAATACTAGTTTCAATATAGAGCTCCTCTACCTTAAATAGACGCTGTTATAATCTCCTTGTGTCTCATGTAAAGCAAGAGTTTCTAATTAATTCTAACGGATTGTCCTGTATTCTTTCATGCAGATAAATCGGTGGTGTTATGAACGAAATGACCTAGCTAAATGAGTAATATGACTTTAATATGTCTCTGTGCGTTTGTTGCATGTCTGTATATTTCTTCTGTGTGGATCATTTTAGGCCAGCCACTCTCAAATGTCCGTTAATGTCTTTCTTTTACTCATGCGTCTTTCAATGTCTTTTGTCTCAAAGTGTCAATGTCTATGTCTCATGACTTTTTCCTTCTTTCTTTAAACAATCACTTTCTTTATTCTTCTTTCAATATCACTTCTTTTTTCTTTCAATCCTTTACATGTCTTTCTTAGTCTCAGTGTGTGTCCTTCTTCTTCTTGTTAGGTTTACACAAGTTCTCTCGTGCACATAAAATCACCGGTTTTGTGCAAAAGTCTGGTTCTTCTCCATGAAATGGAGGCCGGAGAGGTCTTTTCGAGAGTTCTGTTAGCAGCTGCCGCCGATGCTGCAGTCTTTGCTGCCCCCCTGTGGGTGAAACGGGGGGGAGACGCAGATTGTCCGTGCTGATGGCGCCGATTGAGGTCTTGTGGCAGACGATTTTGGCCAAATGAGACAGACAGAAGTTTTCTCGGAAAAAACAGACAACAAGAAGCACAAACAAGTGTGTAAATTACCATACGAAACCAATGATTCAAATTACAATTCAAAATAAACCTATGAAATAATTATATAAACATTTTAACATAAAAATTTGAAAACCAATTATCATTCAACTGCTATCCTAAGCCCTCTACTTTTTCCAAAAAGTATAATGCTCTATAAGATCATTTTAATTTTATATCACCAAAATGTAGGGAAAAAAACTTGTCCGATAAAAAATAAAAAATAAATAATGCCTCTTTGTAATTCTAACTCAAAGTTCTGTGATCCTATGACTCCATGTCAGTAACTTTATCGTGTGTTTATATGTAATTTACATACAAAAATTCTTTCTTCACGAGAGAGATGAGAAAGACAGATGAGATGGGAGAGAGAGAGTAGAGAGTGAGAGAGAGAGGGGAAGGGGGAGAGAGAGGACAGAACGAGGAGGGGAGGGGCGAGTGGGCTTGTATGCCTCAAGCATTTTTCAGAGAGGGAGCCAGGAGGGAGAAGGAGGGGCTGTGTGGTTTCTCAAACAGAGGGTGTACATGTACGATGAAAATACACCCAATTCATGAACATCCCCTTTAACATTGCTACATTTTCCTCGTTTTTTATTGGCGTGACAATGTTTTATCAGTGGGTGAGAGTTCTCTCCGTCAAACGATTTAATTATTTAAATACGTCAGTAATGGGAAAAACATTACATTTGCGTACTGATTAATGTATCGAGGGTTCCAGCAGAATCTTTTTTTTTCCTGTTTCTGTAACTATCGCAACATTAATCAGGTTAGCAAATTGTAATGTTTTCCATTACTGGACGTATTTAATAAATGTTTAAAGTGTCGTTGAGTGAGAGAACTCTCACCACTGATTAAAACATTGTCACGATAAAACAACGAGGGAAATGTTAGCAAATTTTAAAGGGGATGTTCATGAATAGGTGTATTTCAGTCGTTACATGTACTCTTGTTTGGAAACCCACACAAGCCCTCCTTTCCCTCCTGGCTCCCTCTCTGAAAAATGCTTGAGGCATACAAGCCACCGGCCCCTCCCTCCCTCGTTCGTCTCTCTCTCTCCCCTTCCTCCTCTCTCTCTCTCTCTCTCTTCTCTCTCTCTCTCTCTGTCTTTCTTTCTCTCTCGTCCCCTGAAGAAAGAATTTTTTGTAGCAAATTATCTATATTAACACACGATAAAGTTACAGCCCATGGAGTCATAGGATCAGCAGAACTTTGAGTATAGTTAAAAGAGGACATTATTTATTTTTATTTTTTATGCTGGACACGTTTTTTTTTCCCTTACATATCTGGTGATATAAAAGATAGAATGATCTTAGAGAGCATTATACTTGTGGAAAAAGTAGGGCTTAGGATAGCAGTTGAATGCAGGGAAAAAAAATTGGGGGTTTTTTTTCAGAATTTAATGTTTTTAAAATGTTTAATATTAATTATATCATAGGTTTCTTTTGAATTGTAATTAATCATTGGTTTGTTATCTTATGGTAATTCAACACACTTGTTTGAGCTTCTTGTATGTCTGTTTTTTCCGAGAAAACTTCTGTCAGTCTCAATGGCCAAAATCGTTTCTGCCACAAGACCTCAATCGGGCGCATCACACGGACCATCTGGTCTCCCCCGTTTCACCACAGGGGGGCAGCAAAGACTGCAGCATCGGCTGCAGCAGCTAAACAGGAACTCTCGAGAAGACCTCTCCGGCCTCCATTCAGGAGAAGGATCCAGACATTTTGCACAAAACGAGTGGAGATTATGTGCACGGAGAAAAACGTTGTGTAAACCTACACGAAGAAGAAGGGGACACACACTGAGAAAAGAAAGACATGAGAAAGTGATTGAAAGAAGAAAGAAGGTGATTATTGCAAGAAGGAAGAAGAAAGTGATTGTTTAAGAAGAAGGAAAAAGACATGGAGACAAAGACATTGAGACACTTTGAGACAAAAGACATTGAGACGCCATGAGTAAAGAAAGACATTAACGGACATTTGGACGTGGTGGCCTAATGAAGCACAAGGTAAATATACAGACAGGGCACCAAACGACGAGAGACATATTTAAGTCATATTTACACATTTAGCTAGGTATGTTATCAACACCAAATTTAGTGCATGAAGAATTACAGGAACAATCGTTAGAATATATTAGGATCTTGCTTTAGCATGAGACACAAGGAGATTTAGAACAGCAGTTTATTTAAGGTAGAGGAGCTTCTATTATTGAAACAGTATATTAAAGTAATAGACGCGGAGAAGTTTGAATTATGATTTTAAAACTGCATGGTTAGTTCACTCTAAAAAAGAAAAGTAAGTTTCTAATATAAAAAAAAATAAACATGTTAATATAATTTCTATTATATATATATAATATAACATAATATTCATTGAACATTTGACCAGATGTGGATGGAAACTAATTTGAGCAGATATCCACACTAAAATATTAATCACATCACTAACAGGGCATAACGCCAACAGCCATTGGCCTCATGTGTAATTGTTAAGGTCTCACTTTACACACTAACTTCTTAGCTGACTGTGCCATTTATTTTATTTTGTGTGTGGAGCTTTAACCCTAGTCAGTATAATCATCGCGTTATAGTAATCCAATTTATTTATACAGCACATTTTATAAATTCCTTTTTTCTAAAGTGTAGCACAGAGCCATAAGTAACACATTTTAAAACAAGTCTGCAAAATGTAAATAAAATCAAATGAAAATAAAACAAGATTGTATTATTGTGTCCTTGTATCGTCTTGTGAATGTGTGCTTCATACTGCTGGTTCCCCCACAGGGATTGAATAAAGTAATCTAATCCACTATATACAAAACTGCCTTTTATATTGTGACGCTGCTGCTTGATAAACAACCTATGATCGTATTATTGACTCACACATTCCCTCCGCAGCTCATGTTTCCCTGTTACAAACATTCTCCAGAACAAATAGTGTTAAGTCTTGGAATCCAGCCATAAGTCTCGGCTCCTGCAGCTTTTCCCCTTTTCCACTGGCCCAAAGTCACAAAGTTTCCCTCTTAAAGCCGCCCACGGTCCACTCTTCTTCTAATCCGTCACACTGCGCAGGCTTCACAGAGCTAGAGTAGTGTGTGGTGCGTTTGAGTGCCATAGGAGATGCCAGTGCCTCTCATTAGAGACACTACTCCAATATAAATGGGAGATGATATGAGCCAGTGCCCTGGAACTCCGCAAATGACATTACACAGACGGAGCGACCACGACATTAATCAAACCAGACGTCCAAACACAAACTGGTGAGGCAGGAAATAAAAAAAAATGTAGCTTATGGAATTAGATTAAATAGTATGCCCAGAGACAAGTGGATATTTGGGGTAAGAAGGAGAGATGGACCATGTGTGCAAACTAGACCAATACCAACTCAAATAGACTATACCCAATTTCAAAACCATGGTGGAAAAAAAGTTGGGCAATGAGATGACATAACATAAATAGCTAATTCTAGTCCTTCAATGGTGCCAAAATATGTTATGCTACAGCACTGGTTAGACTAAAATCCACTAGTTTAGGAAGGTTTATTAGTCCCACAGTGGGGAAATTTCAGTGTTGTATCACAAGTTATAGAACAGTATAGGAAAGAGGAGCACACAGCACAAGACACATGAACAATAGCTATACTAATTAAAATATTGTTTCGCAGCTAAAGAGAGAATTCTTTACTATGGCTTTTTAACTCAAGCAATATTTAAATATATATTGATATTGTGTGTTGTGTTGTATTTTGTAATGTCTGGAAAGCACTTTTTGACAGTCATGTCTGTTTTTTAAAATGTGCTATATAAACAAACAGTGCCTTGACCTTGAATTAAAAAAAGATATTAGTCTTTCCCGCATCTGAGTTTGCTGAAGTTGGGCGCACTCTGTACAAACTCAGGACTGAAGGTCTGAAGTGTGAGCATATTTTGGATTTTTTAAAAGAATGCCGAGGGACTAACAAGGCTTTCTGAACCTATTCACTGAACTTAAAAATACAGAAAACAAGATCATTTTGGTCACAATAACCGTGAAGTTCAATTTATCATACCGTGACACCCCTAGTCAGCACGTTTTAAACCATGAGAGATTCAAATTCCTAAGTCGGACTTACAAGACAAAACTTTATTCCTACAATCTTGCAGCTCACTAGACCGGCCATAAAATAATGTATTTGTATTTAGTGAAGAGAAACAGAGGGAGGCCTTGTGTTTATGTAGTTGCCCAAAAGTTTATCTTATTAAAGTACAAGACTGAAACAAATCCATGCATGTCGTCACAGAAATCATTAAGTATTTACTGGACACAGTCTGGACAACATGACCGAAAGACTTTGACATTGTGATCGTCAATATAAACTTAGTTTTAAGCAGTGGAACCTCCGTCTTACACATCAATCATTCAGTCCATTGTCCCTGAAAGCTTCCTCCTCGTCTCTGTCCATCTCCTTCACTCAAATTGCTTTAATTATTTATCATTGCATTCAACAGCAGCATTATCGGCGCAAATCAATACAGACGGAACTAAAAACAAGAATCACTATAGTATTAGGGCGCTATTAAAGGCACACGGGTTTTCCGATGGAATCTTGATTGGACCATAATCACTCCCGGCTTTTAACACCATATCATCTCACAAACTGGAGGACGGACAGTTATAGGTCTCCCCATATGTTGAGATTAAATAACTCAGGAGGGCCATATGGTCATGTTAGTATTTTAAAATTCCTGGTCTTATTACTTCCTTTTGCACTGCTGTGTACTCGTTTTCTTTCCCAATTATCTTTGATTTATGACTTAATTTTGACTCGAGAGCCAGAAGCAAAGAATCTTTTGAAGTCATTGGGTCTATGAAATATCAGAATCATTTTTATTGCATGTAAGTAACAGGAGGTCACAGACTTGGAAATTGCTTTGGCTCAGTGCAACAGTCAGAAAGAGATAATAATAAAAAACACTTCTAAGGAATACATTTAAATTTAAAATAGAGTTACAGTTACTATTTACAATATACAAGTGCACATGGTGCACACAATGTAAGGTGACAGCAGTACAGTGAAGTAAAGTGACGTATGGATGGGCAGTAAAGTGACTTTATAAAGGGCGGGGGGACAGGTTAAGAGCAAGTGTTCAAGAGTCCAACAGCAGAGGGGAAGAAACTGTTCTTGTGGCGGGAGGTTCTAGTCCTGATGGGCCGCAGCCTCCTGCCTGAGGGGAGTGGTTGGAATAGTCCATGTCGCAGGGTGAGAGGGGTCGGCTGTGATACGACCAGCCCGGCCTCAAGCTCGGGCGACGTACAGGTCCTGCAGCGATGGAAGGCTGCGGCCGATCACTTCCTCTGCAGAGCGCACAATGCGCTGTAGTCTCTGTTTGTCCCTGACTGTGGCTCCAGCGAACCACACGGTGATAGAGGAGAACTTGCACCAACATCTGTGCAGGCAGCTTGGCTTTCCTGAGCTGCTGCAGGAAGTACATCCTCTGCTGGGCCTTCTTGATGAGGGAGCTGACGGTCGGCTCCCACTTGAGGTCCTGGGTGATGGTGGTGCCCAGGAAACGATAGGACTCCACAGAGGTGATGGGGGAGTCCATCACGGAGGGTGGGGGCGAAGGGACTGTGCTCTTCCTGAAGTCCACAAACATCTCCACTGTCTTCTGGGTGTTCAGATCCAGGTTGTTACCACTGCACCAGGACACCAGCCGGTCCACCTCCCTATGTGCCTCCAAATATGGAGGCACCTGCTTTGTGCCAAATATGGCACAAAGCAGAATAAAATGTCTTTAAGTCTAGTCTACAGAGTAACTCCATACTATTATCTGTAAATACTGTCTACATACAGTACAGTGGTAGTAAAGATGCTAGTTTGCGATAGTTTTAAACTAAAGAAAAAGGAAATTCTTATAGAAGCATTGTGGCATTAAATTTGAATAATAACTTGTATTTCAATAGGCTCAGATTTCAACCCATTTTTATCAATAAAAAAAAAATATATATCTAAAGCTGCTATGAAGGCTGAACCAAAGCTCTTAATTTTCGCACAAATATGAACAAACACTAGTGATTTTCATTTGAACACAATTCTGAGACTGCACACACCCTACTTGATTCACTATGTAGTTTCTACTTTATATAAAATTAAATTAAATTCCCATTCTAAAACATCAATTAGTAATACTAGAAAACACTTTCATTATCCTTTTTGATTGGCCAACATAACACATGATAATTATTCTTAGTTATATATTCTTCCTTAGGTACACACTCAAGAGAAAACAAAAAACAAGTATTCAAAGAAGCTAAATTCTTCAAATGACAGGATCTTATCAGTCCACAGTCACTCAATATGAAGTATGAGGCCAGTGGCTGAAGACATTTCTTTCTCTTTCAAATCAAACCAGAACAGAAGGAGGAATCTACGACTCCCTCTCTGTCCTTTGCCAGAACCACCCAGACACACATGGGATCCCTGTGGTCGGAGTAAAACTGTTGAATTCACTTTGAACCTGAAATTAAAAAACTCAAACATCCACATGCTTAAAAAGGTATATGGGAGGGTTTTCTTCTCCCAGGTCGGATCATCAAGACTATTGGTCCTCCTAGTTGTCAATCATTCTGGTGATATGTGAGACGTAAGGCTGTCGTACGTGATCGTCAAACAAGACCAGAGTGATTTTGGGAGATTCTTTCACACGATGCGCTGAAAGACCAGGTTGGACTTCCATAGAAAAAACATAGCGTAGATTTCTCTCTGCAAAGAAGATGTACCAAAAACATAATAAAAAATAAATAAATACTCTAAAATATACAGTTTATCCTCAAGTATACTCAGACCTCAACCTCCTCACACTCGCCTCAGGACCTTAACACCCCGAACCGTGGGGGTTCGAGCCTCACCGTAAGGTCGGCAGAGCCGCCCTCTCTTCTCTGGAACTCAACTCCCACATCACCAATCAGAAACTCCGACTCACGACAGAACTTCTCGAAACCCGTGTGTTTTTCACAGCTCCTTTGAGAGTCCAAAAAAGTTTGATTTATTAGTATTATCCTTCTACCTTCCATCCAATCGTGTAGACTCCCATTCTATTTTTTTTGTTTGTCATAATTTGTTATAATTTTTTGAGACAGAATTGCCACAAATTATCCATAAAAGCAGCCCTTACCTTCCACAAGCTCATCCATGGAGGTGATCTTCTTGCTCCCGTCTATGGTGTAGATGTTCCTCACTCCTTGTGGCAGGTGCAGATTGTCCGCCAGCGATTTCGTCAGCTCCATCAGCAGCGCGTCGTAGGACCTGAACCGATCGGACGACACGGCGTAGACCAGCCCCTTGAAATACCGGTCTCCATTGCGGAAAAAGCGCACTTTCTTGGCTCGCTTCTCCAACGTCAGGGCCTGGAGGGTGCGCGTGCGGTAGTAGCTGCAGTTGGTGCTGTGGGCCGGGCTCGGGACCAGGCTGCTCCCTCTGGAACTGGGTCCGCCGTTTGAGTCCTCGCGTTTGGTTCTTGTGGATCGGCCGCGCCTGATCTTGTCCCGTTCGTCGAAATGCTCCAACTCTAAGGTCTTGCTCAACGACATGATGGCTGATTTCAATTCAAAAACAGCCAGCTACATCAGAAAAATACTTTGAAAAACGGTTTGGGTGCGCCTGTAGCTTATCAATGCGGACGGAAGTTCTGGTCTTTGAACGTCCTTCTTAGTTGCCAATCCATCTGCGATCCACAAATTAATTTTAAGTTACGATTGTCCACAGTGATTTACTTAACTGTGGCTTGTCTTTTTATAACCTATATGTTTTTCCACTTGCCATACTGTGAATGGTTGTTGTGGGAAGTCAAAATGGCCTCTAAGTATGGCCAGCTGGCTACATAGCATTTATACTATGTAGCCAAGATTATATTAATGTCCAAAAAGTGCAAAATACAGGTGAAAAATTAGTGGAAGAGGGCTTCTAATATTCCAATGTTGGTTTGAAAAATTCCCAAAACAAAGTCTAGTGTTCTTTTGTATGTAACAACATCCACTAGCCAAACAAAGAGCCAATATATAAACTGTTATTTTTATTTTTTTATCAATAAGACTGAAACGGTTCAATTAAACTAAATCAGCTATTGTTGGCTGGCATTACTTTTAATACATAGAACAGCTAAGGTTCGTTAAAATTTCAGACAAAATGTTTAATACTTGCGCAGATAATATTTAAAATTTGCAAAAGGCTAAAACTGTATTAATCCCGCTATGGTTTCCTTAAATTCCAGTGAAGTTGCCAGAGAGTATGTATCGGTCCATTGGCAAATCTTAATCAAATTATTATTATTATCCGTTATTTGGCAACAATGAGTCTTCAAGTTTGGGGAATTGGGACTACTGTTGTTGGAAAGTGTTTAAAAACTAAAAGCAGCCATTGTCCCCGTGTCCTTTGTGATGAAAATAGCCGGTTAGGTGAAACCAGGACGTCCCAAAGGTTCAGATCAGCAGTTCATCCATCACTGGAAAACACAGAGGGACAGTTTAGATTAGGTACATCACAGTACACCATAATAATATATTCAATACTATGACATGTATCGCGGATACAAGCGGTCGAAATGAGCTTCCTCCGCAGAGTGGCTGGGCGCTCCCTTAGAGATAGGGTGAGGAGCTCGGAGCTCGGAGTAGAGCCGCTGCTTCTCCACGTCGAGAGGAACCAGTTGAGGTTGCTCGGGTATCTGTTCAGGATGCCTTCCTGGGGAGGTGTTCCGGGCACGTCCCACCGGGAGGAGGCCCCGCGGAAGACCCAGGACACGCTGGAGAGACTATGTCTCTCAGCTGGCCTGGGAACGCTTTGGGGTCCCCCCGGACGAGCTGGAAGAAGTGTGTGTGGATAGGGAAGTCTGGGCGTCTCTGCTTAGACTGCTGCCCCCGCGACCCGGCAACGGATAAAGCGGAAGAAAATGGATGGATGGACTATGACATGTTTTTGTTGATTTCACAGTAACAATTCTTTCTTGATTTTATTTATGTACTTGTCTGATGTACATTGAGAACGTTTGCAAATCTATTCCAAAGTGGTTTTACTGCAAATGGAAAATAAAATGAATCTAAATCTTAGAGACTTATTGTATCAGGGTGAGGTTTAAATAACAGAAAAATCCGACAAAAAAATCAATCAATCAATCAATCAAAGTTTATTTATAAAGCGCTTTTCATACAACAGATGCAACACAAAGTGCTTTACAGTTTGGCTAAAAAACAATCCTGCCCATGCCCTCCCCCCGACCGCCCAACAGACCCTCCCCAGACCACAAGCAAACACGTTCCTCTGGAACCAGTTTGACACCTCTGCTTTAGACTCTAGAAAAAAAACACTGTGGCAATAGATCAACATTTACATTTACAAACATGCAAGAATTTGAACTGTATGCGTGATAATACCGTTCTAGGTTTCACAACAAGCTATTATTTATTATTATTATTTAATTTATGCATTTGTGACAGGTCCTCTTCAATGCACTGCTCAGCTCCCTCCTCTAACAGTCATAAGTCACAGGTTTTTCGAGACCAAATTGAATTCACCAATTTGTTTGTTCCCAAAATAAAACTCAGCGTCATATTGAAGGTACAGTGTTTGGTTTACAGTCTGACAGCAGTATGAGCAGTTGTGTCAAATGGAGCAGGAAAAAAACTTGACAAAGAGCGTTTTAGTTAAATTAATTCCCTAACGCCTGACGCTGCTGCTGCTGCCGCCACTGTGCCAGGGGACATTTAGTGCAATATGAAAATGAACAATGTGAACATGAAAAGAGCCACGAAACAAACAACAGTCTATCATGTGTGGCTGTGGTTAGAGCTGCACGGTTTGACAAAATATCATATGTGATTTTTCTGGATAACACTGATTTGGTAAGCAATTTATCTTCAAGGAAGAACATGAACAAAATAGTAAATACTGCAAAATGAGCCATGAGTTTGTATTTGTTAGAAGGTCACATTTCTAACAAATATGTTTAAAAAAAAAGGTACAAATTAAAATAATATATTTTATAATTACTGATACTTCATACATTTTGCCAATTAAAAACAAAGTGATTTCTTAAAATGATTGAGAAGATGAGCTTATCTGTCTCTGAAGCTTAGCAGGCTTGTGCTTGATTAGTATTTGAATGAGACCAAAGGGAAAACCAGATGCTAGTTACACCGAGATGCAGTTTTGCTAAGTAGCTCTGAATTGTATTAATTTATTCATTGGCTTTTATTCAACCAGGAGAGTCCCACTGAGATGTTAGAACCCTGGCCCCAGAGAGAAGGGAGCTTCGTCAGTGGGAGGGGAAGCCGGAGCAAACCGACACATGTCTGCGGGTGGAATCCAAACCCGGAGAGATGCTAACCACTGTGCCACCCTAATGCAAACTGTTGTTGTGCCCTTAGTCAAGACACTTTGCCCATAGTGAAAGTAAGTGATGAATGGAGACCCATACACACTATTCTAAATCACTATTCATGATTCAGTTTCACGGTCAATTTTGAGAATGATTTGTAAACTCTACAGCACTGGCCCTAATAATTTCTCATTCTGAAATCCATAGATAATATTGTACTCACACATTTTCATTTTAACCTGTGTTGAGTGAATGACATAACGCACATTGACCTTCCTTTCCAAACAGTCAACGTGGGTCAATTCTAAACAGAGGAACAATCAATGACAGAGTATTGTGCCAAAGTGGAGAATAAACCATAACATAACTAGGGGTGGGCGATATGGACAAAAATAAATATCTCAATACTTTTTTGCAAAATCTCGATTAACGATATTGTCACGATATCTTTAAAATCAATAATTTTTACACACAATGATCTGTAATGTTTTGCTGCCAGAGCATGTATAGATATAGACAGTGTAGAACAAAATAGAAGCTTTTTATTTGTAAAGTTCTTCACACATCTTTGCTAAACATGCAAAAAATATACTAACATTAAAAATCCAACTCAAGTAACACAGAAAGAACACATCCAAAAAGGCTCAATATTTACTGAAATGTACAAATAAAGCAGTGATTGGCTTTTTTGGCACACATTAGACGAATGGGCATCTTTCCTTCTCTAACTGTATTGAAAAATAAAACGGTAATACAAAAAAAGCACATCTTCAAATTGACTTTAACGATATTATTGTCTACAATATATTTTGCCCACACCTAAGCATAACATATGAGTTTTACATTGAGAACAGTGCCATATAGAGTCTATAGCAGGACTAAACTGGAAAGGCAAGACAGACGCACCTTCAAAACACAGTCACTTATCTGCAGAATACCAGAGACAAGAATCCTAAAGCAAGCAATTATAGTGGACCAAACTGGACAGGCCTCCTATGGCTCACCTGGGACCTCATTTATTATCAGCTTAAATAATGAATACATAAATCACTGTACGGTTGCACTAAGCAGACTAAAAAAATGGCAAAATTGTGAAGACCATTAAAATGCAAGGACCAATCATGACCAAACTGGCTTAACCTTCAGTCTAACCCAGGTGGAGCAGCCTGCCTTCATATATAGGGAAAACTACTATGCAAAGCAGGACAGAATAGACCAAGATTTTTTTTATTCAGGAAGGGGGAAAAAAATATATTAGATCCAAGGGGGAAAAAACCTACCTTAGCCTGACCACACCACCTATGCGTTTTTAACATGCTTATCAATGCTCTTCATAATTTGACAAGAGCATGCAGGTAATTCAACAACACTGCAGATTTTACGCACAGGATTTCATTGTAACGTGTGTAAATAAAGTATGCAAATATAGATCATTTCACTGTTCGTTATGTGCGGACTTTGCTCATTCATTCCCCCGCTCTGGTGCACCACCTACCAGTGAAAGCAGTCGCCGACAAGCCGGTGTGTTGCGGGGGGAAGCTGCTCCATCTTCCCTCCGCCATTTTTCCCGTATGTAAAGCCTGGTGGTCCGCAGCGGGGTCTTGTCGCTTCCCTAGGCCGTGTTTCCTGCTGCCTGTGGCCGGGGAGAGGTGATGGAGAGGCGGTGTGGCAGCCAGACGGATCACCGGGTTCATAGCAGCAGCAGCAGCAGCGTGGCCACAGCGGAGACACCGACTCTTCCTCCTTCTTAAGCCCCGCCCTCGACGCGCTGTCATCGGCTTTGTTTGGCTGACGGACGCGTTTTCCTGGAGCAGCGAGACCGACGTGCCAGACTGAATATTTCACCGTTATGATGATATAAACAGGAAGAAAAACCTTGTGTATTAGACTTGATCATTTTACCACTTAAATACAACGATTGTGGAATTATTATACATAAAAATAAAGCTGGGGTACCTGAATTTCAAATCACAAAAAATGTGACTATGCATTATTGTGCATTGTCAATTAATTTAAAACCTGCAGAACCCAGTCTCCCATATCCTCACACTATACAAGTTAGAAATTAAGTTGGATGAAGAAGATGATTACCCCATCCCCTCTCAGCCAGTCAACACAGACTACATTTAATCCACATTCAGAATACAACTATGATTCTGTGCAGTACATAGAGTAATATACAATATAATAAGGGTATGAGACACACACACACACACACACACACACACACCCCTCTCTCCCTTCACCTGCTCTATACTGAGGGCCTCACTCTCACTCCTCCATGTACTTCTCTTTAAAACCGTTCTTACAAATGGTAAAAGGTTCATATAAACAAGCGTAATCATATTTTGGTCTCTGTCACATTTATAGATCAACTTTTTCAGATAGAAACTGTTATTGGCAGGGATTTTCTTTAGTGACATGAAGAAGACAGTATGTTGTCATCTGATTAAATACATACATACAATATTGTGTATGTATGTATGTGTTAATTCACACATTAGCTTTAATTGTAATGTGTGAATCTTAAATTGTTATGTTTGCACTGTTGTTATGAATGAACTTTAGCTTCAGTGTCGGAATCATCTAAAGAATTAATTTATTCCAGTCCTTATGCTGTGTTGAGTACAGAGCATACTAGCTGCTTGCATAATAGTCTTAAAGTGTTATTGTCGGTCCTGTGTTGTAAATTTTCTTTGTCAAAGCAGAACAATGTTCCATTTCGTTGGTTAGATTCACTCTAGCTCTACCTAATGGAATATACTTTCAGGAACAGAATATATTTGCTATCAAAAAATAAAATGCTTATGAACCCGCACACAAAGAGGAAATCCAGTGGCATTTTGGTGACAGCTGCTGTGACTAATTTAGCATACTATAGAAAAAGGTCAGATTTTTTAAAATCTTGTTTATGGGTACATTTTGACAATCCAAATAATGAAATATTGTTTAAAATTGGTATGTGCTGTCTCCTGTATAAATGAAGATGTTTTTATATGAGCCCACAGTTTTATACCCTTACGACCTACACACCAACACCTGATTGTACAAAAACAAAACCATAGATGACTGATTTTTCCCCTTTTATTCCCTAATCAAACCTCACTGTAGCTCCTCACATGTCTGAATAAGCAACAGGGTCAAATGAATAATAAGAATAGACTATAATGCCACATAGAACACACAGTATCAGACTGAATGAATGTTTTGGGTGGAGAGCCACGCCCATCTCCGTCTCGGTTTGACAGCTCCATCCTCCACTGTCAACAATGAACCATCACCGCTGCAGATATGAAGGCAGACAGCTCCAGGTCACAGGCTGAAGAGCTGACGGCAACAATCCCATTAAAAAGACTGATTTAAAACCAAATAAATGGCTAGAACACAAAAACATGGACAGTATTTCTTGTCTTTGGATCAACGTTTTTATTCATATTTTTTCCTCAATTACTCTCTTTATTTGTAAATATAAGTAATAACAAGCATGCACAAACCAACCAACATAAATGTTTTTGATTAATTATTATCGTTGTTGATTTAACTTTTTTTACAGAAAAAAAATAGAAATCTCACAAGAGATTTTAAAGTAGCAATAGGTAATATTTTCACTAAATTGCCCCAATATTTCAAAAGGCATATCTAGGCTAATCTCACTGTAATAACATGTGGCCGAAGAACTAAAAAAGGTCTTGTTATGACTCTCAAATCATAAATGACAAAACAAGGAATAAAACAAGGATTTATATCGGGACGCCTTTGAAAAATTGAGACAGCGGATAAAAGTTTTTGTGTGATGCAAAACTTGATGGATTGATGGCTTTTTACCCCTCTCCATTTATAGTGATTAATGGTGGCCTTATGGTTAAGGCACAGAAATGATATGCCATTGACCCGGGTTCGAGTCTGGTTGAATTGAAGGGTGATATCCTCTGGAAGAAACCCTGATGTTGATACGCTGAAGAAATATGTTCCAACATCCATTGGAAGAATGGATGTTGGAACATATTTCTTGTCTCCTATTTTGGACATCAATTACTTAATTAAAGGAGCAATTTGTAAAAATCTGGCCAAACGTGGTACTGCAGTCACAGTCAATATTTTCCAGTCCTCTCCCACTCTCCCTGACTCAGGTTGCCAGATACACACCAAATCCAGCAGCAAACACAGGGAATTATTTTATCAGTTGTTTGTCTGTCTCCATTCACATTGCCATGAGGCATGCTAATGTTGATAGAATTTTTTGAATGAATGTTTTTTTATTTCTTTTATTTGGAATAAGCAAATTGATGTCAAAAGAAAGGTCATCCATCAACACTTTTACTCCAAAGTTTTCAAATGTGGCCCTTTTCCTTCAAAAAGCTCGTGCCTATTCCAGAACAGATTAAAGTTCTCAATGAAAGCAAGTCCTCTGTGTGAACATTCGTTGAGTAGAAAAGTATTTAGCTGATACAGACGACTGAATTTCATTTGCTTCCCGTCCACATTTGGTAGTGGTCCATTAATAAAAAAAAAATTACGTCAATTTTTGCAACGTCGTCCAATAAAAGAGAAAAATCCTTTTTCAACTTTTCACTTGTCTTCTCATAGATGTCTACTGCCCCCACGTGGAGCAACAATCTCTTTACACCACGGGTTTCAGACAGAAGCTTTGTAGCCAACACTCTTATCTCGTCCACTTTAGCAGAGTGGACTGAGTGAACTTTCACGCCACGTATGAATACATTCCCGACAAAGACTGACACAGCAGCATTTGACCTTGACTGAGACTGAGACGCTGCCGCTGTTTTCCAAAAGTGGTGAATAGCGGTTTCTTGTATTTAATGGTTTTTGCTGTGGCATTATTTCACTCTTGTTATCATTAGCTTTGCCTTGTTTGGGCTTGGCACCATATTTGTTCCAACAATGGTCTCCGTTGATTTTGGGAAATTAAATAGCGTCATCATAACTTACGTTCTGTCCATTTTGTCCATTTCCTTTCACTGGTATTGTTGTGTTTAGCCCCAATTCTGATTCAAGGACAAACATTCGGTCTTGAAGAAGTTTTAGCTCCTGTTTGAGTGACCAACAGCAGTCGCAAAGTTTTATTCTTTTTCTCCGTCCCCCAGACATGCTGTAAGTTGGTAAATTCCACAAGTCTTGTATTGAAGTTTGTAAAAAGGAGTAATCCGTGTTTTGTAGAATAAAAATGTAAATAAAAATGATTAAAGGAGATTAAAAAGCAGAAAGCGAGGAGCAGCAAGAGAATGCGACCGCACTGTTCCAGAGCAGGAAGTGCTTCTGCTTCATGCACTCTTGAAGGATATATTTCTCAAGTTAAAAGCTCTTTTCCAGGTCGACGCAGTATTTTGGCTGAGGAATTTGTCTTCATCTCCGCAGCCGCAAACAGAATATCAGTGAATTTCTCTGTAAAGGTGTAGAGATGCGCTCTGCTGCCTTCTGAGACTCGGTAGAAGGAGAGGATACCGGCCGGCTGGTCCAGGTAGATGCCCAGGTACCTGAAGCGAGAGCGGTGAGCTGAGTGAACCGGGAAGCTCTCATTGTTATGAAATGCGTAGCAGCCAATCTCAGAGCAAACAAAGCTCCAGGACTTATCATTTTGTCCCAGCCTAAACTGCACATCCTCCAGCTCTTTGCTCCAGTATGTGACTCCGACGTTAAACGGTTCAGGGATGGATATCTCCCAGTAACAGCGGCCGCTCAGGCCCTGTGCTCCTCGCACCAGCACTGAGTCTGGTCCCTCTTCAGAGCGGGACGCTTCCCTGAGATCATCAGAAAACTTCACCCCTCTATCGGCCAGTTGAGAGTCCCATGTGAGATCAAACACATCTGTGGAAAGTTTACAAAAAATATCACACATTTTCAGTTTGTTCACACTAGTTCGAGCTTTCTAGCTTTTTCTTGGTTTTAGCCTTGTTTTAATCCAAATGATAAAGTGCATTTTTTATAATATGGCTACAAAATTGAAAATGTCAAATTTGTATAACAAGTTAAAGATATTGCACCGGTGATCATTTTATTACACTATTGGGTGATATATGTTGGGTGAAGTCCTTATATAGCAACCAAAGCCATATAACTGTTAAATACGACTTACATTTCCTCAGTCCTGGGGTCATTCTATGACTTTCACCATGAGCCGTACTGCAAACAAAACAAAATGTACAATCGTAAAACAGTCCTTGTTACTTGATGAGATATTTGTTATACATACATGATCTGGATGTGGCTGAGGTCACACTTTAGAAGCAGAGCTTCTGGGTCCTTCAGATGGTTATAACTGAGGTCCAGCTCCTTCAGGTGACTCGGGTTTGACTGCAGAGTCGAGACCACAAAAGCAAAACCTTCATCTGTCACTAAGCAACCAGACAGACTGGACACATCCACAAATATCAAGTTATTCAGCCATTTGAAATGTGTATACACATGATTATAAAGCTGTACTTTACTTGAGCACTTTGAGTTTACAGGCAGGACTCTCCAGCCCTTCACAGAGCAGCTTCACTCCAGAGTCCTGCAGGTCATTGTTGCTCAGGTCCAGATGTCTCAGAGATGAGTGCAGAGAAGTCAAAACCAAAGACAGAGGCCTCAAGAACGAGGCCACCCTGCAGTCCGACAGGCTGCAGAGACACATCAACAGTAAGGCTGGCTGTGGTCGTGCATCTTTTGATGATTCACTTGTGTCTGCTGCCAGACCACTAACAGGTTGGTGAGCAGTAGGGGACAGAGTACAGCTGTGCTTCCTCAAGAGGTCGACCTTCATTCATGGGTGAAGGCTATAAAACTTCACACAAGTCACATGAAGGGCAATAATTTGCATAACAATCCATAAAACAAGAGTGATGCTCTTACCGCCAACTTTTGGCTTTAACGCATTGCTTTGGCTATTGTAAAGTAGTCTGAAAACATATGTGTGAAAATACACATGATCAAACGCGATTCCCTGGAGTGCTAGCACGGTAATAAAACCCGTGTAGGCAGGCCTGGATGACGGTTATCTGAAGTGTACAATGTTTAACTTCATATTTTATGTGTTATATTGTCTTTCTGTGGGACCAATAAGGGTTGCCGCCTATCTCTGACAAAGAACCTGGACATTTCAGCAACCTGATTGGCTTTCACACAAAATATTCACGCAAAATTTGGACTTAACCTTGTTATAGAGAAATACTAGTCTTCTCAGTATTAATGTCTTTTAACACTATTATTTAGCAATTTTTTATTCAATTAGTTTTTCTTTATAATTTTTTTGGCTCATTTCTAACCGCTTTTGGTTGTAGACACCTTGGGGCAGAAGTGTGCTGTGGAATTAAAACCTATATTTCAATTTGCTAAGTTTCTTTGACACTGCACACTTAACATTGTTCTGACGTCTCTGGTAAAGAGGAATAGCTTACCTGCTTAGACAGTGGTGTGTGCTTTGCTTGTGCTTTTCTTTTTTACTCACTGCTCTTTGCTAAACAAATACATAGAAGGACGTGTAGCTGACATAACTGGGCACACACACATAGACTACTTTAGGTTTAAGCTTGATTTGGATTTGATTTAGTTCATCAAGACAGTGCTTAATAACCCTCATCTCATTTATACGTATTTTGTGTTTTTCTTTGCTGCTGTTATCAGTCCTTGCTGCTCTTCATTGAATGTCTTGAACTTGTTTTCTTGACTGGCCTCTCACTGTCAGCTCCTCTTTGTCTCTCCCCCATTTTTCACACTTTTTCTCACTAACTCCCGATGCGCTCTGCTAGCAATCCTGCTTCGTCTCCTTCCGAGATAGGCAAGGCAAGGCAAGGCAAGTTTATTTATACAGCACAATTCATACACAAGGCAATTCAAAGTGCTGAACAGAATAAGAAAGCATTAAAATCATAAATAATCACAGAACATTAAAAAGAAAGCTAAAAATATAAAATCCCTCAGTTGTATGCACAACTAAACAGAACTGTCTTTAACCTGGTTTTAAACATTGTCATTGAGGAGGCCTGTCTCACATATTCAGGAAGATTGTTCCAGATTTTAGCAGCATGAACCTGAAAAGCAGCCTCCCCATGTTAAGTTCTGACTCTGGGCACTAACAGGAGTCCAGTCCCTGTGCTCCTCAGAGAGATACCGTCTGTGAGATATGACGTTTATGTATTTTCTAAATATTGCATGGTCACGTGGTGTTCCCATGACACTTTTGTCGAAACGCGTCCGTTCTACTTTAATTAAAAAGAACAGTGCTTCCTTTTCCCTTTCTTTCATCGCAACTATCTGTGAGATATTTTAATCGAGCCACAGATGTCAGACGTGCCTCAGCTAATGAGTACGCGGCGCTCTACGTCATTTATATGTAGCTTGCGTAAGGGTGTTTTATGGGCACCATATAGAAAAACCGGGATAATCATAGCCTGACTCTCGCCAGATCCTTGAAGTTCGCAAACTTCACACAAGGGTCTGGGTCTGCTTCATAGCGGAAGAATTTCAGAAGGCGGGGCCTTGTAAAAAAATCCTTGTATGTGATTGGATCCCCCTCAAAAAAACACCCAGAATGCTAAAAACTTAATGTAATCAACTTCTGGCTATCATAATTATGTTTTTTGTCCATCTATCTATTTATCACCTCAAAGTTGCTTGGAAAAAAAAATGCGGGAAACCACCCAACCTGACTGAATAGTGTTGTAACAGGAGCACTTAAACCACACTTTACACAAAATGTTTACTCTTAAAACACACATTTAACAACATGGAACCATCAACATCTTGCCTCAAATTGCATTTAAAGTGACATCTGTGTCTTAATTAGTTTGCATTTAAACTTTTTTTTATTTATTCACGGACTTCATGCCCCCCATCTGGCTTTTATTTGGCTGAGAGACGCAGGGGTCAACAACGCCGATCCTGATTGGCTGAATATCTTTTAATCTCCTGAAGGAGTTCTCGATCCCAGACCCTTGTGTTCAGCAAAACGCCTCTGGTGGAGCATGGCGGAACTACAAGGGTCTGGCGACAGTCAAGCTAGGACAATCAGTGTCCCGGGAAAAAAATAACAAATTCTCAGGACAGACCATCAGGACAATCAGGTAAAACCGGGACAGGTGTTGCCAACACTACCATTAAGTATCCATCTGTATACTGAGTAGGGCTGTCAAAATTATCGCGTTAACGCACGTTAATTAATTTTTTTCATTAATCATGTTTTATGCTTTTAAAGCCTGTGCCAAATGACTGGCACCCCGCGCGCGTGACCGCGGGGCAATTGCTTTGAATGGGAGTCCGCAGGGTCCTAGGGCAGCTGCGGCCGCTTTGGACAGCGGTTCCCACGTCCAGCAGCTGTGTGCGGCTTTCAACAACACAGGAGCACGCAGCCGTAACATGGCCATGTACCCATTGCCACGCATACACGCACAGGAACATACTCTGCTTGTTGTGTGCGTGATCAGTGCACACAATAAATACAGCACTGCAAGAAACAGTCCGTCTCCCCCTAGTCTTCTCCTGAAGCGCAACAAAACTCGCTACATTAAAGCTGGGGTACCTAACTTTTCCTTTGAACTACCATTTCATGTTGGTTGTGCCCAAAAGTAAAATGTTGTGAGCAAATCAAAGGAATTTAATGACAGCCATTGGCTGACATGCATTTCAGACTATTTACAAAAGTCCCTCATCCCTGTAACAAACAATAGTTTGTAAAGACACAATAATTAAGGGGATCCACAGCCTTTATGAGACAGAGAAAAAGAAGAAAGAGGAGGCTTGAGCAGATGCGGAATATGTCGAGCTGAAAAAATAATGTCTACTAAGACAGAATGTTAATAATGTTAATGCCATTTTATGTGGATATATTTTTATAACAAACAAACACAGTACATATGTACACTGTCATCATTTATCTGTCCATTCAAACAACTATTTACAGAAAAATATGGCATAATTTTGCCGATGGTTCAAAATGTGATTAATTACGATTAATTCGTTTTTAAGCTGTAACTAACTCGATTAAAAATTTTAATTGTTTGACAGCCCTAATATTGAGAAATAAATCCATTGTGAACGTACTTAGCCTTTTTGCAGCTCCGAAGAGCCGGGATGAGCCTTCTTCGTCCCTCTTCAGATGTATTGTACATTTTCATGTTGAATTCTTCCAGAACACTCTTTGAAACCTGCATGGTGAAGGCCAGTGCAGAGCAATGCAGTGGGGTCAGCTGAATTCGGGCTCTGTCCTCCGACTTTAGATAATCTTGTATTTCATCACTAATCTTGGTGTCTCCCATTTCCACCATGGTTTGGAACAGGTGAATGCAGGTGTCTGGAGATATGGTTTTACGTCGAAGGTTTTTGAGGTGACCCAACATTTTCCTCGCTATCTCTTCACTTGACTCTAATGGGACCAGTAAGCCAGGAATAAATCTCTTATTATTTTCAACCACAAGACCAAGGAGAAAACGCTGGAAGAAGTATAGGTGGCCACCGTTCTGCTCCAGGACTTGGTCGATAGTCATCTTCAGAAGGTCAAACGCTGGGCGTTGGAAGAGCTCTGAAGGTTCAGAACACAAGAAAGTGTTCAGCTCTGGAGCCCAAGATTTGTTGTTTGTAAAACAATCATATACATAAAGAGCAGCAAAGAACTCCTGGATGGTCAAGTGCACAAAGAAATAAACCTTCTGCTTTAAGAACAGCTGCTCTTTGCGCAGAATAGAGTTAAAAAATCCAGATTTGACAGCCGCCTCTTTGGGGTCCAGTTCGCACTGCTGAAGATCTTCTTCATAAAAGATCAGGTTGTTCTTTAGCAGGTGGATAAAGGCCAGTTTGCCGAGTTTGAGAAGAAGACTTCTTTTAGCTTTAAGTAGCTTCATTTTCTCTCTCTCTGGATTATTCTCATATTTCCGGCTGCTCCGTTTAGTTTGAACAGACAAGAATGCTGCCATCATCTCTGTGAGGTTCTGAGGGTATCCAGTCTGCTCCTCTCCTCCAAAAACCTCTTCAAATAAAACCGCGGACATCCAGCAGAAAATGGGGATCTGGCACAACATGTCCAGGGTCTGTGATGTTTTAATATGAGAAATCACCATTTTAGCCACGTCTGGTTTGTTCAGGAACCTCTTTGTAAAATATTCTTCTTTTTGTTGATCGTTAAAGCCTTGGATCTCAGTCACTCTGTGGATCAACTGTCCAGGAATCTGATGAGCGGCTGCCGGTCGAGAGGTGATCCAGAGCTGGGCTGAAGGGAGCAGGTTTGCCTGGATCAAGTTCACCATGAGGCTGGATGCTGAGGCAGGCTCTAGGACAGAGGACACTTTGATGGTGTTTATAAAGTCTGGAGGAGTCAGAGTTTCATCAAACCCATCCAGGATTATGATCACTTTGGTCCCCTCCAAGTCCAGTGGCTCCAGTTCACTCATAGAGGAATGGAAGTCCTTCAGAAGTTGGAGTAAACTTGTGTCATGTTTGATCAGATTCAGTTCTCGAAAAGCCAGACAGAAGACGAAGTGGACATCTTTGTAAGTGGTGCCTTCAGCCCAGTCCACAAGAAACTTTTGCACAGAGAAAGATTTTCCAATTCCAGCCACACCATTAGTCAGGACAGTTCTGTTCTTGTTCTTTGCAACAGTATCACTTAAAAGGTCACTTAGATTTCCAAATTCTTGTGGAGAATCTGGATTCTTCATCAAATATGTGGAGTAGTGCTCGGATGAAACGTTTGTCCTGAAGTTCACAGACAGTGGTGTGTAGATGTGGTGTAGAGGACTCCTCTCATCTCCATTTCCTTCACTCGTCATTGAAAACTTCTTGAGCATCTCACATTTGAGTTTCTGAGTTTTGTCAGAGAGTTTTGTGTCCCCTGGGAAAATATAAAAAAGAGAGAATTTGTGTTGTTATTTGTGTTTGTTCACTGGAGAATAAGCCAATATGCACGGCTGAGCTAACAGGCTTGACTCACCTGTCAGGAGTCCTAGATTCTTCTGGTTTGGTGCTAATCTCTGGTGGGTTGTACACAGAGGACAACAGAATGAATCTGACTGATCCATGATGGGCATTACACATGGAGAACAGACCACATGTTCACATGCTAAGTACAAACGGTCATCTTCGTCTTCACAAGTCTCTTGACAAACACAACAGAGAGGGACCTGTGGTCTACAAGGAAAGAGAAGACAAGATTATTCTACTATTGAGATCATTTACTAACGCCCTAAAGCAGAATATTCAAAATGGTGGCCCTCTATGTCATTATGTGCGCAACATAGTCATTGAGATCAAAAACAAAAGCTCACAGTGTCATCCAGCCAACTTCAGCTTGGCCAGAGACAAGACATGCTGCACCTCTGTGTAAATCTTAGAAGCCCTTGAATCCAGCTGTTGACTTTATTTGACTATGCTGATGTTATACTGACGTTAGGGGTAGGGTTAGGTTTCTGTAAAACGTTCTGTATGTAGCGCGAATTAAGTGGGTGAGAAAGTAAATCTCCCACAGTCTGAGTTATAATATTTTATTACAAAATGTATAATGTGTTTGCTGGTGTAGTAGTGATTTAACACAGTGGTCAGTCTCCATCATGGAGGTACTGTATGCCACCAGCTACTGTGGCTTAAATTCTCCAGGGCTGTACAAGACAAATTCCCAAAGACATTGATCTGAACAGAAACAGCCTCAGCAATCCTCCGCTCACAGGGAACCTACAGCTTTCACAAAGGGGAAAGTTTTTGTGGGGATTTGTCTTCATTGTCATTGTTAACTTTTTGTCTTAAATAAATTGTTTTTTTATCAATCCACACTTTTGCAACAAACTATCTCTGCTCTGCTCCTCTCTGTGAGCGACATGAGCGAGTGCTGCCCTCCACAGTCAGCTCAGTTTTACCCTGATCCTGTGGAAGTAGAACCAGAGCTGCCCAATATGTGTCCATGGTGCGAGCATGCGCTGAATGGGCTTATGCACAACTACACACGGATAACACCACAAATATATGTATATAACTGTATTGCTGTTGTTTGTCCCCCCTAACGACAGAAATATTGACCCCATTTTCCATCATTTAATGAAAAAAAAAACACATTTCATATTAAAACGTAATATAAATACCTTTTGAGATCAAGTGAAAAAGACATAGGTGAGTCCATAGAAGAAATGCTCATCCGGGATATACCACTGGGATCAGTTGACGCCTTTGTCTTGTCCAAACTAAAATTGAGGATTAATATTGATTGTAAATGTCAACACACTTAAGGCAACACATCTGTTCAAAGAAAATTGCATGTTGCTATTACCGCATGGGGAGATTTTTGAAATCGATGAACTCAGCCTTAGAAGCAGTACTTGTTACGGCCAGTCTGTTTGAGGGATCCAAAGAACTAAACAGATTAAATTAATTACTCAAGTGTTCTGAACAAGGAATATCAATTATCTATGTCTATGGCAGCAGTAAGAACAAAAACATATCACAAACTGTCAGCAAATCCGATCATACAATTAAAAAACAAAAAACAAATATTTATAGTTTGGAGAATGAATCTTTCTCAAGAGATGTAAATGTTGTACTATATTCTCTTAGCCCAAAAATAAATATTCTGAGTCTACGTTTCCTTAAATGCAGACAATGTTCTATTTTATGTGGGATATGTTCAGTCACTTCCTAATTTGCTCTCAATGTTGAATGTGTTAAGTGACTTGGTACCGGATGAATTGTGATGATGAGATATTATTATCTTCCAGAGACAATCTCCAAACCCAATAGTCAAACAGTATAAAGATGATTTGTGTGGCTGACAAACAACAGATCCCCAAACTTTTTTCACCTCTAGACTTTTTGCCAGGGACTAACTTGGACTTTGTGCCACGGTGGCTCAGTTGGGACCTACTTATTGGTCAGTTCTGGGAGTTCTGGGCTGGTTTCCTGTTCTCCTTCTTCTAAGTTACCTTTTGTAGCTTGGACTAGGGCTTTGACTTTTGCACAAAAATCATATTCAAAGTCTGTTTATTCATTTAAATATTTGAAAATATTCAAATATGTAATCATAATTTATTATATGGCTCCTCACAGCAGCAGTAGAAAAAACTCTCAAACCAATAATGGTCGCTACCCTTCTCAATCTTCCCAATCTGTGCTTGTAATGCATGTGTGTAAAATACTGAGATTACTTCGCAAGTAGTTTGTTCACTTTGTCACAACGGGCATTCAGCACCTGTCGTTACTACTGTCTCTGCGAGAGAAGTAATCGAAGCTAGCCTGGCCTTATCCATCCGTACACTCCACTCAATGATCATTTCCCTGCATGTAACGTCTGGGTCTGGTCTCTGTGTTTGCGATTACAATCGGTTGAATTCCATCCGAACAATCAGCGAGCTCGGGAGGCAGGTGTTGTAGTTAGAATTGGGTGACGTCAAGAGTTTGCGCTGAACGGGCAGGTTGTAGTTTGGCAATGGCAAAGATTGCGATAGTAAAGTAATTTGGTCTGGTTCTATCAAGAAATTGAAGCCGGAGCAAGAGGAATGTTTAGCAAATGTAATCGCTGCCAAAGATTGTGGCGCTACTCCCCACGGCTCCGTTAGCGACAAAGGAGATGGCTAGGTTAAATGCTAAAGACTCACTCGGGCTTATCACATACTCAGATCCAATCGTTTCAATTTGCAAAAGGAATTAACTCCTCCCACCTGTTAACGGGGCTTAATGGAGCACATCAAGACCTTAGTATGAAACGTAATTTGTACTATGGTGTGGTACGACCAGGCTATATCGGAGCTAGCCACGCTCAAAAACAAAAATAACAATTTATCAATACATTTAAATGTTAATCGGAGAATACATAATACATATACAGTACATTCTAAACCAGGGGTGTCAAACTCATTTTGGTCCGGGGGCCACATATAACCTAATCTGATCTCAAGTGGGCCGGACCAGAAGATGCTCTACAAAAATATCCAAAAACGGTACAAAGTCCAACTTTTTTTGCAAATAAACACATTTATTTAAAACTTCCTTTAAAACACTGTCCTTTAATACTCGCTCAGTTTTAACTGTAAATCTGTTACAAACTTAAATGTAACAGTGAGTTTTTCATAGTGCAAATAATGTAATGTATTTACAATATTACATTGTTAAAGTATTTCACAATATTTATATTAATTTTTGTATGTTAGCTTTGTTTTAAGGCTCATTACAGAGAAAACTTTCTCACAAAGGTAAAGTAGGTAGATAGAAAAAAGCACTTTAACACAGCACCTCAGTTTAACCATCTTCAGTGTGGTAAGTATGAAGGTTGGTTATTTTGTGTTTTTATTATCAACACTTTTTTTTTGCTTTTGAATTCTATAAACTGTAACAAAAAATTATTCAGTGTAAATAAATTCAATGTTTTAAAATTCAGTGTCCAAAATATTCAATGTTTTAAAATTCAGTGTCAAAATATTCAATGTTTTAAAATTCAGTGTCAAAAAATTCAGTGTCCAAAAATTCAATGTTGAAAAAAATTCAGTGTCCAAAAATGTGTTGCATTTTTTTTCGCTGCTTGAAATGTCATGCTTTATTTCCGGGTAAATCAAGAACAAAGCAATCGATCAGCCAATCCTGATCTTGGCGGGCCGTATGAATGACACCCCTGTTCTACCCACACGTGCAAGGAGGTTTTCAGAATTATCTGTTAAAGTTTTAATGACAAAAATACAATAAAAAGCGATCGCGGTAAAACCGGACGTAACAGTTAACATTAATAGAACCTGTTAGGACACATTTGCAGAGGATCTGGTTTTGGATTTAGGCTGAGTGTATACAGTATTTGGGTCACTCACCGCTGATAATCAGAATTCTTTCTTCAGTATTCATGTAATTCAAGAGAGTTCTGTTTTCCATAATTTAATGACAAAAAAACACATTTCATGTTAAAACGTAAAAGACACACCTTTTGAGATCAGTTGAGAAAGACATAGGTGAGTCCATAGAAGAAACGCTCATCCGGGATATACCACTGGGATCAGTTGACGCCTCTGTCTTGTCCAAACTAAAATTGAGGAATAATATCGATTGTAAATGTAAACACACTTAAAGTTTTTTTCTATGTAGTTCATAAAAATGCTTATTACTACATACAAGTTTTATTATAATCCGTAATTTAATTGAAAACTTGAGGTCATTGATTCAGCGGTGTATAAATTTAGGCCTTGAAAAGTGCTGAGTAGAGTCTGAGCGGGCCACCGAGGTGAAGTTGGCCGAACGTTTGATATTCGCCTGATATTCGCAAGGGACCGTCTGCAAATTGCAAGAGGTCTAAACGACAAATAAAGACTAAAAATCCACAAAGATATTTTTCCTAAAATTGATGGGTGTAGTAGCTCCCATTTAATGATAGCTAGCTACTACAGGCAACATTTTGGAAAAAAAAAATATTTTCCCCTTCACAGTAGCAAAAATTAAATTGGAAAAATTCACTAAAAATCAACAAAGATAGTTTTCCCAGATTTGATGGGTGTAGTAGCTCCCAATAAATTGTAGCTAGCTACTACAGACAAACTTTTGGGAAAAATCTTGTTTTCCCTTTCGCAGTAACAAAAATGAAATTGGAAAAATTCACTAAAAATCAACAAAGATACATTTCCCAGTTTTGATGGATGTAGTAGCTCCATTTGAACAATAGCTAGCTACTACAGGCAAGAATTTGGAAAAATTCTTGTTTTCCCTCTCACAGTAACAAAAATGAAATTGGAAAAATTCACTAAAAATCAACAAAGATAATTTTCCCAGTTTTGATGGGTGTAATAGCTCCATTTGAACAATAGCTAGCTACTACAGGCAAGAATTTGGGAAAATTCTTGTTTTCCCTTTCACAGTAACAAAAATGAAATTGGAAAAATTCACTAAAAATCAACAAAGATAATTTTCCCAGTTTTGATGGGTGTAATAGCTCCATTTGAACAATAGCTAGCTACTACAGCCAAGAATTTGGGAAAAATATTGTTTTCCCCTTCACAGTAACAAAAATGAAATTGGAAAAATTCACTAGAAACAACAAAGATATTTTTCCCAGTTTTGATGGGTGTAATAGCTCCATTTGAACAATAGCTAGCTACTACAGGCATGAATTTGGGGATTTATTTCTCCTTCTTAGTAGGAATAATGAAATTGGAAAAAATTACTAAAAATCAACAAAGATCATTTTCCCAGTTTTGATGGGTGTAGTAGCTCCATTTGAACAACAGCTAGCTACTACAGGCAAGAATTTGGGAAAAATATTGTTTTCCCCTTCACAGTAACAAAAATGAAATTGGAAAAATTCACTAAAAATCAACAAAGATGTTTTTCCCAGATTTGATGGGTGTAGTAGCTCCCATTCAACGATAACTAGCTACTACAGGCAACATTTTGGGAAAAATCTTGTTTTCCCCTTCGCAGTAACAAAAATTAAATTGGAAAAATTCACAAAAAATCAACAAAGATATTTTTCCCAGTTTTTATGGGTGTAACAGCTCCATTTGAACAATAGCTAGCTACTACAGGCATGAATTTGGGTTTTTTTTTCCCCCTTCTTAGTAGGAATAATGAAATTGGAAAAATTTACTAAAAATCAACAAAGATAATTTTCCCAGTTTTGATGGGTGTAGTAGCTCCATTTGAACAATAGCTAGCTACTACAGCCAAGATTTTGGGAAAAATATTGTTTTCCCCTTCACAGTAACAAAAATGAAATTGGAAAAATTCACAAAAAATCAACAAAGATAATTTTCCCAGTTTTGATGGGTGTAGTAGCTCCATTTGAACAATAGCTAGCTACTACAGCCAAGATTTTGGGAAAAATATTGCTTTCCCCTTCACAGTAAAAAAAATTTAATTGGAAAAATTCACTAAAAATCAACAAAGATATTTTTCCCAGTTTTGATGGTTGTAGTAGCTCCATTTGAACAATAGCTAGCTACTACAGGCATGAATTTGGGGGGAAAAACATGTTTTCCCCTTTACAGTAGGAATAATGAAATTAGAAAAATTCACTAAAAATCAACAAAGATGTTTTTCCCAGTTTTTATTGGGTGTAGTAGCTCCCATTCAATGATAACTAGCTACTAAAGGCAACATTTTGAGGAAAATCTTGTTTTCCCCTTCACAGTAACAAAACTGAAATTGCAAAAATTTACAAAAAATCTACAAAGACACATTTCCCAGTTTTGATGGGTGTAGGAGCTTCATTTGAACAATAGCTAGCTACCACAGGCAAGAATTTGGGAAAAATATTGTTTTCCCCTTCACAGTAACAAAAATGAAATTGGAAAAATGTACTAAAAATCAACAAAGATAATTTTCCCAGTTTTGATGGGTGTAGTAGCTCCATTTGAACAATAGCTAGCTACTACAGCCAAGATTTTGGGAAAAATATTGCTTTCCCCTTCACAGTAACAAAAATTTAATTGGAAAAATTCACTAAAAATCAACAAAGATATTTTTCCCAGTTTTGAAGGATGTAGTAGCTCCATTTGAATAATAGCTAGCTACTACAGGCATGAATTTGGGGGTTTTTTCCCCCCTTCACAGTAACAAAAATGAAATTGGAAAAATTCACTAGAAACAACAAAGATATTTTTCCCAGTTTTTATGGGTGTAATAGCTCCATTTGAACAATAGCTAGCTACTACAGGCATGAATTTGGGGATTTATTTCCCCCTACACAGTAGGAATAATGAAATTGTAAAAATTCACTAAAAATCAACAAAGATGTTTTTCCCAGATTTGATGGGTGTAGTAGCTCACATTCAATGATAACTAGCTATTACAGGCAAGAATTTGGGAAAAATCTTGTTTTCCCCTTCGCAGTAACAAAAATGAAATTGGAAAAATTCACTAAAAATCAACAAAGATAATTTTCCCAGTTTTGATGGGTGTAGTGGCTCCATTTGAACAATAGCTAGCTACTACATGCATGAATTTGGGGATTTTTTTCCCCCTTCTTGGTAGGAATAATGAAATTGGAAAAATTTACTAAAAATCAACAAAGATAATTTTCCCAGTTTTGATGGGTGTAGTAGCTCACATTCAATGATAACTAGCTATTACAGGCAACATTTTGGGAAAAATCTTGTTTTCCCCTTCGCAGTAACAAAAATGAAATTGGAAAAATTCACTAAAAATCAACAAAGATAATTTTCCCAGTTTTGATGGGTGTAGTGGCTCCATTTGAACAATAGCTAGCTACTACATGCATGAATTTGGGGATTTTTTTTCCCCCTTCTTGGTAGGAATAATGAAATTGGAAAAATTTACTAAAAATCAACAAAGATAATTTTCCCAGTTTTGATGGGTGTAGTAGCTCCATTTGAACAATAGCTAGCTACTACAGGCAAGAATTTGGGAAAAATATTGTTTTCCCCTTCACAGTAACAAAAATGAAATTGGAAAAATTCACTAAAAATCAACAAAGATGTTTTTCCCAGGTTCGATGGGTGTAGTAGCTCCCATTCAATGATAACTAGCTACTACAGGCAACATTTTTGGAAAAATCTTGTTTTCCCCTTTGCAGTAACAAAAATGAAATTGGAAAAATTCACAAAAATTCAACAAAGATAATTTTCCCAGTTTTGATGGGTGTAGTAGCTCCATTTGAACAATAGCTAGCTACTAAAGGCAAGAATTTGGGAAAAATATTGTTTTCCCCTTCACAGTAACAAAAATGAAATTGGAAAAATTTACTAAAAATCAACGAAGATAATAATGTTTTCATAAATACATTTGGATTTGAAACTAGCGGTATTCTTTTACCCATATATTGTGTTAGCAGTGCGTTGCTTTAGTACCATTTCATCAGTGATTGTTGTGCAGCTTACAAGAAGTTGTGCTAATGCTAATATTAGCATACATGTCAGATCGCAAATTGAACTAGATGGCTCTGTGTTATGAGAGCGTAGGGGAAATGAGAAGCCATTAATTGAGCGAGTTGGGGGGCGGTGCAACATTCAAACCTTGCAGAAACAGGTATAGCGCCTTTAAGGCAACACATCTGCTCAAAGAAAATTGCAGATTGCTATTACCTCACGGGGAGATTTTTGAAATCAATGAACTCAGCCTTAGAAGCAGTACTGTTTGAGGGATCCAAAGAACTAAACAGATTAAATTAATTACTCAAGTGTTCTGAACAAGGAATATCAATGCTCTATGTCTATGGCAGCATTAAGAACAAAAACATATCACAAACTTTCAGCCATTATTATGGCTGAAAGTTAAATTAAATTAAATATTAAATAACTAAAAACATATATTTACATATATGGAGAATGAATCTTTCTCAAGAGATCTTAACTCATTCACTGCCCATGACGACAAAACTCGTCATGTTGAATAGTAACGCTCACTGCCCATGACGAGTTTGACGAGTTTTTCGTGTTATTACACGGGAGGCTGCAGTAATGTCTGGCGCACCTTGTGAATGACCCACAACACTGATATAGTGCAAATGTACCTGTAATGATAAATCACCACCAGTAGGATGCAGTATTGCACCACAGGAGAGGTCATAAGTCAGTGGAGAGAAGGAGGAGGAGTGTGGGAGTGTGAGAAAGCGTGCTGCTGTAGCAGAGCGTGCTGCTGTAGCATTGAGACGGATCCGTGATCTAGTTTAGCGATAGTATAGCAAGAGTGATGGCGAAAAAGAATAGTTATAAGCAGCTGACACTGCTTCAGAGATTGACTCGCGGATCAGTGAGTGAGGTCGAGAGGGGAGAGAGGGGAGACCCCGGTGGAGGTCCGTCTCTGCAGCTACATTTGCGCGGAGCAAGAGCAGAGACACACCTTCCGCCTCTCGCAGCGTATCAGCTGCTGTTGTTAGTGATGCCTCGGATTCGTTCAGCAAACCTGATCATGATTTATCGGACACACTCACAAACACTCACACGCACTCACTCACTCACTCACGCACACAGACACTCACTCGCACACTGACATTCATACACACTGACATTCACACACACAGACACTCACTCGCACACTGACATTCACACACACACACTCAAATTCACATGCTTCATTCTATTTTATACATCTATAGTTTTATTGATCTTTGTGTTGTTGTTGTTTGACGTTTTGGTTGATGGTATAGAAGAAAGTTAAATTTTCTATCTGTGAATAAATTGCCAACAATTTGCCATCAAAAGTATTATTTCAGAGTCATGTTTTTATAATTTTTGTAATGGAACAAGTGTGGAGATGTTTTGAGTTGTCACTAAAGCAGCAAAAATGCATCTAAAAGTCACTTTTCTGCTTGATATGTTCCTGTTTACATACAGCTCGTTTTCTCTGTTTTCTTGCTCAGACCAGGTGTTGTGGGTGAAAGTATGCTTTGTTCTATGGCAAATAACGCAAGAACGGTAAGAGGTAGAAACAAACTGTTTTTTTCAGAGTAAAGCAGAGAGGTGAATCTTTAATTTGGTGCCCTTGGTGTTTACATCGTCTAAAAAATGAATATTCTGTGGCACTTCAAAGTTGGGTCAAATCACCTGAAATTTCTGGCAGAATGCACTTCTCAAATCTGAAAATGCCTGGCAGTCAGTGAGTTAAGTGACATATCTTGGTACAGGATGAATTGCGATGATGAGATACTTTTTGTATCAGACCTAACTTGGACTTTGTGCCACGGTGGCTCTGTCGGGACCTACTTCTGGGGTTGGTCAGTTCTGGGAGTTCTGGACTGTCCTCTAGTCATACCTGATTTCCTGTTCTCCTTCTTATAAGTTACCTTTTGTAGCTTGGACTTGGTCCTGCAGGTCTCTGTGTGTTCATGTCTTTGATGTTGTAATAATGTTTTTGATTCTTCAGTCATGTCTTATGAATGTGACTGATACAAACATTGGTGCGGTTTTGAAAGTGCGGTATGCAAATGTGACGTTGGTAAATTAATTCTCACAGAAATAATATTCCACTATTTTTGTAGTTTATTTTCATTCAAGGCAGATTATTATGGATCCGTGCCGGTACGGTGAAATCTATCTTTCTTGAACTTTATTTTTTAGAACAATACCTTGAGCTGGGTTGCCTCTTCGAGGACACAGCAGACTTCTCCTCATTCTTCCTCGTCCTCTTCCTCGATGTTTCCTTCTGTGGATTCAACATTCTGGCAGCTATAGGGAAAACAACAGTAACATTTATGCAGGTGGATTATGAGGACAGGCACAGCAGATAAACTACATCAAAGAATCAAAAAATAGACTTGCTTTCATCCTGCAGCTGTAACAGGATAGAAATAAGTGAAAAACTGTGGGTAAAAATACAAAGGAGCGCTTACAATGTTTTTTAAAGAATACAGTTATGAGAATTGTCAGAATCTCCCATGATAAAAACAGAGACTTATTTGAGCGAAAAGTAAAAAGTAAGTAATTTATCTACATATTTTCACAGTTGCTTAGTGAGACAACTAGTGCTACTTTTTGAGGTTCTCTCTGATGTAGATTGACTAAGGCCAGTGTTGGGGAGAATACTTTGAGTATGCATTCAGTTACAGAATAGTATAGAACATATTCCATCAAATGGTCAAATATATTTATATGTTTTTCTTCTTCCTGCTCCATTTTAAGCTGATAAAATGTAAATAAAGTCCATTCATCCATCCAATTCTGGCTGCACCCAATTCACACAGGACGCAACGCCAGCAGACATCAGTGAATCATAATGTAGGTCTCATTGTGGGCTCGAACCGAGCCCTAACCTGGCAAGAGCCAGATTGCGTGAGTTGTGAAGAACCTAAGTGGCGTTTTCCACAATATCAATCTGGACTTCTGCAGAGAATCCCTTTCGGGGAAAGGAGGGAAAAGCAGCAGAATACTCAAGCTGATTGGCAAAGTACGCTGTGTGCCGCCAACCAAGGTTCCAAACCCGTAGGTAAAATAGCACAAACATCTTTGCCGTCCAGAAATGGCACAAAGCGCCTCTCGCTGTTCATCCTTTCAAAAGAAATTGGAGATATCTGCTAAAACTGACTTGATGGGCCTCCAGCAACGCGTCCGTCCTCCCTTCGTAGCCATGTGGTTTATTTTGCTTCGGCCGCAACTTCTTTTTGCTTTCGTCAGAAACCCAAATAATCCCGCCCTAAAACCCCCAGACTGCGCATGATTGCTTGAACACCTAATGTTCCAACTTGAAGAAGGGTTGCGGGAGCGGGGCAAGAATTGTGTCTTGAGTGTTGGATGAACTCACAAATACCGCGAGAATTCAGTTTGCAGGCAAGATAACCGAGCCCCTCTTTAGTGAAAAATAACAAATAGTCATTTTCAATCAATTTCAAGTGGTGGGCAAATGAAGACTCTTTACCCACTTGAGGCTTTCATTCCCAAACTGTTTCAAATGTGTCCGCAAGCCGCTGTGCTAGCTCAGACTAGCTCAGAGGCTGACGTCTAGTGACAGATTGTAATCATTGCCGCTTCTGAATGTACAATGATAAAACTTTCCAAAAGTGGTTTCAATTCAAGAATCGTTTCCTTCTTCTCACTTAACTATACCATGAGATCATCCGACTGCAGCAGGGAACGATGAATATATGTTGTTAAACCATTTTTAAGAACCTTAAATTGAATCCAAGTGGTTTACTTCTAAAATAATTTGATATAACTGTAAAGGGGACTGCACTATAAGCAGAGATCCACCGGTTTTTATTTCAGTTTTTTCCAACAATGACGGTGTAGAGAAAGCTCATGTTTTGGCACTAGCGTAGAAAAAAAAAATCCTTTGAGCCATGCACCCAGTTAGGTTGAATAAGAATCAAAAGAGAAGCCCAAACCATGGATCACCGTTGTCCACTGCAGATGCCTCAAAGTCACCAAAATCACCAACAGTGTCCTCCTCACTACACAACATTGTTTAAGAAATACTGATATAATCGGATTCACTCTAGCCTGCTCCACTGAAAGCTGTTTGTAAACCAAGAAGCGCGCGTCAAATGCTCTGAACTCGATTGGAAAAAGGGAAACTGCATTGATCCAATGAAATTCTTAGAAACACAGCCAGTTGGTACCCAAGCGAAACGTGTCGACAGATGCGGACATGTTTGTCACGGTGACAAGGCTTGTTTGATACACGCCGCAACGCAGAGTTTGAATCATCTGCATAGGAAGAGCATTGTTATTATTTGCCCATCACGAGATAGAAAGGGTGTGTCCAGACCTCAGAAGTGGAGGCGCTGCCGAACCCCAGATATAGACTCACGAACCCTTAGGTTTGATCGAAACCCATCTTGACGTGATCTACTGCCCTAAATAGTGATAAATAAAAGTCATCAATAGTGCAATTTTCTTCTACTGCTCCCTCTTTACATTGATCTATTTTCATGTTCAAATTTCTAGATTCAGGGTCAAACAACAAAAAGAAAAATGGTATGTATTGAAATCTCTGAAACCTAATTCTATCACAAACCCTAAAAAATGAACATAACCTGCATGTATAAACAAAGATATTAAATACCATCCCCAACAGATCTCAGAAGATAAGGCAGGTAAGGGGTGGTTAGTATTGTGATGGTGACCTCAGCCACACCAGGTGCAACAGTGCTGCGGCTGTGGTTTTAAATTGCCAAGACTGTTGTTGTGTTCCTTCACCTACGTTCCCCCATATGAGTATGGTGCATGTGTGAGTGGTTGGTGGTGATCGGAGCGCTGAATCCACCATACAGGTTCCGTCGTTCTGTCCAGCATGCCCCAGGGGGGGGGGGGGGGGGGGGGGGGGGCAGCTGTGGCTCCATAGTGTATCACCAGTGAATGAATAAACCGCATCAAGTGTTCAAATAAAAAAAAGAACAAAAAAAAAAAAACGAAAACCACAGACAAAAAAGGAAAAAAAAATACCAGACAAAGAACAAAAAGGGGGGCAAGATAGAGACAACAGCACGCAAGGAGAAAAAAACCAAAAAAAAAAAGAGAACACACAAAAAAAAAACAGGAAAAAAACAAAAAGACCGTCGTGAACCGCCCGCGCACCCCCCCACCCCCCCGCCCTCCCCGCCCCCCCCCACCCCCCCCCCGCTCGTACCCCCCGCCCACCCCACCCCCGTGCCCGCCCCGCCGCTCCTCCCCCTCCACCCCCCTTCCGTCACCCTCCGATCGCCGCGCCCTCCCGGTCGGCCCGCCCGCGCCCAGCCCCCGCCGCGATCGCGACCCCGGTCCCCCCACTGACTCCCCCCCTGTTCCGCCGTCCCCGTACACCAGCTACCCCGTGGCTGCCCCCCCGCCCCCGCTCCCCCCTTCACGTCACCTCCCCCCCCCCCCTCCTCGGGCCCCTGGGGGGGCTTTGTGGCGTCTCTCGCCTCCCTCCCGCTGGGGCCCGGGCCCCCACACCCTCCTGCACCCCACCGCCCCCACCCACCGCCGTCCCCGCCCCGCCCTCCCCCTTACTCCACCACCCCCCCCTGGACGTCGCCGCACCTCCCTGCCTCCCCCCCCCCCGTGCTGCCAGCCACGCCACGCCGCCCCGCCACCCCCTCAGCCCCCCCCTCGCCTCCGCCCCCTCGGACGGGCAGTCCCCCCGCCCCCCCCCATCCTCCCGCCTCCCTCCTCCGGGTCGCGTCAGCCGCTGCGCCGCGTGGCCCCCCACCCCTCCCCGGCGCCACTCCCCCCCCCCCCGCCTGCTCCGCCGCGCGCGCGCCGCCCCTCCCCGCCGCCCCTGCGCCCCCCCCCCCCTGACCCTCCCCCCCCACTCCTCACCCTATCCCCACCCCCCCCCCCGGTCCTGCCCCACCCCCCATCCCCGCCCCCCGCCCCCCCCCCCCCCCCCCCCCCCCCCCCCACATCCCCCCGTCCACCCCGCCCCCCTCCCCCCCGCCCGCGGCCCCCCCGCCCCACGCTCTGGCTCCCTTGCCCCCCCGGTCCCCGCGCAGGTCGGCCTTGCGCCCCCCCCCCGCAGCTGGACCCACTCCCCCGTCCTGTCGCCCGCCCATGCACTCCGCCCCCAGTCTCGGGCGCCGGCCGTCGGCACCCCGACCGGACCCCCCCCCGGACCCTTCGACCCGCAGCACGACCACATACCCGCTCTGCGCTCCCCCCTCCCCCCCTCCCCCCAACCTGGCCCGTCCCCGCCGGGCCCACTGGCCGCCCCCGCACCCCCTAGTCGTGTTCCGTCCCGCGGCCCCTCCGCGCCCGCGCCCCCCCCCCCCGCCGCCGCGCCGCCCGCCCCTCCCACCCCGCTCGCTCCCCCCCCTCGCCCCCCACTCCCCTCCTGCCCGCCGCCGCCGTTGGCCTCCGGGTCTCCAGCCACGCCCGTCCCGCTCCTTCCAATCGCCACGCCCCCGCTCCCGCTCCCCGTCCCCCCGCGACGCCTCACGCCTGCACGTCACTGAGGAGTTTTTCCGCGGCGCCTCGCCCCCCCTCCCCTGCCCCCGCCCCCTCCGACCCCCTGTGCCCTGCCCCCTCCCTCCGCCGACGTCAGCTGCCCCCGCGCGCGCCTTCCCCCCCCCGCCCGCCGGCCCCCGCCGGCGCCGTTCCCCCGGTAGTATTTACGTGCTGAACCGCACACCTCTGATAGCTTCCGTGACCCGCCCCACCTCCTCCCCATCGCCCCCGCCCCCACCCCCCCCCCTTCCGGCCCCCCCCTGCCCGTGCGCCGGGCTCCCCCCCGGCCCCGGCCCCGCGCCGGCCCCACCCCCCGCATGCTCCCCCCTTCCCACCCTCCCCGCCCCCCCCCCCTTCCCCCACCTAGGCACCCGCGACCCGTCCCTCCTCCAGCTCCCCTGGGCCCACGCCACGTGCCCCCCCGCTCCTCCTACCCCCGCCCTCCCGTCCGCTCCCCCCCGTTTGGCAGCTGCTCCCCGCCGTCCCACCCCCCCCCTTCCACTCCCCTCCCTCCGCCCTGTCCCCACCCCCCGCCAGCCCTCCTGCGTCCACCCCTCCGCCCCCGCTCCCCGCTCCCCACCCCCCCCACCGCCACCTCCCGCCCTGCCGCCCCCCCTCCTCCCCGCCCCGCCCCGCTCCCGGCCGGCCCCCCCGCCCCGCCCCGCCCGTCCCACGCCCCCTCCTCCCTCCAGTCCCCCGCCCCGCCCCACTGCCAGCGCCCCCGGACATGACTTATCACCCCCCCCACCGGGCCACCGGCCCCGGCATCCCCGAGCCCACGCCCCCAGCATCGGCCCCGCTCTTCCCGTCCTCCGGCCCCTTCCCTGCACCGCTGACCCCCCCGCTCCCGCGCCTCACCGCCCCGCCGGCCCCCCGGCTCCCGTCTCCCTGCAGCCCCCTCCGCCATCGCCCCGCCCCACCCCCCCCCCCCGCCCCCCCTTCGCCAGCGCTCCCCCCGCCGCCTCGCTCCCACCCCGTCCAGCCCCCCACTCCCCTCGCCTCAGTGCTCGGCCGCCCCCCCCTCCACACCCCCATCCCTGCCCGGCACCCCGTTGACCGCGCCCCCCCCACCCCCCCCCTGCCCCCCCACCCGCCTGCCGCCTCCCCCCGCCCCCTCCGCACCCCCCGCCCCCCCCGCGCCCCCCGTCGCCCCCCGGGCCAGCGCCCGCCCCCCCCCGCCCCGCGTGCGGCCGCACCCCCCCTCTGCTCCTGGGCGCCCGCGGGCGCTCGATCGCCTCTTCCCCCCGGCCGGCCCCGGCGCCGCTTCCCCCGCCCCGGCCCGCCATGCCCCGCAACCGCCCCTTCCCCGTCTCCGCCCTCGTCAGCTGGCTCCCCCCCTCTCCCCCTCACCCTCCATAGCTCCACCGCTGCCGCCCCCCCCGTCACTCCCAGCGCCTCCGGCCCGCCCCTCCCCCCCCTCTCCCCCCCCCCCGACCCTTGCCACCCCCCTCGGGTCGCCCCCCCCCCCCGCGTCCCCCCCACGCTGCCCAATTCCCAGCCCCGCCTCCCCGCCCCCCTCCCTCGCCCCCCCGCCCCTCCCGTCCCCCCGCCCCCGTCCCTGCCCCCCGTCGCTGGGCCGCCCCTGCCCCGCCCCCCCGCTCCCCTCCCCCGCCCCACCCTGGCCCCCCCCCCCGCCCCCGCTTGCCGCCCCCCCCCGCCCCCGCCCTCCCTCCCCCTCACCCCCCCGACCCCCATCACCCAGCTCCCCCTCGCCTCCCCTGCACCCTCCCCCCCGCCCCTCGCCCCCCGGCACGCGCACCCCTGGCCCCCCGACCCCCCACCCGCCCCCGCGCCGCAGTCCCCCGCCTCCCCCCTGCGCCCCCCCCCTCCGGCCGGCCCGACCCCCTCCAACCTGGCCCGTCGGCGCCCCCTCTCCCCCCGCCAAGCTCAGCGCCCCTTCGGGCCATCTGCCCCCTCCGCTCCCCTCCGCCAGCCCCCGCCCCCTCTCCTCCCCCACGCCGGGCTACCCCCCCCCACCGCCCACCAGCACACCCCTCCCTCGCGCCCATCCGCCCCCCCTCCCCGCCCCGACCCCCATCACCGGCCCCCGCCCTCGCTTCGCCCCCACCGCCCCCCCTCCTCCCTAGCTCGTCCCCCGGGCCGGTCCCTACACCCCGCCCCCCCGCTCACTAACCCCGACCCCACCCCCTCCCCCCGACCCTCCCCCTCCTTCGCCCTGCCCCCTCCCCGCCGCCCCCGCCCGGCTCGCCCCTCCCGCGCTCCGTTGCCCTCCCTCCCACCCCGGCCCCCCCACCTTGCCCCCCCCCACCCCCGCCGCCGCCCTCCCCGCCGCCCCCACACGCAGCTCCCCCCCCCCCCGACCCCCGGCCGCCTGGGCGCCCCGCACGCCGCCCCACACCCATCCCACCGCCCCCCGCCCCCCCGCCCCCCACCCACCTCGACCCCGCGTCCATGGGGGAGGCCCCGCCCGCCCGCATCTCGCCCCCAACCCCCCAGGGCCCCCCCCCCCGCCCCCGCTCCCACCCCCGTCTCGCCCCCCGCCACCCAGCCTCGCCGGTGCCGCCCCGCCCCTCCACGCGCACGCCCGCTACCTTACTACCCGCCCCTCTCCGACCCCTCGTCGTCCCCTCGCCCCCGTCGCCCCCGCCCCGGCCGCGCTGCTCCCCGCACCCCCCTCCCTCTGCACTCCCGCCCCTCCCCACCCGCCCGCCTTCCCGTCGCGCCCCCTCCACCCCCGGTCCCCCCCCCCCCTCCCTCACCTCTCCCCCCCCCCCCCTCCCCCCCCCCCCCCCCCTCCCAGCCACGCAGCTCCCGTCCTCCCCCCCCCCTCCCCCGCCTTAGCCCTTCGCCCTCCCCCCAGCCCGCAACCCTCCCCCCCCCGCCGCCCCCCGCCTCCCGTCCTCCCCCCCCCCCCCCCTTCGCTCCAGCGCGCGCCCCCACTCCCCCAGTACCGCGCCCCTCCCGCGCCCCGCCTCCCTCCGTCCTCCCGCCCCCCTCGTGCCCCTCCTCCCGCCCGGCCCCCACCACCCCGCCCCCGCCCCCTCTACTCCCCCTCCCTTTCAATCGACCGCCCCTCAACCCTGCCGCTCCCTCCCGCGCCCCCCCGCGGCCCCCCCCTCCGTTGGCCCCACCCGCAGCGCGCGCGCCCCCCCCCCTCCCCCCCCCCTCTCCTCCCCCCCGCGCCCCCGCCCCCCCCCTTCCCCGCACCGCCCCCCCTACCCCCCCTCCCCCCACTCCCCCTTCCGCCCCCCCCTCATCCCCCCCCCCACTACCCCCCCCGACTCCCCCGCCCCGCCCCCACTCCCCTCCACTCTCACCGCCCCCCTCCGCCCCCCCGCCCCCCTACTCCTGCCCCCGCGCCCCCCCTCCACCTGCGCTCCACCCCCCCTCTCCCCTCCCCCCGCCCCCCCGCCATTCCCTAGTGCTGCACGCTCCCCGTTTTCGCCTCTCCCGCGCTTAGCCCCCCCCCCCCCCGCCCCCCTCCCCCCCCCTGTCCACCTCCCGCCCCGCCCCATCCGCCCCCCCCCCCACCTCCCACGCCCTGTGCCCGCCCCGCCGTCCACGCGCGCCCCCCTCCTGCCCCCCACCCCTTCGGCCGCCTCCCCCCCCCCCGCCCCGCCTCCCGCCCCCCCTCCGCCTCCCCGCCGGCCCCTGCTCTGCCCCCCTGCCGCCCCCGCGCCCCCTCCCTCTCGCGGCGATCTTCTTCCACCCCCGCCCCCCCCTCCGCCCCCCCCCCCCGCCCCCTGACCCTCCCCTCCCCCCTCCCTCCTCGCCCCCCCCGCCCCCCCGCGTAAGGCCCTCCACCGCCCCCCCCCCGCCCCGCGCCCTGAGCCGCCCACTCCCCCCCCCCCGCCCCCCCCCCCCCCCCCCCCGCCCAACCCATCCCGTGCCCCCCCCGCCCTGCCCGCCCTCCCCCGCCTCCCCCTCCCCCGCCCCCCCCCCGCCCCCCCCTCCCCCGCTCCCCCCACCGCCCGGCCTCCCCCCGCGGACCCTCCCGCCCCCCCCCCCCCCCGCCCTCCCCCCCACAACCCTACGCCACCTCACCGCCTGCCCCGGCTGCGTTCGTCCCCCCCCCACCCGCCGGCTCCCCCGCCCGCCTCCCCCCTACCCCGCTCCTCCACGCCCACCGCCCCCCCCCATCCTACGCGACCCCCCTCCCTCGCCCAGCCCCCACCCCCCCCCCCCCACCCCCCCCCCGCCCCCGCTTGCCCGCCCCCTCGATCTCCCCGCCCCCCCCCCGCCCCTTGCGCTCCCGCTCCACCGCCCCCCCCCCCCCCTCCCCTCCGGTTGGGCTCCCCCCCCACCGCGCGCTTCCCCCGATCCCCCCCCCCCCGCCCCCCGCCCCGCCCCCCCCGCCCCCCCTCCCCCCCCGCTTCCTGCCCACGCATCCCCCACCCCCCCCCCCCACCCCCCGCCCGCCCGCCCCCCCCCCCCCGCCGCCCCCCCCGCCCCCCCCCCGCCCACCCCCACGCCGCCCACCTGCCTCCCCCCTACTCCCGCCCCCCCCCCCCCGCCCTTCTCGCGCACCTCCCCCCGACCCACCCCCCAACCCCACCCGCCCCCCCCCCCCCCCCTCCCGTCCAACCCCCCCCCGCTACACCCCCACCCCCTCGCCCCCCCGACCCCCTCTCCCTCACCACCCTGCTCCCCTCCCCCTACCCCCCTCCCCCTGTCCCCCCCTCTCTTGTCGCCCCAGCCCCCCGCCCCAATCCCCACCCTCCCCCTCCCTTCCCCCCTCCCACGTTCCCCCCTCCCCCCCCCCCGCCCCCCCCTCCCGCCATCCGCCCCCCCCCCGGGCCGCCTCCCCCCCCGCCCACCCCCCCCACCCCCCCCCCCCCGCCCCCCCCCCAACTTCCCCTAACCCCGCCCCCTCACCGCGCTCCCCCGTTACGTCCTCCCCCCTGCCCTGTGTCACCAGCCCACCGGGCCCCCCCATCTCCCCCCGCACTCGCCCCGCCCACCCCCCCCTGCACCCCCCGCCCCCCCCCCCCCCCCCCCGCCAGCGGCCCCCCCGGCCCTCCCCCCCGCACCCCACCTCTCTCCCCCCCCCGCTCCCCCCCCCCCGGCGCCCCCCCTCCTCCACGGACCCCACTCCACCGCCCCCCCCCCCTTGGGCCCCCCCCCCCCCAGGCCCCCCCCCGCCCTGCCTCTCCCTGCCCGCCGCCCCCCCCCCGCCCCCCCCACCGCCCCCCCCCCCCACCCGGGCCCGTCGCCTGCGCCGCCCGGGTCACCTCCCCTACCCCCCCTTCGCCGCGCCGCGGCGCCCGCCACTCCCGAGCACCCCCCCCCCCCGCTCTCTGCCTCCCCCCCCCCGCCTATCCCTCCCACCCTCTTCCCCTCCCGGCTCGCCCCCACCCTCCCCTCCCCACCCCCCCCCCCCCCTCCGCCCCCACCCCGCGCCCCTCCCCCCCGCGGCTCCCCCCCCCCCCCCCCCGGCCCACCCCGCCCCCTTCCCCCCGTCTCCCCCCCTCCCCGCGCTTCCCCCCCCTCCCCCCCTTCTCCTGCCCCCCGTCCCCCGCCCTCCTCCCTACCCCCCCCCCCCTCGCCCCCACCACCCCCCCCCCCGCCCCCCGCCCCCGCCCCTCCCCCCCCCCCCCCGGCCCCCCGCCCCCCCCGCCCCCCCGCCCCTTCGCTCACTACCGTCCCCCCCCCACACCCCTCCCCTCGCCCCACGTCCCCGTCGCCCCCTCCGCCCCGCCTCTTCCCCCCCTCCCCGCGCCCCTCCCCCCCCCCCGCCCGCTTTTCCTCGTCCACCTGCCACCCGCCGCCCACCCCCCCCCCCGCCCCGCCCCCGCCCCCCCTCCACCCGCCCCCCCGCGACCTCCCATCCCCCCCCCGTCCCCTCCCACCCCGCCCGCCGCGCCCCCCCTCCGCCCCCCCCCCGCCTTTCCCCTCCCGCCCCCTCCCCCCCTACCCGTCTCCGTCCCCCGCCCGCCGTCCCTCCCTCCCCCACCGCCCCCCTTGCATCGCCGTCCACCGTGCCCTCCCCCCCCGTCCGGGGGGGGGCGCCGGCCCGCTGCAACTGGCCCAATCCGTCCCCGCTCCCTCCCGCCGCCCTTCGGCCCCCCGCTCGCCCTCTCCTGCGCCCACCGACTCCTTCGCCCCCCCCCTCCGCCTCCCCTGCCCCCCCCTCCCGCCCCGCCCCCCGGCTCGCCTCCCTCCCCCCCCCCCCCACGCCCCGCGCCCCGTCCCCCCCCCCCCCCCCCGGCCCCCGACCCCCCGCTGCCCTTGCACCCACCTCCCCCACCCCGTCCCCCCCCGCCCCCCACCCCCGCCCCGCCCCGCCACCCCTCCCCCCCGCCCCCCCCCCACCTCCCCAGCCCCCCCTGCCCCTCCCACCGCCCTCGCCCCCCCCCCCCCCCCCTCACCCCCCCCCCCCCCCCCCCCCCCCCCGCCCCCCCCCCCCCCCCCCCCCGCCCCCCCCCCCCCCCCCGCCAGCCCCCACTACGCCCACACCCCCCACCTCTCCCACCCCCCCCCACCCGCTCCGCCCCCCCCTGCCCCTGCCCCCGTCCCCCTCGCCCGCCCCCGGCCCCCCCTCTGTCCCTCCTCTCCCCCCGACACCACACCCCCCCCTCCCCTGCCCCCGCCCCCCCTGCCCCCCCGCCCCGCCCCCCGCCCCACCGGCTCCTCTTCCCCTCCCCTCCCGCGCCCCCGCGCCCCCCCCCCCCCCCCCCCCCTCCCCACCGCGCCCCGCCCCCGCCCACCCCCCCCCGCCCGCCGCCCCCGCCCGCCCCCCCCCCCCCCCCCCCCCCCCCCCCGTTTAGCCCCACACCCGCCTCTGCGCCCGCCTCCCTCCCCCTCCCCCCCCGCCGGCCACTCCCCCTCCCCCCCCCCCTCCCCGCTCCCCCCCCACCCCCCCCCCGCCCCCCCTCCGCCCCTCCCCCCCCCGACCCCGCCCCCCGCGTGCGCCCCCACCCCCCTTGGGGGCACACCCCTTCCCCGCCGATGGTCCGCCTCCCTCCCCCCCCCCTGCCGGGCCCCCCTCCCCCCCGGGCCTCCCCCCCCCCGCCCCCCCCCACCCTGCACCCTGCCCCCCTCGCCCCCGCCACACACCACCCCGCCCCTCCCCCCCTCCCCTCCCTGCGCCTTCCCCGCCCCCTCCCTCCCCGCGCCCTTGGGCGCCCCACCCGTCCCCCCACCCCGGCCCTACGCCCCGCCCACCCCCCGCCGCGCCCTCCCGCCGCCCCTATCCGCTCCCCCGGCCCCCCGACCGCCCCCCCCCGCTTCCCGAAGGGCCCCGTACCCCCCCCCCCCAACCCCCCCCCCACTCGCCACCTCCCGTGTGCCCGGTTCCTCCCCCCCCGCGCCCCCCCCCCCCAGAACCCCCCCCTCCCCCCCCGCCCCTCCCTCCCTCCCCTCCCTCTCCCCCCTACGCGGCCCCCCTTTCTTCCGCCCCCCCGCCCCCCCCGCCCGTCCCCCCGTCCCGGCCCCCCTCCGCGGCTCCCCCCCCCCCCCGCTCCCCGCCTCCCCGCGCCTGCCACCCTTTCCCTCACCCCCCGCCCCCCCGCCGCCCCCCCGCGCCCGCCCCCCCCCCGGCCTCGCTCCCCATCAGTGCTGCCGGAACCCCCCCACCCCCCCCCCCTCCCCCCACCCTCCGCGCCCCCCCCCTTCCCCCCCTCCCCCCCACCTCCCGCCGTTCCCCCCCTCCGTCGCCCACCGCCCACGCCCCCCCCCTCCACCCCCCCCTCCCCGGGAGGCCGCCCCCCTTCCACGGCCACCCCCGCTCGCCCCCTCGTGCCCCCTCCGCCCCACGCCACACCCCCCCCTCCCCCTGCCCCCCCACCCCTGCACCCCCCCCCGTCGCTCGCCTCCCCCGCCCCCACCCCCCCGCCCCACCCAGCCTCCCTCCCCCTCCCCCCTCTCGCCCTCCCCCACCCGCCCCTCCCCCCCCCCCCCGCGCCCCCTCTCCCCCGCCCCCGCCCCACCCTGGCGGCCCCCCCTTGCACTCCCCGCCCTCCCCCCCCCTCTCCCGTCCTGCCCACCCACCCACGCGCGCCCCCCCCCCCCGCCCCCCACCCCCACTGGAGCCCACATCCCGCCCCGGCCCCCCACCGCTCCCCATCCCCGGCAGCCGCGCTTCCCCCGGCTCCCCTGGCGACTCCCCCCGCTCCCGGACGTCCCCCGCGGGGCTGGGGGGCTCGCCCCCCCCCCCCCCGTACCGCCCTCCCCCACCCACCCGCGCATCCGGTCTTTCAGTGCCCCCCGCCCGCACGCTCACCCCCTTCACACCCCCACTCACCGCCCGGACCCCCGCCGCCCCGCCCCCCGCCGCCCCTCCCCGCCCGGGCCCCGCCCCCCACCCCCGCCTCCCCCCCCCTCCCAGCGCACCCCCCCCCACCCCCCCCTACCGCGGCCTCCCCCCCCCGCTGTCCCCCCCCTGGCCCCCCCCCCACGCCCGCTCCCCCACCAGTCCACCTCACCCGCCCCCCTCCCCCCCCCCCCCAGCCACCCCCCCTCCCCCCCCCCACCACCGCCCCCCCCCACCCCCCCCCTGCCCTCCGCCTCCGATCCCCCCCCGCCGGCCTGGCGCCCCCCCCTGGCGCTCCCACCCCCACGACCCCCCCCCCCCCGCCCCCCGCCCCCGCCCCGCCACCCCCCCCCCCCCCTTTCCATCCCCCCCCCCGCCCTGCCCGGCTCCTCCCCCCCTTCGTCCCCTCGTTCCCCCCTCCGGCTCCCCCCCTCCCCCGCTTCCCCTCGCCTCCCCCTCCCCCCCCGCCTGCCCTCCCCCACCCCCCCCTCCGTCGCCCCCCTCCCGCGCCCCCCCGCCCCCTCTCGCCCCGCCCCCCCCCCGCCCCTCCCGCCCCCCCCCCTCGTCCCTGCCCCGCCCCCCTCCGTCGCACCCGCCGCCCCTCAACCCACCCCCCCCCCCCCGCCCGCTCCCCCGCGCCCCTGCCCCTTCCCCCGCTCGCGAGCCCCCCCCGGGCCTCCCCCCCCCCCCCCCCGCTAGCCCACCCGCCCCCCTCCCCCCCCCCCCTCCTCCCTACCCCTCCCCGCCCTCGGCCCTCCTCACCGCCCTTCCCCCCCCCCCCCTCCCCCCCACCACCCCCCCCCCCCCCCCCCCCCGTATCTGCCCCCCGCCCACCCCCCCCCCCCCTCCCCGCCCCCCCCCCTTCCCCCCCCCCCCCCCCGCTCGCCCCCAGCCCCCGTCCCACCACGTCTCCGGTACCTCCCCCGGCACCCCGCCACCCAGGCCCTCCCTGCCCCCCCGCGCCCCCCACAACCCCCCCCTCCCCATGCCGCTCCCGCGCCGTCCCTCCCCCCCCCCCCACACCCCGCAGTACCCCCCCGTCCCCCCCGCCCGTACCCGTTCCGCCCAACGCCCCCCCCCCGGGCCCTCACCCCCCCTCCCCCTCCCCCCTTTGCCCCCCTGCCACCCCCCCCTCTCCCCCCCGCCCCCCCTCCCCCTCCCCCCCCCCCCCCCCACCCCCGCGCCCCGCGCCGCCAGCCCCAGCCCCGCCCTGGGCGCCTCCCCCCGCCCCCCACCCCGCCCCCGGCACCCCCCCCGGCCGCGCTCCCCACCCCCCAACCTCCCGGACTCGCCCCCGATTGGTCCCTCCCACTCCCCCCCTCAAGGCTCCCCCACCCGGGCCCCCCCCCCCCCGCCCCCCCCCCGCCCCCCCTCCACCCCCCCCCCGCCCCCCCCGCCCCCCGGTTTCCCCCACTCATCACCACCCCCCCCCCCCACCGGGCCCACGCCCCCCATCGCCCCCCGCCACGGTCTTCGCGCCCTCCCCGCCCCAGGTCGGCGCCCCGCGGCCTTCTCTCGCCCCCCTCCGCCCCCCCCCCCTCCCCCCCACCGCGCGCCCGGCCCCCTCCCTCCCCCCCCCTCCCCTCCACTTCGTCCACCTTCCGCGGCCCCCCCCGCCCTCCCCCGCCCTTGTCCCACGGCCCCCCTCCCCCCCTTAGCCCCTCCCCCGCGCGCCGCTCATCTCCCACCCGGCCCCCCTGCCCCCCCCCTGCGCCCCCCCCCCTCCGCCGCGCCCCCCTCTGGCCCGTCCGCTCCCCCGCCCGCCCCCCCGCCCCCACGTCCCCCCCCCCCCCTCCCCGCCCCTCCCACCACCCCCTCCCTCCTCACCGCCCCCCCCCCCCCCCCCCCCCCACGCGTCCCCCCCCCACCTGCTTCCTCCACCCCCCTAGGCCCCCCGCCTGCCTCCTCCCCTGCCCGTCTCCCCCACCCCCAACCGGCGCCTCCCCCGCCATGCGCCCCCTGGTCCCCTCCGCCGGCCGCCCCGCCGCCTCCGATTGCGCGCCGCCCCCCACCCCCGATCATCCCCCCCCCACCCCCTCCGCTCACCCGCCCGCGGGCCCCTTTTCGCCGGCCCCGCTCCACCCCTCGCCGCCGGCGCCCGCCCCCCCTCCCCCCCACCCCCCCCCCCCCTCCCCGTTCTCCCCGCGCCCGCCGCGCCATTCGTCGCTCCACAGTCGCCCAGCCCCCCGCCCGGCCCCCCCCTCCGGTCCCGCCCCCCTTGCCCGACTACGCGTCCTTCCCGCCCCCGCCGCGGGGCGCGCCCCCCTCCCCCACCCCCCCCCCCCTGCTCCGCCCCCCCCTTCCCCCCCCTCCCTGCCCATCGCGCTCCCCCATGTTTGGGACATCCCCCTCCCCCCTCCCCCCCCCGCCCCCTCCTCTGGCACTCCCCCCCCACCGCTGCATCCCCCGCCCCCGCTCCCTTGCCACCGCGACCCCCCCGCCCCTTCCACCCTCCCCTCGCGACCCCCTAGACCCGCACCCCTCCGCCCGCCCCCCACCCGGCTTGCCCCCTCCCCCCCCCCCCCACTCCCTCCGGGCCCTCCGCCCCCGACCCCGCCCCCCCCCCGTCCTGTCCCCCAGTCCCCCCCCGGGCCCACCCCCCCCCCCGCCCCGCCTCCCGCCCCGCATCCTCCCGCCCGGGCCGCGCCCCCCGCCTACCTCCCCCCGCTCCACTCCCGCCCCCGCCCCCCTCTGGTTCCTGCCCCCCCCCCCCTGCACTCCACCCACGCTCCCCCCCGCCCCCCCCCTCCCCAGCCCCCCGCCCCCCGCCCCCCCCCCACCCCCGCCCGCGCCCCCCCGCCCCCCCTCCCCCCCCCTCCCCCCGCCACCCGCCATCGCCGCCCCGCGTGCCCCCCCCCCCCCCCCCCCCCTCCCCCACAGACGCTCCAACGCGCCCGCCCCGCCCCGCACCACCTCCTCCCTGGCGCCCCACCTGCGGGTCCCCGCCCGCGAGCGCCGTGCCACGCCCCCGCGTGGCTCCCTGCCGCCTGTTTGCGGGCCTCCGCCTCCCGGCCCCGCCCACCCCTCTCCGACGCCCACCGCCCCCCTGGCCGAGCCCCCCCCCGCTCGCCCGGCCCCTCCCACCCCCCCCCAACCCCCCCCACCCATGCCCCCCCCCTCGCGCCCGCCTAGGCCCCCCCACCCCTCCCACCCGTCCCCTGCTGCTCCGCCCCCCGACCACTCCCGCCCCCCGCCCCCCCCGCCCTCCCCTCTCACTCGCCCCCCCCGCACCCTCCTGCCGCGCCCCGCCCCCGCACCCCGCCCCCCCACGCCCTCGCCCCCTCCCCCCCGCCCCCCTGCCACCCACGTCCTCCCCCGCCCTCTCGCTTCCCCCGCCCTGTCGTCCGCGCCGCTGCCGTTTTCCAAGCTCCGGTGCCCCCCCCGCCTCGGCATTCCCCCCCCGCCCCCCCCCCGCGCCGCGCCCCTACCCCCCCCCCCCCGCCCCCCCCCGCCCCCCCCCCGCCCCCCCCCCCCCCTTCCCCCCTCCCGCGCCGGCGACCCCCCCGCTCCCCCGCCCCACCCGACCCCCCGTGGCCCTCCCGGTCCGCCTCCCCCCCGCAATCCCCCGTGGGCCGCGCTGGCCTCTCTCCCTCTCCGCCCCCCCCCTACCCCCCCTCAGTCCGCTCACCCGCCCGCCCCCCCCGCCCGCCCCACCGCCCCCCCGCCGCGCCCCCCTCCCGTCCCCCCGTACACGCGGTCACCCGCCGCCCCCACTCCCCCTCCCCCTCTCCCGCCGCTCCCGCCCGCCCCCTCTCCCCCCCCGCCCGTGCCTCCCCCCGGACCCCCGAGCCCCACGGTCCCCCCCCCCGCGACCCCCCCCCCCGGCCCACCCCCTCCTCCCCCTGCCCCCCTCCGCACACCCCCCCACCCCCCCCCCCGCCCCCCACGCCCCGCAATCCGGCCTATCCCCGCCTCCCGCCCCTCCCCCACCCGTTCCCCGCCCCCACCCCCCTCCGGCGGCCGGCCCCTCCCCCCCCCCTGGTGGCCCCCCACCTGCCGCGCCCCCCCCTCCGCCCGCCCCGCCTCCTCCGCCCGCCCCCGCCCCCCCCCCCCACCCCGCCCGCGCCCCCCCACCCCCCGGCCCCCCGGCCCCACCCCCTCCACCCCGCACCGACGCCGCCCCCCCCCCGCCGCAGTCCCCCCCCCCTCGTCCCCCTCCTCCCCCCCCCTCTCGCTCCCCTCTCTTCCCCCCCCCTCTCCCCCCCGCCTCGAGCCGCTCCCGCCCCCCGCCCCCCCTCCCCCCGCCTGCCCCCCCCCCCCGCGCCCCCCCCTCACCGCCCTGCCCCCCGCTACCCCCCGAGCCCTCGCTCCCCTCCGTGGGCCCGCCTCGCCCGCGACCCCGCCTCGCCCCGAAGCCAGCTTCCCCCCCTCCGCCCGCCCCCCTCCCTCCCCCCCTCTCGCCCCCCCTTTCCCCGGCCCCACGCCCCCCCCCCCCAGCCCCCCCCCCCCCCCGGCACCCCGAGCGTCCCCCCAGCCCCGCCCCCCCCCCCCTGCCCCCCCCACTCCCTCTCCCCGCCGCCCCTAACCCCCCCGCTCCCCTACCTCCTCCCCTGCTCCCCACCCGCCCCCCCCTCCCGCTCCACCGCCCCCCCGCCGCCGCCGCCCTCCCCCCTCCCCCCCCCCCCCCCCGTTCCCAGCCCCCCCCCCCCCCGCCCGCCCCCGCCCCCGCCCCCCTCCCTAGGCCCCCCCCCCCCTCCTCCCCTCCCCCCCCCCACCCCCTCCCCCCGCCAGACTTCCGTCCGCGCCCCGTCTCTCCCGGCGCAGGCCCCCCGCCCCCCTACCCTGGGTTCCGCACCCCCCCTCCCACCCCCTCCCCCTCCCCCCCCCCCCCCGCCCTTCCTCATCCCCGCCCCTCCCCTCCCCCCCCCTCCACCTCCCCCCCTCTTCCCCCTGCCCCCCGCCCCCCCATCGCCGCCCCCCCCCCCCCTCCGCCCCCCCGTCCGTCCCCGCCCCCCCCCACCCCCCCCCCCCCCTTCACCCCGTCCACTCGCCCCCCCCGCGCCCCCCCCACCCCCCCTCCCCCCCCCACCCCCCACCCGGACGCCCCCCCCCCCCCCCCCCCCCCCCCTCCCCTCCCGCCCCCCCCCCCCACCACCGGCCCGTCCCCCCCCTCGCTCCCCCCCTCCCCCCCCCCTCCCCTCGCCCCCCCGGCCCCCCACCCCGGCCCCACCCCCCCCCCGCCCCCCCCCACCCCCCGCCACACTCTCCCCCAACCCCCCTCCTCCCCCCCCCGCTCCCCCGCCCCCCCGCGGTGCCTTACCCCGCGCTCCCCACCCAGCCCCCACCCCCCCCGCCCCCCCACCCGTCCCCTGCGCCTCCCCCCGCCCCCCCGGCCCGTCCACCCCCCACCCCCTCGGCCTCCCCATCCCCCCCGTTGGCGCCCCCCCCACGCCCCCCCCCACACGGTCCCACCACCCCCCCCCCCCGCCCCCGCCCGCCCCCCCCCCCCCCCCTCCCCTCCCCCGCCGCCTCCGCCCTCCTCCCCCCTCCCCCCCCCCGTGGTGCCTTCCACGCTGCCCCCCTCCGCCCCCCCCCTCCCTCCTCACCCCCCCCCCCCCCCGCTCCGCCCCCCCACCCCCCCCAGTCCCTCCCCCCCCGGTTCCTCCCCTCCCCTCCACCCCCCCCCCCACAGCCCCCCCACCCCCGCCCCGCCCGCCCCGCCCCCCACCCCCCCGCCCCGCCCCCCCCCCCCGCCCACCCCTCCCCCTCCCCCCCCTCCCTCGCTTTCTCGTCCCCCCTCGCCGCCCCTCCCCCCCATACCCTCCCACCCCCCCGCGCCCCCTCACCCCTTCCCCCCCCCCCCCCCCTGCCCCCCACCCCCCCCCCCCCGGCCCTCCCCCCCCACCCTCCCCCCGCCGGCCCCCGCCGTCCCCCGCTCTACCCCACCCCCACCCCTCCCTCGCCCCTCCGCCCCCCAGCCCCCGCGCCCCCCCCCTCCCCGCGCCCGCACTACCCCCCGCCTCCCGCCCCTCTGTCTACCCTCCGCCAGTCCCCCCCGCTGACCGGCCACCCGTCCTCTGCCACCCCCTCGTCCCCTCCCTCCCCCTCGCGCCGCTCGGCCCCGCCACCCCCTCATTCCCCCCCCCTCGCCACCCTCCCCTACTCTAGCGGACCCACCCCCCCTCCCCCCGCCTCGCCCCCCGCCCGCCCCCTGCCCGCGCCAGACCCTCCCCCGCCTCCCGCTCCCGCCCCACCCTCCTGCCCCGCCCGGCCCCCCATTCCGGCCCCCGCCCGCCCCCCACCCCCCCCCCGGCCGCTCCCCCCCCCCCCCCCGCCCCCCGCCACCCCCCTCGCCCCCGCCCCCCTCCCCCCCCTCCCCACCCACCGCCACGTCTCCACCCCGGCCCTCCCGCCCCCCCCCCCCTACTCCCCCGCGCCTCTCCGGCCCACCCCTCCACCCCCCCGCCCTCCCCACCGCCCCCCTCCGCCCTACCCCCCGCCCCCCCGCTTCCCCGCCCGTCCGTCGCGTCCCACTCCGGCCCCCCCCCCCCCCCCCCGACCTTCCCCCTCCCCTAGCCGCCCCCTCCCCCTCCGCCCGCGCCCCCGCACCCCCTGCCGCCCCCCGCCCCCCCCCCCCCCCCCCCCCCACGCCCCCGGCCCGACACCCCGCCACCCTCCCCCCCACCGACCCGCCCCCGCCGCCCCAGCCACCCCCCACCGCCGTCCCCCGCCCCCTCCCCCCTCCCCCTCCCGCCCTCGTCCCTCCCCCCCCCCCCACCTCCCACACGCGCCACCCCCCCCCCGCCCGCCCCCCACCCCCCCGCCCACGCGCCCCTCCCCCCCACCCCCTCGCCCCCCACACTCACCCCCCTTTCCCACCCCCCACCAGCCCTCTCCGCCTCCCCTCCCCCCGCCCCCCCCCTCCGACCCCACACCCCCACACACCCCCCGCCCCCCGTTGCGCCCCTCGCCCCCTCACCCCCGACCTCCTTATCTCCCTCCCCCCGCCCCCCCCCCAGCCCCCCCCCCACCCCACCGGTATCCGCTTCCACCCCCTCTCTACCCCGCCTCCTCCGCCCCCCCGCCTCCGCCCCTCCCGGTCTCCGCCGGGCCCCATCCCTCCCCTCGGCCCCCCCCCCCCGCCCCACTCCCACTCCCCCTTCCGCCCCCCCGCCCCCCCCCCCCCCCCCCTCCCCCGCCCTGCCCCCCCCCCAACCCCCTCCCGCCCTCCCCCCCCCTCCTCCCGGCCCGCCCTCCCCGCCCCCTCCTCCCCCCCGCCCGCCGCTCTCCCCCCGCCCCCCTCCCCCTCTCCCCCCCTCCTCCCCGCCCCCCGTACACCGCCCTTCCCCCTCCCCCTTCCCTCCCCCCCCCGCCCCGGCCCCGACCCCCCCCCGCCCCCCCCCCGTCCCGACTCGCCCCCCCCCCTCCACCGCTCCACTCCACCCCTCGCCCGCCCCCCCCCCCCCGCCGTCGCCCCCCCCGACCCCCCCCCCCCCCTGCCCCCTCCCCCCCCCTCGCCCTGCCCCCCCTCTCCCCCCGTGACCCCCCATTGTTCCCCCCCCCCACCCCACCCCCCCCACCGTCACCCCCGACCACCCGCCCCCCCTCCCCCCGCCACCACGGCCCCCACGCGCCCCCCCCCCCCCGCCCCCCCCCCCCCCCTCGGCACCCTGATCCCCCGTCACCCGCCCCCCCCCCAGCGCCACCCCCCGGACCCCCCCGGTCGCTCTCCTACCCCCCCCCCGCCCCCCGCGCCTCTCCCCGCCCTCCCCCGCTAGCCCCCGCGCTCCCCGCTCCCGCCCCCCTGCCCCCCCCCCCCCTTCCCCGCCGTGCCCCCCCTACTCGCCCCTCCCGGCCCTTCTACCCTTCCCCGCCCCCTCGCGCCCTCCCGCCGCCCCACCCGCCGCCCTGGGCCTGCCACCCCGCCCGCCCCACTAGCACCCCCCCCTCACCCCCCCTCCCCCTTCTGTCCCGCCACCCCCTCCCCCCGTCTCCCACCCCGAGCCCCCCCCCCCACTCTCCCCTCCCCCTGCCCCCCGCCGCGACCGCACCCGCCAGAGCCCCCGCCACGCCCCCGCCCCCCCCCCCCGCCCCCCCCCCCCCTCCCTCCGCCCTCCTCGCCCATTGCACCGCCTCCCTCCCCCCCTCCCCCCTACCCCCCCCCCCTTCACCCACCGGGCGAATCCCCCCCTCCCAGCCACCCTGCACCTCCCCACCCCCCCCCCCCACCGCGCCCCCCCCCCCCCTCCCCCCCCCCCCCCCCCCTCGCCCCCTCCCCGCCCCCCCCCCCACCCCCCTCCGCCCCCCCCCCCCCCCTCCCCCCCCCTGGTCCCCTCCCCCTTCCCCCCCAGCCAGCCCCCCTATCCCCGCCGCCAAGCCCCCCCTCATCCCATCCCCACCTCCCCCCCCCCCGGCTCCCACCCCCCCCCGCTCCCCCGGGCCACCTCCGTCCGCCGCCCCCCCGCCCTCCTCCGCCCCGCGCAGCTCCCCACGCCCCCCCCCCTCCCCCCCGCCCCCCCCACGCCCCGCCGCCCTCACCCCCCCCCGTCCCCTAACCGCCCCCCCCACCCCCCCCCCCCCCCCCCCCCCCGGCTTGCCCCCCCCCCCCCTCCCCCCCCGCCACCCCCGCACCCCCCCCCCCGCGCCCCTCCCCGCCCCAGCCCCCTTCCCCCCCCCTCCGGCCGCGCCCCCCTCGCCAGCTCCCACCTTCCCCCCCCCCCACTTCCCCCCCCCTTGCCATCCCCCTTTCCGCCCCCCCTCCCCCGCCCCCGCCCCGCGCGGCCCCCCCTTCCCCGCCCTTGCCGCGATCCCGCCCCCCTCCGCTCCCGACACCCCCCCACCCCCCGCCCCCCGCCCCCCCTCCCCCCCCCCCCTCCCCCACGCCTCACCCGCCCGCCCCCACGCCCCCCGCCCCCGCCGCCCCCCACCCCCCTCGCGCCCCGCCCCCTCCCCCGCCCCGCCCCCCCCGACCGTCCCCCTGCCCCGCCCCCCCGCGCCCGGCTCCCCCGCCCGTTCCGCCCCTACCCCCCCCCCCCCCGGCGCTCGCACGGCCTCCCCGCGCCCCGCCCCCCCCCGGCCCCCCACCTACCCCCACCCCCCCCCTCCCCTCCCCTCACCCCGTCCGCCCCCCCCCCCCGCGCCCGCCAATCCCCCCCCCCACCCCCCCCCGCCACCCCCCCGCCCACGGTCCCCCGCCCCCCCCGCCCCCGCCCCGCTCCCCTTTCCCCCTCGCCCACCCACCCCCCCCGCCCCCCCCCACCCCCCCCGACCCCCCCCCCCTCTCCCCCCCCCCCCTCGCCGCCCCCCTCCCGTGCCCCCCCCCCCCATGCACCCCCCCCCCCCTCCCGCCCCCCACGGCCCCTTCCCCCCCTCCGACCCCGCCCTCCCCCCTCCTTCCGCTTCCCGCCCCCCCCCCGCGCCGCGCCGGTAGACCGCCGCGCCTCCCCCCCACTCCCTGCCCGCCCCCCCCCCCGCTCACCCGCCGCCCGGCCCCCCGCTGCGCCCCCCCCGCCCCGCCCCCCGCCCCCCCCCGCCGCCCCGCCCTCCCGCGTCCCCCGCCCGCTCCCCCCCCCGGCTCCCCCCCCCCCGCGTTCCTCCCCCGTCCCCCCGCCCCGCCCCGCCGCCCTGCCCCGCTCCCCCCGCAACCCACCCCCCCCTTCCCCACGTCTCCCTCCCCCCCACGCCCACCGACCCGCCTCGACGGCCGCGACCCCCCCCCCGCCCCTCCCCCCCCGCCTCCCTCCAGCCCCCCCCACCGCCACCCTCCCCCCGCCCAGCCCCCTCCCTCCCGTCACCCCACCCCCCCTGTCCCTCCCCCCCCCACCTCTCCCGCTCCCCCCCCCCCCTCCCCCCCCGCCGTTCTAGCCACCCGCTCCCCACCCCCCCCCCTCCCCGACTCGCCTAGCGCTTGGACCCCTCGTTCCCGCCCCCCCCGCGCCGCCCCCCCCCCCCCCCCCCCCCCCCTGCCCCCACCCGAGCCCCCTCCCCCCTACCCCCTCCTCACCCCCCCCCCACCCTGCCCCACCACACCCCCCCCCCCCCCCCGCTCCGCCCCCCCCCCCCCCCTCTCTCCCCCTCGCCATCGGAAGCGCCCTCCCCACCACCCCCGCCCCGGACTGCGCACCCACCCCCCGCCTGCGGCCGCTCACCCTTCCCGCCCTGCCCGTCCGCCCTCCCCCCACCCCCGACCCCCCCCCTCAGCCCCCCCCGCCCCCCGCCCGCCCCCCCCCCGCCCGCCCCTCCTCCCCCCCCCCCCCTCCTCCCCCCCCCTCCCGCCCCCCCCCCCCCCCTCCTACCCCCACCCACGCCCCTCCGCACCGCCCCCACCCCTCTTCGCCCCACGCCCCGCCGCCCCCCCCCGCACCCCCCCCCCCGCCCCGCCCCCCCCCCCATCCCCGCAATCCCCCCCCCGCCACCCCGCACCCCCGCCACCCCCCCCCCCCACCCCCGCCATCCCCCCCGCCCTCCTGTCCCCCTGCAACCCCCCCCCCGGTGACCCCCGCCCCGCCACCCCTCACTTGCTCCCCCCCCCCCTCCCCCCCACCCCACCCCCCCACCCCGCCCCCCCCCCACCCCCGCCGCCCCCCCCCCCCCCCCCCCCGATCCCCCCCCCCCCCTCCTCCCCCCCCCCCCGCCCGCCCAACCCCCCCCCCCCCCCCCCCCTGTCCCCCCCCCCCCCCACGCCCCTTCCCCCCCCCCCCCCCTCCCCCCTCCCTTCCACTCTTCCCACCCCCCCGCCCCACCCCCCCTCCCCCCCTCCCCCACCCGCCCTCCCTCCCAGCCCCCCCGCCCGCCTCCCCGCCGCCCTCTCCCCCCCCTCGTCCCCCCCCCCCCCGCTCCATCCCCCCCCGACCCCCTGCCCCCCCCCGCTCGCCCCGCCCCCACCGCCCCCCGACTCCCCCCTCCCCCGCACCCCTCCCCGGCTCACCCCTCCCTCCCCCCCCCCCCCCCCCCCCCGCCCCCCTCCCGCCCCCCCACCGCGCCCCTCACCACCCTCTCACCCCTTCCCTTCCGGGCCCGCCCCCCTCCTGTCCCCCCCCCCCCCGTCAGCCCCCCCCCCGGCGCCGCCCTCGCCCGGCCCCTCCTACTCTTCCCCCCCGCGCACCACCCCCCCCCCCCCCGCCCCCTCCCCTTTCCACCTCTCCCCCCTCCTCCCCGTCCCGGCGCCTCGCACCCTCCCCCCCCCCCACGCCCCCCCCCCCTCCCTCCCCTCCCCCCACAGCCCTAGACCCCCCCCCCCCCCTCACCCGTCCGGCGCCCACCCCGCCCCCCCTCCGCGTCCTCCCTCCTTCGCCCCCCCCCCCCCCCCCCCCCCCTCCCCCCCGGCGTCGGTAGCCCCCCCGGCCCTCCGCGCTCTCTCGCACCCTCCCCCTTCGCTACCCCACCCCCCGCCACCCCCCCCCCCCCGTGCCCCCCCCCCGCCCCCCCCCACCCGCCACCGCGCTGGCCCGACCTCCCAGCCCCCCCGCCCATCGCAGCCCGGCCTACTTCCCCCCCCCCCCCCGCCCCTTCCCCCCCCATCGCGCCTCCCCCGTCCCCACTCCCCCCCCCTCGTCCCCCCCCCCCCCCCCGCCCTCCCCGCCCCCGCCACTCCCCTCCTGCCCCTCCCCCCCCTATAGCCCTCCGCCCGCCGCCCTCGACCGCCTCCCCCCCACTCCCGCCCGCCCCCCCCCACCCGCCGCCCCGCCCCCTCCAGCCCCGACCCCCCTCCCCCCCCCCCTCCCCCCCCCCCCCCTTTACCTGCCCTCCCTGCCCCCCCTCCCGACCACCCAGCCTTCCGCCCCCTCCCGGTCCACCGCCCCATCCATGCCCCGCCCGCCCCGTCCCCTGCGCCCCCCCCGCCCGCCGCCGCGTCCCGCCGCGGGCCCGACCCTCCGCCCACCCACCACTCGCATCCCCCCCACCCCCGAGTCGTCCCGGCCATCCCCGCCCCCCACCCTCCCCCACCCCCCGCCCCCCCCTAGCCCCCCCCGTCGCCTCCCCCCCGCCACCCCCCCCCCCCCTCCACCCTTCCCCCGGTCCCTCCCAGCATCCGCCCCCCCCGCTCCCTCCCCTCCCCCGCGCGCCGTCCCCGCAGCTCTCTCGCCTCCCCGCTCCTCGCACCCCCCGTCCTCCCGCCCCGCCCCCCCTCGTCCCTCGGCCCCCCTCCCCCCCGCCCCCCCCCGCCATCGCCTCGTCCACTCCCCCCCCCCCCCCCCCCCCCCCCCCCCCTTCCCCGGTTCCCCCCGGCGCACGCCGCGCCCCCCCCCCCTGGCGGCCGCCCGGCCTCCTCGCCACCCGCGCCACCCGCTCCTGCCCCCCAGCCCGCCCCCGCCCCTCGACCCCCACCCTCCACCCATTCGGCGCGCTGCACCCCCCGCCCCCGCCACCCGGCAGCCCTCCCTTCCCCGCCCCCCCACCCCCGCCTCGCCCCTGCCTCGCCTCCCCCCCCCCTCGCCGCCCCCTCCGCCACCCGCGCTCCCCCTGCCCGGCCGCCCCCCCGCCGCCCCTCTCCCACAGCCCCGCCCCCCACCTTCGCCCCCCCCCCCCCACCCTCCCGCACCCCCCCTCCCCTCCGGTAGCCCCGCCGTCCCTCCCCCTCCCGCGGCCCACCCTTCCCGGCCGCGCCCGCCAAGTGCCCCCCCTGCGGCCCGTGCGCGCCAGCCCCCGCCCCCCCCCCCCCCCCGGCCCGCGCCCGCGCCCCAACACCATCCCCCCCGCCCCCCCCCCCACGCACCCTCTCTCTCCCTCGCCCTCCCCCCGTGAATGTTTTAGAATGGGAAATTTAATTTAAATTTATATAATGTAGAAACTACAGAGTGAATCAAGTAGGGTGTGTGCATCTCAGAATAGTGTTCAAATGAAAACACTAGTGTTTGTTCATATTATGTGCGAAAATTAAGAGCTTTGGTTTCAGCCTTCATACACTTAGATATAATATTTTTTTTTATGATCAAAACTGGGGGGGGGGGGGGGGGGGATGGGGGGGGGGGGGGGGGGGGGGGGGGGGGGGGGGGGGGGGGGGGGGGGGGGGGGGGGGGGGGGGGGGGGGGGGGGGGGGGGGGGGGGGGGGGGGGGGGGGGGGGGGGGGGGGGGGGGGGGGGGGGGGGGGGGGGGGGGGGGGGGGGGGGGGGGGGGGGGGGGGGGGGGGGGGGGGTGGGGGGGGGGGGGGTTCCTTTTTCTTTAGTTTAAAACTATCGCAAACTAGCATCTTTACTACCACTGTACTGTATGTAGACAGTATTTACAGATAATAGTATGGAGTTACTCTGTAGACTAGACTTAAAGACATTTTATTCTGCTTTGTGCCATATTTGGCACAAAGCAGGTGCCTCCATATTTGGAGGCACATAGGGAGGTGGACCGGCTGGTGTCCTGGTGCAGTGGTAACAACCTGGATCTGAACACCCAGAAGACAGTGGAGATGTTTGTGGACTTCAGGAAGAGCACAGTCCCTTCGCCCCCACCCTCCGTGATGGACTCCCCCATCACCTCTGTGGAGTCCTATCGTTTCCTGGGCACCACCATCACCCAGGACCTCAAGTGGGAGCCGAGCGTCAGCTCCCTCATCAAGAAGGCCCAGCAGAGGATGTACTTCCTGCAGCAGCTCAGGAAAGCCAAGCTGCCTGCACAGATGTTGGTGCAGTTCTCCTCTATCACCGTGTGGTTCGCTGGAGCCACAGTCAGGGACAAACAGAGACTACAGCGCATTGTGCGCTCTGCAGAGGAAGTGATCGGCCGCAGCCTTCCATCGCTGCAGGACCTGTACGTCGCCCGAGCTTGAGGCCGGGCTGGTCGTATCACAGCCGACCCCTCTCACCCTGCACATGGACTATTCCAACCACTCCCCTCAGGCAGGAGGCTGCGGCCCATCAGGACTAGAACCTCCCGCCACAAGAACAGTTTCTTCCCCTCTGCTGTTGGACTCTTGAACACTTCTTAACCTGTCCCCCCGCCCTTTATAAAGTCACTTTACTGCCCATCATACGTCACTTTACTTCACTGTACTGCTGTCACCTTACATTGTGTGCACCATGTGCACTTGTATATTGTAAATAGTAACTGTAACTCTATTTTAAATTTAAATGTATTCCTTAGAAGTGTTTTTTATTATCTCTTTCTGACTGTTGCACTGAGCCAAAGCAATTTCCAAGTCTGTGACCTCCTGTTACTTACATGGCAATAAAAATGATTCTGATATTTCATAGACCCAATGACTTCAAAAGATTCTTTGCTTCTGGCTCTCGAGTCAAAATTAAGTCATAAATCAAAGATATTGGGAAAGAAAACGAGTACACAGCAGTGCAAAAGGAAGTAATAAGACCAGGAATTTTAAAATACTAACATGACCATATGGCCCTCCTGAGTTATTTAATCTCAACATATGGGGAGACCTATAACTGTCCGTCCTCCAGTTTGTGAGATGATATTGGTGTTAAAAGCCGGAGTGATTATGGTCCAATCAAGATTCCATCGGAAAACCCGTGTGCCTTTAATAGCGCCCTAATACTATAGTGATTCTTGTTTTAGTTCCGTCTGTATTGATTTGCGCCGATAATGCTGCTGTTGATGCAATGATAAATAATTAAAGCAATTTGAGTGAAGGAGATGGACAGAGACGAGGAGGAAGCTTTCAGGGACAATGGACTGAATGATTGATGTGTAAGACGGAGGTTCCACTGCTTAAAACTAAGTTTATATTGACGATCACAATGTCAAAGTCTTTCGGTCATGTCCAGACTGTGTCCAGTAAATACTTAATGATTCTGTGACGACATGCATGGATTTGTTTCAGTCTTGTACTTTAATAAGATAAACTTTTGGCAACTACATAAACACAAGGCCTCCCTCTGTTTCTCTTCACTAAATACAAATACATTATTTTATGGCCGGTCTAGAGCTGCAAGATTGTAGGAATAAAGTTTTGTCTTGTAAGTCCGACTTAGGATTTGAATCTCTCATGGTTTAAAACGTGCTGACTAGGGGTGTCACGGTATGAAAATTGAACTTCACGGTTATTGTGACCAAAATGATCTTGTTTTCTGTATTTTTAAGTTCAGTGAATAGGTTCAGAAAGCCTTGTTAGTCCCTCGGCATTCTTTTAAAAATCCAAAATATGCTCACACTTCAGACCTTCAGTCCTGAGTTTGTACAGAGTGCGCCCAACTTCAGCAAACTCAGATGCGGGAAAGACTAATATCTTTTTTTAATTCAAGGTCAAGGCACTGTTTGTTTATATAGCACATTTTAAAAAACAGACATGACTGTCAAAAAGTGCTTTCCAGACATTACAAAATACAACACAACACACAATATCAATATATATTTAAATATTGCTTGAGTTAAAAAGCCATAGTAAAGAATTCTCTCTTTAGCTGCGAAACAATATTTTAATTAGTATAGCTATTGTTCATGTGTCTTGTGCTGTGTGCTCCTCTTTCCTATACTGTTCTATAACTTGTGATACAACACTGAAATTTCCCCACTGTGGGACTAATAAACCTTCCTAAACTAGTGGATTTTAGTCTAACCAGTGCTGTAGCATAACATATTTTGGCACCATTGAAGGACTAGAATTAGCTATTTATGTTATGTCATCTCATTGCCCAACTTTTTTCCACCATGGTTTTGAAATTGGGTATAGTCTATTTGAGTTGGTATTGGTCTAGTTTGCACACATGGTCCATCTCTCCTTCTTACCCCAAATATCCACTTGTCTCTGGGCATACTATTTAATCTAATTCCATAAGCTACATTTTTTTTATTTCCTGCCTCACCAGTTTGTGTTTGGACGTCTGGTTTGATTAATGTCGTGGTCGCTCCGTCTGTGTAATGTCATTTGCGGAGTTCCAGGGCTCTGGCTCATATCATCTCCCATTTATATTGGAGTAGTGTCTCTAATGAGAGCACTGGCATCTCCTATGGCACTCAAACGCACCACACACTACTCTAGCTCTGTGAAGCCTGCGCAGTGTGACGGATTAGAAGAAGAGTGGACCGTGGCGGCTTTAAGAGGGAAACTTTGTGACTTTGGGCCAGTGGAAAAGGGGAAAAGCTGCAGGAGCCGAGACTTATGGCTGGATTCCAAGACTTAACACTATTTGTTCTGGAGAATGTTTGTAACAGGGAAACATGAGCTGCGGAGGGAATGTGTGAGTCAATAATACGATCATAGGTTGTTTATCAAGCAGCAGCGTCACAATATAAAAGGCAGTTTTGTATATAGTGGATTAGATTACTTTATTCAATCCCTGTGGGGGAACCAGCAGTATGAAGCACACATTCACAAGACGATACAAGGACACAATAATACAATCTTGTTTTATTTTCATTTGATTTTATTTACATTTTGCAGACTTGTTTTAAAATGTGTTACTTATGGCTCTGTGCTACACTTTAGAAAAAAGGAATTTATAAAATGTGCTGTATAAATAAATTGGATTACTATAACGCGATGATTATACTGACTAGGTTAAAGCTCCACACACAAAATAAAATAAATGGCACAGTCAGCTAAGAAGTTAGTGTGTAAAGTGAGACCTTAACAATTACACATGAGGCCAATGGCTGTTGGCGTTATGCCCTGTTAGTGATGTGATTAATATTTTAGTGTGGATATCTGCTCAAATTAGTTTCCATCCACATCTGGTCAAATGTTCAATGAATATTATGTTATATTATATATATATAATATTATATTAACATGTTAATTTTTTTTATAGAAACTTACTTTTCTTTTTAGGTGAACTAACTTTATGATGGAGATGCAGCCAACATCTTGACTTCATGAGGGCTTTGTATATCTCGGATAACAAACCCATTTAATATCAAATGTATTTTTATTTCACCCAAAATCGTTGAACATCACAGAATTGTTGATTGCCCCATAGCAGATTAAAAACGCAAAGAATTAGAACACATAAAAAACACACTTTTGGTCCATGGGACAAACGGGGTCACACCATCATCGGCCAGATCTGTGGAGAGGTTGACCATATTTTTGTATTTATAATTTCACTTTCTGGTTGTGATCAATTACATCACGCTGTAAAAAAATAATTTTAAAAACATGAATTGAATTTATTTGTTTGGAATGCCCTTCCCCATATTTTAAAGATTGGGGCCTCCCAGATTTGGGAACGGTAAATTCAAAAAATGTCTTTTTTTCTTCAAACATTTTTACTTTTGTGTATTAATCTTTTATAATTGGGTGCCATTCTACCAAAATATTTCAATCATCAAATCAAAAACCTGTCATTTGCTCTCTGATGTATTAAAACAGTGAGAGAAAAACTTTAATCTTTAACACTGATGTAGAAAACACTGCTCCACCGTGTAAAATAATTAACTAATCAGACAGCATTATAATCACAGCTTCTTCAGTCTTTTCCTTCAAAACCACAAGCTTCAGCTGAACAAACGGATTATCACAGGTGTAGGTGTGTGCGTCTGCGTGTGTGTGTGTGCGTGTGTGTGTGTCGCCTGCAGTGCTGCTCTGTCCATTCACTGAAACAGTCAAAGTGATCGCTGCACAAACAGACTGAAGGTCGAATTCTGCAGAAGAGAGAGAAAGAGAGAGGGGGGAGAGGGTGAGGCGAGAGAGGATGAGGGAGGGGAGAGATGTTCAGAGGAAGACCATATATGGTGAAAAGGCACACTTCGTTGAATTTCACAGGGATGCTTAAGAACCTGTAATGGTGACTTAAAATTCTTGGTCAACAAAAAATATTCCCACCTAATGATAAATGATCCTTTTTCTACACAATTGTCTGCATGTCTTAATTGATACAAGTAATTAATCATTTATTGTCTCCCAATTTGAAACGTGAAATTGGTAAACGTCATGCCTTCATGTGTATGCTTAGTCACAATTCCATATTTGTAACATATATTAGCAACACATATTGGCAACATGGTTTTTTAGCCCAAAAGCATAGATTCCCAGAGTTCCCAATCCACGCTCACACATTGCAAGTTAGTTAATTAGTGTCTCCATTGGGCGTTTTTGTGACCACTCCCGCATTGTGAAAACCAGATCCCGTCAGACGTCTGAAGCTAAGCAGGGCAGGGCCAGGTTAGTACTGTGATGGGAGACCTCGGGGAAGGCTGCTGCTTTAAAGTGCCAAACTTTCTTTGGCAAGACACTCCACCCACATTGCCTAGAATGAATCTGGTGTGTATGTGATTGGCTGGTGGTCGGAGGGGCTGATGCCACATACTGGTTGCCTCGCTTCTGTCAGTGTGCCCCAGGGCAGCTATGGCTACAATAGTAGTTTATCACCACCGTGTAATGGAGTGAAAGAATAATGACATGTGAAGCCTCTTTTGAGTGTCCAAAAAAGCACAATATAAAATTGATGCATTATTTTATTATTGCTAAGTTTATAACTATGAATGAAGCCATATTTATCTCTCTGGGTCAATAGGTGAGTGCTACGTCTGCGCTTCCAACGAGCCGTACCGTAAAGTGGACTACTCCAAGATCTCAGTCCCGAGCTGGAAACCGGGCGCAACATCTTCGGTTTCGACTCGGAACCAGACTCAGTTCTCTGGAGCCTCCACACACGCCCCCGCCACGGGCCCCAAGGAGCGCTCAGAGGGCCGGGAAGGACGCGAGGGCCGTGAAAGCAAGGACTACATCAAGCCCAAACTGGTGACGGTTATCCGCAGCGGCGTCAAACCCAGGAAGGCAGTGCGCATCCTGCTCAACAAGAAGACGGCACATTCGTTTGATCAGGTGCTGGCCGACATAACGGAGGCCATCAAACTGGACTCTGGCGCCGTGAAGAGGCTGTATACGCTGGACGGAAAACAGGTGGGGTTGGTTTTTTGTCTGTCTTAATGAAGTATGCTTTGAAGTATGATTTATTGGGGAAAAAGAAAATGTTGAATTTTATATCTTTATTGCAGTCCTTGACCCCACTATCGCATAGAACAGTGGTTCCCAAAGTGGGGGTCCCGACCCCCCGGGGGGTCGCGGGAACCCCTGGGGGGGTCGCAAGATGATTTCCACACAAAAAAAAAAGATTTTTTTTGCTCAAAAAAAAAAAATATCTTTTTTTGAGCAAATATAAAGCCCATAAATATTTATTTAGCATTTGATTTGTTTCAAAAGGACTACTTGTTAAATTGTGTTTGGAGACTATAATATATTTTAATAACGTTAGTAATTTTGTCCCAGTCATTGCAGCGTCAATCAAAATCATCACGTAACACAGCTCACATCATGCGCAGCGACAAAGCGTGTCCTGCTGTTGTTTGCTAAAACTAAAGGTGTTTGGAGGCTACAAATAAATAATACCTGCTTTAAAATGAAACGTGGTTAATATCCACAACAGAAAAACCCGGAGGGGGAGAAAAGTCACTTGTATCAGGGGTCAGGCTGATGGTGCGAAGAGAGGGAGAGAGGGCAAAGGAGGGAGAGAAGGCAGAGGAGGGAGAGAGGGCAGAGGAGGGAGGGAGGGAGGTAGAACAGCGCGTTAAAGAGGCCCGGCTTTTTGGAGTCAAAGGTAAAGAGGTCCGCACATTAAAAGCGGGTGGCCGGTTTATGCCTTTACTGACAGTAACTTTGGAAAGAGAAGCCGCGGGGATGAACTGCATAAAGTAACAGCAGAAAGCGGCCGCCCGCTTTTAATGTGCGGACCTCTTTACCGCTGACTCCAGAAAGCCGGCCCACTTTACCGCGGTAGGAGAACAGAGAGGGCGAGCCGCAAGAAATGCGCTCCACTTCTGCTGAGGACGGAGCCCACCAAGCCCATCACTGAGTCACTACATGAGTAAAAATATGCAAGCCTCCTTTTTTGGGCTGGACAGTGCAGCTCGGTAGTGGCGTGAGTCTCTAGAAAGCGTTACTCCGTATCAAGGAAATACATGCTCATTTCATGTGACGAAAGGGCTGTTGGGTGGGTCGCGGGTTAGCAGGGCATTTATGATGGGGGTCGCGGGCTAAAAACTTTGGGAACCCCTGGCATAGAACACTCTTTTCCAAGAAACTTATCGTTATAAGTTGTCTCAGAAACCGGGTTCCCGAGCTTCATCAGGGCAAGTGACTGCTTTGAGTGACATCACAAATCACTCTAGAACAGGGGTGGGAAATTCGGGGGACCGCATTGGAAGATCCCCCTATTAAGCAGGGCCGGACCCATTTTCATATGCTTTTTTTTTGCGATTTCAAATTATTACTGATAACATTTCGGGTTATTCCAATTATTCAGGAGTCAAGAAGGCCTGTAACTTGATCTGTCCTACCATGACTTTTTATAAATGTTATACTTTTCTAATTAAATCATATTGCTTATCGGCTGGGAAGCGTCTGGGGCCGCATAGAGATGTGAATCGGACCGGATAGAGCCCCCAGACCACACTTTGCCCAGGTCTGCTCTCACAGACAAGGACTGTAAAAATGAATGCACAATGTGGCCGTCAGATGAAATAGGTTGCCCATATCTGGTGTCAAATGTATACCACAGGTGTAGATGTGTATACAGTCACACACACATGACGGCACTTTTTAGTCTTTTTTAAAATTTGCAGCTTCATTATATTGTTTCTTGCTGACACGCGTTACATAATTTCCGACTTTTGCCCTCTTTCTCTAAATCCAGGTCACTCCCCTGTTTGTTTAACGTTGTCTAATCCAAAGACATTTTCCCATGATTAGTGCCATCTGTCGTCTGCTGTTTTCATAACCACCAGACCTCCACAAATTCTGCACTTTGGTTCAAACTCCCTTTTTGACCAGACACCATTTTACCACTGCGACATCGAACCTTTTTAACTCTCTACTTTCCATTTTATTGGCGTTTACTTTCTGGTATGGTCTAATTTACTTTCTAATTTAGCCTTATTTAGTGCAGGTCAATGGAAGGCAGATTTTAAGCTCCGAAAATGTGTCATTGGGTCGGTTACTTCCCCAAGCTAATTTTTTTCTTAGTTTCTCCAGTTGCCGGTTTTTAAATCCTCACTCATTCTCTTGGTCCGCAGCTGACGTGCCTGCAGGATTTCTTCGGCGATGACGATGTGTTCATGGCCTGTGGGGCGGAGAAGTTCAGATACGCTCAGGACGACTTTGTTCTCACGCACTGTGGAAAAACGCCAGCTTTCGTTAACGGTAACATATCTGATATTTCATTACATTCTGTTGAATTGTGTGTGGTTGATTGTGTAGAAAATATGGACAGTTGGATAAATCACATCACTGTTTTACTTTACTGGTATAATAGACAAATATCACTGAAATCCAATGTGATGCCAGAGTTGTATTGGAGATGAACATTACCCTGGGTGCTAATACAATGGAAGGCATCATCTTTAAAGTCCCACTGTTTAACTTTTTAACCAGCACAATGGACCAATATAAGGGCATCTTTTTCAGTTGTATGTTTTTTGGCACTGATGAGGATAAATGTATTTTTAATGGGGGTCGACGATGTTTCTTTCGGACCTATACTGATAATTGTATAGGTTATCCATCCAGATTACGTGGATGGATGAACAGATATAGCAGATGGACATTTGCAGTAAAAGTGAAAATATTGGTATCATAATGTAAAAGTCTAAGTTTATTAAGGAAAATCCCTTGTGATGACTCATTTCATTTTTGAGGGGATCCTAAACATAAATTTAAACATGTAAACATACACACCCACGTACATTTCCAGTGAATTAAGGATGAGAAAAGATAATTACATAAACACTCACAAAAACAAAAAACAAAATTGAAACAAAGCAAATGCTCCTTCGCACCCCACTCCTCCCCTCTGCTAAAATTAAACTTTTAGAAGAGAGAAAGTAAAACTATTAACAATAATGAAGCATACAGCGCAGTGGGGGCGGGTCCCAGCTCAAAAGTGGCCAAAATGACGTGCGCTGACATGCTGCAATACCACCCCGGGCCGATGGGGGTGGACCCGGAATAAGAATTAGCCAATGCTAACATATAGCATCTTCTTACCTCTCAAACACCTTTTACAGGATGGTCCAAAAGTCGGCTCTTGGCCCAAGGGTGAATCTTTTTGGACCACTCTGGTTTAGTTGTTGTGAATTTTTGAAGTTACTCGTTCAAATGAAATGGAGCTTCTTGTGAGTGGGACCACTCGCGGCCATTTTGGATAGCTCCAGTAGAGCACCATTTTTGGCCCATTTATTTGAATGGCGGAGATAGGCGTGACTACGTCCGTTAATATTTAAAGTCTATGATACAGAGTACAGAACATTAGTGACATAAACAAGGAGTTTTAAGGAACCTAAATAATTCAAACTTAAATAAACCAAAAGACATGATTGATCGTATGGATGTGGGGAGTTTATTCCAGTCTGATGGAGCCTTGTATTGAAACGATCTGCGTCAATGAAAATATGAAAATATTGGTGTCATAATGTAAAGTAATGCAAACATCAAACCCATATACTCTGCTTAAATGTATGCTTTATCGGAAAACATAAAAAAAATACAGAAATAACAACTCCCTCTGTATATAGACTGGATGTGATGAACCAGCAGAATTGGGGAGATCTCTCTGTTAACTGACGCTGAGTTGTGTTTGATGTGATTTTATCAAAATTATGTCAAGTTAATTTTGACTTAAATAAAAAAAGAACTTATCCGTTTTTTTGTTCATTTTAGACTCCCATTTGGTGAGTAGGACTGTTGCAGCATGAATGTAATGAATGTTTGTTTAGTTTAGTTCATTGTTGCTTCGACCAATAGGCTGCACACAAATAGATTAAATATTAGAATAGGCAAATAAACACATTTTCATCAGCCTGGCAAATAATCGGTCGACCCTCGGATTTGAATGTTGTGTCAAACTGAACAATGGCTTTCAAACACTATGATCCAAATACTAGTAGCTTGATTTGTGCTTTCTCTTCTTGTGTCCATGAGCAAGACATTCTCCTGCCCAAGTCGCGCGGTTGATCAGGCCGACCTGGGAAGAGACGTCAAAAGAGTTGGTTTTGTGTGAAATTCTTTTACTGTTGTATTTATTCATGGTCATCTGTTTTTGTGTCCAGAGTGCAAAACCAAGACTCCCCGTCCCGCTGCGTCTCAAAAAACTCCCAGAACCCCGAGCGGCTCCGGTCTGACGTCAAACAAGGCGCCTTCTAGAGGACTGTCCCGGACCAAGTCTCCCGTAGCAGGTAGCGCAGTTTTTGTTGATGGGAAAACAATATTATGTTACACACTTAAAGGGGTATCTAACTTTACAACCACAAGAATTAAACTATGAGATTATATTTTATTTTCTTTAAGTATAGAGATATTGTTTATTTATCTTGGGTCGTGTGCTCTTCATTCCCACTGTTCTGTAACTTGTGATGCAACACTGAAAGGACTTCTTCTTTGCTTTCATTTCTACTAAACAAAAGTGTTCAATAAATGCTTAACAATCTCCCTTTTTCTGTCTTGTGATTCAGTCAATGAGCCACAGTCTGCTCCGAAGTCAAGAAATAGTCCCTCTCCGACAAGTCCTGGAACACGCCACAGCAAGGTAATCCAAAACAAGCAAACGAAGCAACTTTTAAAATAAGATGAAGATAAAATAAAATGTCGTCGACAGCTCTCGCCCAGACGCTCCTCCTCCACAGACGTGAACGGAGACGCAGAGCAGCCAGAGGAGGACGTCGAAGGTTTGACTTTTGGAATCGTTTACATAGTTTTCCCCATTTATGACTCTTTTGTGGTTATTTGTATCTATTCAAGAGGTCGTGCAATATCCCCATTTTTACAGCTACTTATACATGTCCTCTGTTTGGTTACTTGTTAATTGATTTTATAATTAACTTCTATCTGTGAAAAATGCTATATAGATTCTGTTAAATTAGCCTAATGGCAAACTCTGAAAAGAAAGAATGTGGACACCGCTTTATCAGCTATGGTTATGTGGATTCAATGTAGATTCAATTCGATACAATGACTTTTTTTTTTTGTATTTTTTTTTTTTTTTTGCCCTAAATCACAACAGCAATTGTCTCAAAGGACTTCCCAAAGTTGGCAATTTCTCAGCAACAGATCAGTTCAAACACAGAAATGCAATAACAACAAACACATAGGAGATATTGGTCCATAGGGGGCAGATGAAAAATGTCCTTAGGCAAAGCAAGGCAAGTTTATTTGTGTAGCACAATTCATACACAAGGCAACTCGGTGTCAATCAAAACGAGAAACAATCACACATGGTATGAAAATCCTAAATAATCACCGTACATTAAAAAGATTCCCTCAAATGTCCTGGATCATGACTGTCCTTGGACCCTCCTGCATCGGCAAGGAACAACTCAAAAACCCAGGGGGGAAAAGGAGAGAAACCTTGGGGACGGGTGAGCAGCAGAGAGAGTGCGGGAAAAATACACAGGACTTGTTTTCATGTGATTAGAGCTGTTGTCGAAGCAGATTATGGACTTAATATTGTGGCTCCATCCAGGGTTTAGTCGCTAGAGAATGAACGTTTATTGTCAAAATAGACTGCTGAATGAGTCACGGAAGCTAACAGTTAATGTTTGCCTCCTCACATTACGTTATTTCCCAGAATGCTTTGTTCCTAAGTCAACACATCAACGTTTAAATCATGTTGTTTCCAGTTAAAACAGTCGTCTACTGTTTTAACCTGCGGCTTACATGTGGACAATATTTACATTTGTTTCAAATTCAGCTGGTTTCTTCTATAAACAGGTCCGCTTCCATACTGTACTTAATAAACATAGATTCAAATTACTTTCATGATCGGCTGCTTTGTCGGCACTTAGTTTCATAGTTAGTCCTGATCCACTTTCTTCAAAAAATTTGTTTTGATCATTGACCCGGAAGTCTGTGTTCCGTCTTCCATTATCGGCCCTTGTCACAGTGGTCACTTTCACTTCCTTTTATCTGCTCTTTTAGCTTCGGCCTAAATATTATGAAGTAAAAAAGACTATTTATGAAGTTAATGGAGTTTTGTGTTTTTTTTTTTGTCGCAGTGAACGGAAACCTTTTGATTTCTTCGTCAATGATCAACGAGAAATACAGAGTCGGGAAAGTGATCGGAGACGGGAACTTTGCTGTGGTGAAAGAGTGTGTGGAAAGGTACGTTTGTTTTAAAAAAACGTATTCCGTCGTTCATGGCACTTCTTTTGGATTACAGATTAGAGAGACAAGAAAACAGTTTTGTGCCACAATCCAGTTATTGAGTTTATAGTTGGGAATACAAGTCAAATTTCAGACTCATAACAAAGACATTAGTGTGGATTGTTCTTGCTTTTAGAATTACTCTTTATAGCCATTTATATTTTACTTGAATAGATTTACATTGAACAGAATCTGGATGTTACTTGTATAATTGCATTTGGTTTGTCCACAGAGCGACTGGACAAGAGTACGCACTGAAGATTATTGACAAGGCTCGCTGCAGTGGAAAGGTACATTAGTCATGATTTAGTGGTAGTGATTTAAAAACGATTTACAAAGCACACGCACAACACACACAGACACACATGGAAACAGACACGCACACAGATACATATGCACAGACACGCACACACAGGTACACAGCTCACACACACAAATGCGCACAGAGCTCCCACAGACACACGCAAACGGCTCCCACAGACACGCGCGCACATAGACACACACACACACACAGCTTTTCATTTTCATTTCAGTTTGGAGATGAACACTTAATGTTATGTTCAAAAGTCCATTTGCTTCTGTTTTTCAACTTCATACTTCACTGAGAAATATCAAGCCTTTTTTTGTAATAATGTTAATCAATTAATAATTTGAAAAGTGTAAGCCATAATTATCAACATTATAGTAAAGACATAAGTCACTTTGCAGGAAATCACTCTGTATCATACATTGGTTTCACATTTCGAATATGAAACGCGCGAACCTTTGAACGGCATTCTGATTTTCTGAGTTTCACCTGTAAATTCTACCATTTTTCACAAGGTTTTAAAAACATGTCAGATAAAAAGTATTTACTGGGGTCGACCTGCTGTGGTAACTAGTAGTTTGTCCAAAAATACCCTTTTAGAGTTGTTTTGAAACAGGCCAAATGTCAGGTTCAGAAACATTTCAAAATGAGGGGTTGGAAAATAACAGTGAGTACTTTGCACCCACCTGCTGGAAAAGTATAGATTTATAGAATACATTTGCCATTTTTGAGCCTGTTTAATGTTCACAGGAACATCTAATTGAAAACGAGGTGGCAGTTCTGCGGAGAGTCAGACATCCGAGTATTATCCAGTTAATCGAAGTGGACGAGACCCCGACTCAGCTGTTCCTGGTCATGGAGCTCGTCAAGGTTCATCATTAACCTTTTTTCATTTGATTTCATGAAGTTGCGACAGGGGCCGTAAAGTATACAGTACAAGAACATTCAGGATAATAGTAGTATTTCATCAGGCTTGTATTGCATCTAAATTATTCATTCACTCCATGCACTGGTTGTAAGCGTAGCCACAGCTGCCCTGGGGTCTTGCCCAAAGCAGATGGCACAGACTGGCTGCCTCGCTTCAGTCAAGGCGTGGAGTAGGGCTTTACAATTTTGGCAAAATATGCAATATTTCTGATCATCTAAATTAGCGTTCATATGAAGTGATAGCGTCATACACAATTTAACCTTTAGTACGTTATTCTCATTATTCTCAGACCTAAAAGATTCACTGCAAAAACATGACATATATATATAAATTAAAATATATGACATACGCCTGAATGAACTCAGACCTGAGTTGCAGCAAATTTAAGTGAGGTTTTGTTTCTTTTCAACCCCTTTGTGATCATTGTTTAAGTTTCAAACGATAGTAATAGTAATTGTTCGTATTGTTATTATTGACCATTACATCAACATTAGTCTGTAGTGCAGCGTATCTGTAGTTGGACAGTGTGAAATCCCTTCTGTGTTAGAAGCACGGCTGTTGTCTCATACTTTAATCTCACATGTTCTGTTCTTTCAGGGAGGGGACTTGTTTGATGCCATCACTTCCTCCACTAAGTACAGCGAGCGAGACGCCAGTGCCATGGTCTTCAACCTCTCCGGGGCCATCAAGTACCTCCACCGCATGAACATCGTGCATCGAGACATCAAGCCTGAAAACCTGCTGGTAACTGGGCTGCTCTGTGTGCTCTGTGTGCTCTGTGGGCTCTGTGGGCTCTGTGGGCTCTGTGTTGCTCTGTGTGCTCTGTGTGCTCTGTGGGCTCTGTGTGCTCTGTGTGCTCTGCAATCTATGATGACAAAGTATGTGGGTGTGTGTGTGTGAATAAAAATGTTGTTCGTTCCAACCGAAACCGGGCAACAGCCTACTGGTACATACTGAGAGCTGATTAGCTGAAGCGTTTTTTCTAAGGACGTGACAGGCCAAAAATACATTTATGTGAAAACTAGTAATAATAAGAGCCTGGAATTGGTTGCATGGATTTTATTCCGTAGTACATTCTTTGTGGTTTCAAAGTTCGGTACGCAGCTTTATAGAGTAAATTATACGCTTTTTTCTTGGCCCTTTAAACATGATCTTGAGATGACTTACTTTGGCTCAGTAGAAATGGACAAGACGGGGGTGCTACCTGGATGTGTCCTTTAGGTGCTCTTCAGTGCAGGGATCAGTGTTAAAGAACAAAAAAATTGAATCTACAAAGTGAAATGAGTTTATTAAGTCAAACATTTATGAATAAAACACACACACACAGATAAGAGTTTCATGTTTGTTTTTTTGCAGTGAACTATTCAGTCTGGTTTGTTTATATCTGCAGTTTCAGTTTTCATCATTCCTGGCCCCGTTTGTTTCAGGTGTGCGAGTATCCAGACGGCACCAAGTCTCTGAAGTTGGGAGACTTTGGTTTGGCCACAGTGGTGGAGGGTCCTCTCTACACGGTCTGTGGAACTCCCACCTACGTCGCTCCAGAGATCATTGGAGAGACTGGGTAAGTCTGTGTGTGAGTGTGTGAAAGACAGCCGTTTCAATTGAGGTGACCTTTTTAAGTATGTTTTTGATAGGTTACAAAGTTGTTACATGGTTAAAAACTGTGCATTTTTGTCTCCTTGATAAAATGTAGTACTAAATATTTTGTTGTTTCTTTCCACAGTTATGGGCTGAAGGTGGACATTTGGGCGGCTGGAATCATCACCTACATCCTGCTGTGTGGGTTTCCTCCTTTCCGAAGGTCAGTGAAGTCTGTGTGAACAGTCGTATACTCCATCCATCCATTTTCTTCCCCTTAATCCATTTCTGGGGGCGGGGGGGTGGCAGTCAGAGCTGCACCCAGTACACACAGCACCAGCCCCTCACTGATCCTCCTGCAGGTGGTGAGACAACAACAGACATAAGTAGGAGTTGTGAAGTAGGTCACATAGTGGGCTTGAACCTTCAGGCTGGTAGCGACATGCTCTTCTCAGTGGTACACTTAATAATAAAAAAAAGTTTTTCTCCGTCTCGCTCTGGCTCTTACCGACTTAAGCCTGGTTCACACAAGACTATTTTAAAATTGTCGGCCGATTTTTCTCTGTGTGAGACCCCACACAGGGAGATAAAAAATCACGGGTCTAACCACTTTGGTCGTACAGTGTGTGGTGCGCAGCCACACGGCAAAAATCACGCAAACCACACACGAACCGATTTCCCCCCCGAGTATTCACAGATCAGACGGAAATCTCAGGTCTCGCGAGATCAAACGTGACTTCAGAGTAAACACACATGGCGGACGAAGAGGATGCATTGGCGATAGTTTGTTTTTATCGGAGAAAATACGTAATCAAAAGAAAAGGAGATAGTCAAAGAAGTGTAGACAACACGAGCATGGACTATACTTGCTACATCGTGATATGGAGGCGTTTCCTCACCGCCTCGTCTCGTCTTCTGATTGGCTACACGCCGCAGTCATGGCAACGCGCACGTCTGTCCTCGGGGGACACCACACACGGAGAGAAATCGGTCCAAAACAATCCAACATGTTGGATATCCCCGATTTGAGATCGGGAGCAGTCCCGATGTCCTTCCGAGCGACGAGTGCAGTCTTAACACACCACACACGGCAGGATAATCTGTAAGATTTTGTTACGGAAATTGGAGCGTTTCTTAAGATGGTCGTAAGGGGTAAATCGGGTCTAAATCGGCCTAAATATCCTGCCGTGTGAACCAGGCTTAACATCAAAAATTAAACTCCTCGAGCTCGGTAACCGTTTGTGTCACACTCAACATTTTGGGTTTAAAGAAATCCATGGTTTAGCGCTCTCTGTGATCCTGGGGTTTTATATTTTGATATTGTCTTTTATAAATCTAGATATGAGCCATATAAGGGTTGACCAATCAGACGCCTTAATTTCTGTGGGCAACTCCAGCTTGCCTTAGCAACCATCTTAGCAACACATCAGTCTCTCCTCCTGTTGCGCCGCAAAGTACAAATTAGCCATTAACCATATAAATATGACATCAGCACTGTCCACTCCTACAATAGAGTAGATCTGAGGCTGTGAAGTCCAGGCCTTTCTGAAGTAAAATCCTTTCATTTTTAATACATGTCGAACTACTGTCCACACCTCAAAAAACAGAGTGCTCTAATTTTCTCCTTTTATTCTGCTGTAATGTGCGCAAAAACAATTGAAATTTCCCCTCTGAGGTTTATCTTATCTAATCTTATAATGTAAAAGTTGACCAAAGTTTCAAAAATGTTTTGAAGTTGAAGTTTTGAAGGCAGCTAATTTTGTAGCGTTTGTGTTTGTCTTGTTTAGTAGTTTAGTTTTCCTTCAAGATAAAATACTGTTTTATTTTGGAACTGGCTGTAAATGCCTTTGCGTTGATAATTTTTATTTACTGTATTTTTTAGACTATAAAGTACACCATAGCATATAAAACATTTGAGAGTGGATTTTATTAAACACATAAAAAATATTGATATAGTTTTTTTTTTAATGCATTTTATAATTGAGTGATAATTGTCATATTTTTTTGTTTGCGTTTCAGTGAGAATAACGTCCAGGAGGAGCTGTTCGATCAGATCCTCAGAGGGAAGCTGGAGTTTCCGTCTCCGGACTGGGACGCCATCAGCCTCTCAGCAAAGGTGCACCACTCAAACACACCCAGCACCAGACACACACACACTAAAGCTCGGGTACCTAACTTTCAAACCCCCAATAATAGCTCTAATGTAATCAAATCTTATCTCTAGTTTTCATATGCATGTGTTTTTGGAGTCTGGCACATCTTTGGACCAGAAAATTGAAGACCACAATACTAAAAAGACTAAATGAAAATACTATTGATGTATTGATTTACTAATAATATCATTAATAATATCAGTATCATTCACTACATACATATCATTCAGTTTAAAAGTACTTTTTAGTCCAGTAATGGTACAAAGATTCCTTATACAAATAAACCATGGTCAGTGAGGATCCCAATGTAAACTACAGATTCCATAATGCTCCACCTCACTGTCACCATAGTAACACACAATATTAAGTTCTAATTTAAGCATAACGTTTTGCAGTATGTTGAAATAAGGTTGCTAAATATGTATTGCTTCCTAAATTTCAGGAGTTAAAAATGAGACAACTTTGCGTTTTCCTTGTATGTTTTCTCATTTTGGTCATGGCAACAGTTGCTAAGGAGCTTTTGCTGGCTCTCAGGTGAAAAAAGTAGTCCCTTCTTCAGACGGGGTTTTAATGGTGTAGAATACAATTTGTTTTCTAATATGTTATAAACAACTCTGCTGAGAAACTTACTTCATCCATGACATTGTTAGCATGAATAAGGATTAAACGGTCAAATAAATATGACACGTTCTTGTATCTTCAGATGTTGATCAGTCAGATGCTGCAGGTGAATGTCGACGCTCGGTTCACAGCTGAAGAGGTCCTGTCTCACCCCTGGGTCACGGTAACCACGGAAACACCTCCAAAACTACACACTTTTAAAGTTACTCCAACAATAACAGCATCTCGTTATATACTCTCTGCTCGACTGTGTGAATGATAAACGATAATATTTAAGCTTCTTTATTCCACTGATGAAATACTACCAAAGCCATTTAAAATTCAGAGCCGAGTTAAATTATATTTGGCCTTATTGAACCTTCTACATCTAAAGCGTCAATGTTGTTAAGAAAATAGGCACGGCAGGTTTATTTGTATAGCGCAATTTATACACAAGGCAAGTGCAGAATAAAACAAGTCACACAGAGCATTCAAATCATAATCACAGTACATTCAAAAGATTAAACATAAACTCCCTCAGTTGTATGCACAGCTAAACCGAACTGAAGAAGTAGTCTCACATTTTCAGGAAAACTATTCCAGATTTTAGATGCATGAATCTGAAACGCTGCCTCCCCTGTTAGATCTGACTCTGAGGAGCACAGGGACTGGCCTCCTGCTGGTGCCCAGAGTCCGGGCCGGTTCATATGGGACTAACATGTCACTAATATATTTTGGTGCGAGGCCATGGAGAGACTTGAGAGCTGTTTTAAAGTCTATTCTCTGAGCCACAGGAAGCCAGTGCAGAGACCTGAGGACTGGACTAATGTGGTCGTACTTCCTGGTTCTAGTCAGGACTCGAGCTGCTGCATTTTGAATGTACTGCAGCTGTTTTACAGCCTGTTTGGACAGACCTGTGAGCAGGCCATTGCAGTAGTCTAACCTACTGGAGACAAATGCATGGATAAGAATCTCCAGGTCTGCTTTAGACACTATGTTTTTGATCCTGGCAATGTTTTTTAGATGGTAGAAAGCTGCTGATGTTACTGATTTAATGTGGCTATTAAAATTTAAGTCTGAATCTAGTATTAGATTTCTGAAGGTTTGAGGGAGAGGGACTGGAGGTGACAGATGACGCTCTCTTTGTCTTTGGTCCCCAGAAACAATCATTTTATTTAGAAATGTCAAAAATCAGACAATAATTATCAAGGTCCATAATATAGTTTTATCCATGAGTTGAACATTAAAGTAGCAGTATGTAATATTTGCATGTCAAGTCATCATTAGATGGCCCCAATATTAAAAAAGGCATTAAATCATGCTCTTTTGAATCTTTAACTGATAACAGTAGTTCATCCGAGATATTTGATTATCAAAATTAGTTTTACAACCCATTAAAGTTGTTATTGTTTTCATTCCGATGTCCTACCCTTCGCCGTTTCGCCAATCAGGAAGTGCCATGAAAGTCCGTGATTGGGTTGCCAGAACTCCGCACAGCTAGCTAATCTTCACTGGTAAAATAACATTATGACTCTCAAATCATTAATGACAAAACAAAGACATCAGACCCCTCCTAAAAAAGAGGAGTCTAGATGCCACAGTTCTTAAGAATTATCGCCCCATTTCAAATCTGCCATTTATGGGAAAAATTCTGGAAAAAGTTGCTTACCAACAACTTACAGAATTCTTAGTAACTAATAGTTCGTTTGATGCGCTCCAGTCCGGCTTTAGAGCCAATCACAGCACTGAGACTGCACTAGTGAAGGTTACAAATGACATCCGACTTAACACCGACACAGGAAAGGTCACAGTTTTAGTAATGTTGGATCTGAGTGCTGCGTTCGACACAGTCGACCACGAGATCCTCATGCAGAGACTAGAGCACTGGGTGGGTGTCACTGGGACTGCCCTAAGTTGGTTTAGGTCTTACCTAGAAGACAGGAAATACTTGGTTCAGATAGGAAACTGTGTCTCAGATCATGTGGCTCTGACCTGTGGAGTCCCACAGGGATCAATTCTGGGGCCTCTTCTGTTCAATATTTACATGCTGCCGTTAGGTCAGTTAATACGCTCCAACAATGTATCCTACCACAATTACGCTGATGACACTCAAATTTATGTCTCACTTACTGCAGGAGAACATGGACCAGTGGAATCACTCCTTCACTGTACTCAACAGATTAGTGATTGGATGCAAAATAACTTCCTTCAGCTAAACGCAGACAAAACAGAATTGATTGTCTTTGGTCCTCAGAAACAAAGAGAGAGCGTTATTCGTCACCTCCAGTCTCTCTCCCTGGAACCTGTAGGCAAGGTCAGAAACCTAGGAGTTATAATGGACTCAGACTTAAATTTTAACAGTCATATCAAATCAGTAACATCAGCAGCATTTTACCATCTGAAAAACATTGCCAAAATTAGAAACATAGTGTCTAAATCAGATCTGGAGATTCTCATCCATGCATTTGTCTCCAGTAGGTTAGACTACTGCAATGGCCTGCTCACAGGTCTCTCCAAACAGGCTGTAAAACAACTGCAGTATGTCCAAAATGCTGCAGCTCGAGTCCTGACCAGGACCAGGAAATATGACCACATTAGTCCAGTTCTCAGGTCTCTGCACTGGCTTCCTGTGGCTCAGAGAATAGACTTCAAAGCAGCACTGCTTGTGTACAAGTCTCTCCATGGCCTCGCACCAGGGTACTTAAGCGACTTGTTAGTCCCATATGAACCGGACCGGACTCTGAGGAGCACAGGAGGTAGCCTCTTACTGGTTCCAAGAGTCAGAACTAAACATGGGGAGGCAGCGTTTGAGATTTATGGAGCTAAAATCTGGAACAATCTTCCTGAAGATGTGAGGCTAGCATCTACTCTGGCAATTTTTAAATCAGGGCTAAAAACTGTTCTTTATAGCTGTGCATACGGCTGAATGATTTTATTGATACATACTCTTTTTTTTTTTAATGCATTGTGGTTATTTATTATTTTAATCCCGTGTGTGCTTTTAATATTTTAAGTTTTATTTTTTTTTTTTTTCATTACTTGTGATTTTATTCTGTTTTTAATGTATTTATTGATGTCTCTGATTTGTGTGATATTATGTGGGTTGTGAGGCGCGTTGAGTGGCCTTGTGTTGGAAAGGCGCCATACAAATAAAGTTGATTGATTGATTGATAAAACGAGGATTTATATCAGGACGCATTTGAAAAATTGAGACGGCTGATAAGACTTTTTGTGTGATGCAAAACTTGCTGCGTTGAATGCATTCTTCATTGAGTCTTAGCTGTCGAATATCTAGAAGTTTGTTTGCAGATTATAGCTTAATTGTAAAAAGAATAATTTGAGACCACATGTACCCCAATTAAAATGTTTGGCTCTTTTTTATGTGGGACTTATACATGTATGTTTAAAATATGGGGAATAAATAAAATTGAAAGGTGATATCCTCTGGACTAGGAAACCCTGATGTTGATACGCTGAAGAAATACGTTCCTACTTCTTCCCACTCACGCCCCACTCTTCCCAAATAAAAATAAAACATTCAGCATTAGCACGGCTGTCATGGCAATGTGAATGGAGACAGATAAACAACTGATAAAATAATTCCTTGTGTTTGCTGCTGGATTTGGTGTGTATCTGGCAACCTGAGTCAGGGAGAGTGGGAGAGGACTGCAAAATATTGACTGTAACTGCAGTACCACTTTTGGCCAGATTTTTACATACTGCTCCTTTAAGTCTATATGATAATTATCGTGACAGCCCTATGTATAACTGGTGACATTATAACCAATATTTATGATTCTAAAATGTGTATGTGTGTGTGTTCTATGTATGATTTTAGGATGAGCCGCTGGGAGATCCCAACAATGTGAGCTCCCCTGAAGACCAACCTGAAGACCAGGACCTGAACCTGAATCTGAACCCCGAAGAGTCCCCTGTTTTAGAGACCAGACAGATCCCTTCACCTATGGTCTAGAAATACTACTATTACTACTACTCTTACTCCTATTACTACCACTTCTACTACCACTACACAAAAACTATCAACGGTTTTGTGGCGGAACCTGTTTTTTTGTTCAATGCTGTGACCAAGTTTACTGGATGTATTTATTTAAAGTTTTTTTTTTTCTTTTAAAACCAAACCACTAAGACTTTCACTTTTGGCCAGTTGCAAAATCTACTTTGAGTTCAAGAAATATCAGGTAAGAACAGTTCAGTTATGTGAGCATCTTACTACACTAAACATTATCCTCATGTAGATTAGATTGTAAAAAGGTAGATAAAAGCACTATTGCTGTTTTATCCCAAATCTCCCTGAAATGCACTCAGCCAGTGATTGAGATTCAATGTTAGTTTTTTATAGAACGTATATTTCTGACCATGGGGCACTGAACTAATATATACATTAAATATGAAATAGCCCCTCCCCTGGTATTTCTATGACCAATAAGATCTGCTTGAGAATATTTGAGCCAATGGCGACCAATCAGGAGGTTGCGGTTTCAGCCTCTTTACATTTGGAAAAGTAACTGACATTCACTACAAGATTCCGATAATTATGGCTTTTTGCTAAAATCAAGCCGCAACTACTATTTTGTCTCGCAGACTTTGGGGGAAAAGTTCACGACAATTCAAGAAGCATCTGAAAGACTTGAAGCAACTGCATTTTTGAACTATCTCTTGGACTGAAAGTGGTGCGCTCCAAGAACATTTGATCAACGTGGATTTTTTTCAACTGCATTTTTGTCTCTGGATTTTAAAGTTGTCGTTCTATCACTGTGTCGTCCTCTCTCTCTCCTCTAATGTCTGTGTGTGGAACTATCGCCTTGGAAACTTGGAACTACTCACGCCACTGTTTCTCTTGAACCACTATTTACTGCTTTTGAGCCTCTCTCCGTCTGTAGAACCATCACCAGGCTCCAACTGAGAACATTTTGGTGAAACAGGAGCCGAGGTTTGTTTTGTATCGAGGACGTGACGATGACTTCAGTTTAGCATCACTTTGAAGATGGAAAAAAAAGAGCTTTGTTTTGAGTTCAAACACACCATTTTGCTGTTATAAACATAAACACCTGTGCAATGGCTCAATGGGTACGATAGATACCCATTGAGATAGATTTGCAACAACTACATTTCTTTCTCGACTCCACATCCATATTTTTTTACTCAGACGTATCACTGCTGGACTTAATTGAACTTTAGCAACAGTTTTCCATCTTCCACCAGGGGGTGGAGCTGTCTCAACTGATTTTCTAGGCATTAACTTCAAGTCTGTATCAGTACAAACCTCTAATAATTTGAAACAGAATAAAATGAAAGACTAATATATACAGATAAAGTACTTGCCAATTAGCAGATCATATGTCCTCTGGGTTTTTCCCCGGGTCAGCTTTATTTAAGATAAGATAAGATTTGCTTTATTTATCTCACATAGGAGAAATTTACAATTTACCACAGCTGGCCAATGTTGCAAATCTGCAACATCACAGAAGGAATCAAAAATAGTTTTGAGAGCGAGTAACTAGTTAAACCGTTTCATTCTTTGTGGTTTCAAAGTTTTGTACCCCAGCTTTAATATATTTCTAGTAGCCAAATGTTGTGTTTGAACTCTCAAGGTTTTCCTCGTTCTTTTCACTTCATCTTAATACATTGTCGTAGTTTTGTGGCGCAAACTCTGGAAATGTTTTTGTTTTGCTGCTGAGGCTCGATGGTGCTGATGGAATCACTATTTTATTTTCATCAAAGAACAACAGTTACAAAAGACGATGGATTTTGAGACGTCTTCCGTGCATTTTTTGGAACAAGGATCTTTGCCTTTTTTACGACATGCAATTGTTTTGTTGACTCATCGTTCTAGTTTTTTTAAAGTTCTGTGCCTGAAGCTCAACTGAATATTGCACCTACATATTTTCATGAAAAAAGGGTTAATTTTTTGGTTGTGAATATGCTCCAAAGCCAATCCTCTAAATTCTGAAGATCAAGAAGTCATCACAGTCTTGTCTATCAACATATATTTCTATTGTTCGTTTTTCAACTATTAACAATGTATTTAAACTGGTCCATCCCCTCAGCGACCAGAATAATTTAAGGGCTCGACACACGGGAGGCGACAAATGAGAGCGATCAGCGAAACTCAACGCTGTCGCTCAGATAACATGACAGACGGGGCGCGATGCGGCTTGACGACAGCGTCGAAAAGTTGAGCCGATTTCAACTTTCTGGGATCGCGTCGCTGACCCGCGCGTGCACGATACATGCACGAGCGGGAGGATTTTTTCGCCCGTCGCTGAGCAGGAGGCTCGCTAGCGATTGACGCTATGACGTACACGTCCCATTGAAAATGAATGGAGGCGATGCGATGTCGCCTCTCGTGTGTCGAGCCCTTTACTGAAGAACTGTCAAACCAATGACGAGAGGCCATTGGTTGACTTGATTATATGTAGTCCAATCAGGAGGCTGCGTAGGTGAGAATGGGCGGGACTAACCAGGGCCTGCCTTCACAAAGGTTGTCTCTCTTCAGTTAAAGTTACTGACTTTCACTTTAAGACTTAATATTTTAACTAAGAACAAAAGTCTTGATTGTGCAGCTCCGCCCACTTCTAAACTTAATTATCCCAAAATTTCTGGGAATAAGATGTGGACAGGACCGTTCTTTTCCACCAAGAGAAAGTTTTGATCTGTGGATTTAAATATATTCAGTTATAAGTTAAATTATAAAACTAAATTCACACTTCTACATTGCTCTTTGTTCTTTTTGCTGAATACGACTTATATTAATTTAAATGATTTTTAATATATTTCTCCTTTAAAATCATTGTTTTAAACCCAAAACAAGTTTCCAAACTGCAGCTCTGTGGTTTTTGAATCACGTTTTTAGAAAAGTGCATTGTCCTCCCTCAGATTTGGAGGTGAAACTCGCTCTGTAAATATCGTACTGTTGTCTGTGTGTGTGCGTTTGTGAAGTAGAAATATTTTAGCAATTTATAATAAGAAAAAATTTCAACAGTGAAAACAAAGTCACATCTTTAGCAAGTGAAAACGTTAAAATACAACATTAGAATATACGGAAAACGTGCATTACTGTTTAGAATAAGAAAAAAATCTGTTGATCTAAAATAACATTCATTGACCCCGGTATGTAGTTTTTCTCCAAGTGTGCCAAAATGTCTGACACTGCTGATTGACATCACACCTTGAATGCATTGAGACGACCCAAACATGCAAGGACGTCACTGCATAACTTGATAACTTTGTTTTTTTATACATGTTCCTAGATAATAGGTCATATACACACCATATTTAGTCTTTTCTGAAATTAAGTTTAAAGGAGTTATTCTTACTAGAGCAGAATAAGGCGCACTCGGGTTGCCAGTTTGCGTTTAACTTTTGTAATTATAACTATTGAACCTCTACTTGCGCATTACAGTTAGTTTTGAAAATGACCTTTGCTGGAAATAAAAAGCCATTATCAAGAACAGATAAAACGTGTAATTTATGAATTTTTATGCCACATGATTTTGACAAGTGTACATTTATTTTTTGTTAACCAACTTGCTAAAGATGTGACGACTTGACGGTTATAAGCCAATCATATCGCTCCATTCAATCATCCGCCATCTTGTCTGGTGATCTTTACTCCCTGAATGATTGCAGAATGTTTTTGTACATAGAAAAGGTGTAGTACTATCATTACGGACTCATGCTTTTTTCCTATGGCCTTTCACCATCGCCACAGAACAGGACCAGAATTAAACCGATAGTATTGTACGAACGTTTTTACAAATTCTCTGTAGTTTGATCGTCGCATTTATTTGTCAATCTTCATTTGTTTTAAGTAGCCTTTTGTGAAATCGCTAATAACCGAAGCCTTCACTTTGTATGTAGCATTAAAACCCGATCTGTGGCTTGACCTTACTCCTATAGGATTAATAAAGTCGTTTTGCTTTTAAACCAAACCTGAAACAGTGCAGCCTCTGGAGTGTGTTTGGGAACAATTTACAATTAAACTTTTTTTTTTTCTGTGAGAATGGGAAGTTTCCAGTCACAAGAAATACCAGGGTCTGTACTATGAGTTTTATATTTCAGCAAAACTTATAATATAAAAGCTAAGGGAAAAGTAGTTGATTCTTATATGTTTGGATTTTTAACTGAACTTAAAGCTGGGGTACCTCACTTTTTTCTTTCATAAATGTTAGAATTTTTACAATACTGCAGTATTTTTGCTGCAACAGAGTATTGTAAAAATTCTAACTTTTGTGAACATATCAGACCCATGGATCTAATAACACTGGTCACTGGGTAACAAAAAAATATTTTTTGGAAATAGTCCAGGGTTTTCCAGCTGAATTAGACTAATTTTGATGCTCTGAGTCCGAAAATGACCTTGGTTTTGCTCAATCAGGTCAGGATTTTTTGCTACAGAAATATTTTTTTTAATAGATTTTGCGTTAAAAAAAAAAAAATCTGCGGATCATCAGCTGAGAAACCCTTGACGTTTTTTCAGTTTTCCTCAAGAAATAAAAGTCAACGTATCCAAAGTCATTCAGTTTTTATTTACTCCATCAAATTTGATAAGCAGAATTCATAATAACGTAGACATACATAATCCGTAACACTATGGCTGTATCTCAAAAAGTTGACCTGATAGAGCAAAATGCATGTGATATGCCTCAGAACACCAAAGTTAGTATAAATCAGTTGAGAAACCCCTGACCATTTTTTGGCTGTCAACTTGTGTTATGGATCAGACCCACAGCATGCTACATACTTGTAAGAAAGCACTGCGATTGGCTGAGTGAGAGTTGTCCCTTTTCATTTTTCTGTCTGAAAAATTATCTAAAGATGTGATGGAAGCCAAAAAAATACATGTGAAAACTAGTGATGAAACTAAGTGAGATGGATTTTAAAGTGGTTTGAAAGTTCCCAGCTTTAATGTTAGTCAATCTCCACCACAGCCTGGAGTAATAATCAAAGTACCTATATTGTTATTTTGTGGATAAGATTACGTTTTGCTGCAGAAAACGTGTATAATAAACTAACAGGGTTTTTCTTTCTTTAGGACAATCTTAATTACGAAAGAATTCAGTTTGAACCCCAGGACGGCTGCACTTTTCTGCCTTTGCATGAACGAGAATGAATGTTGAGACCATTCCACAACTCGCATCATTCCTCACTTAAGACTTTTGGACTTTGGAAACTGAACTAGTATTTCAATTCTTTTCCTAAAACTAAGCTGAATAAGGTCGTTACTTTTTGGACAGGCTGAAAGAGTGAACATGTAAAATGTGTCTACGAATTGTGTGTTTTGGAAAAGTTACAATGACGTCGGCAGAAAGTGAAATGGAAAAAATAAAACAAATAAAATGGCATCGTACATGTTTTCTGTGGATTTCATGTTTGGTTTTTTTCCGGTGGAAATGTGTTAACCTGTGTTTGGAGAGAGCGGTGACCCGGCCGTCAGTGGTCAAACTATGGTCAATCAACTGAAAAGGATTCTGTTCATGTTCCAGAATTCTAATGCAGTCTATAATTGGATTTTGAAACTGCGTAGATACAACTTTGAGAATCTAATATATGAAAAACCCTCAGAGGTTAGATTTTGCAAACATTTTATTCACAGTGGAAAATGACAATGGCACAAAGTCACTTCCTGAAATATTTCCACTGAAAGGAATTGGAAACTGAAATTCAAGCAGAAGTGTTGGAATGGTTTGACAACAGTTTAAAAAATGCAAGAGACTTTTCTGAACATAAAAGGAAATGGACTGATCCTTTTAAAACCTTTCATCACAATGTAAATAAAAGGAATGGTTTATATTTGAAACATTACTTGGAATAATGAAAGTTAAAATGGACCAAAGACATGCATTTGTTGCAGAGAACTGCTACGTCCACGCAGAACACTGCCCCCAGTGTTCAGGATGTCATTTAGAGAACAAGGTTCTATTATGTACAATAAAAATACATTTTCATACCGTAAGTTCACGTACAAACGTGTAAAAGGTGCTCATGTCAGAAGTAATTATCAACACAGAAATAAGACCTAAATATAAATTTCATCTTCTTAAAAACTCTCCCTTTGAAAAGTGAAATGACTTAATGTTGAAAGTGATTAATAATTCCAGCAAACCAACAAAGTGTCAAAAATTACCGTTAATTATTAAACTACCAAGCAGAAGTATGTTTTCCCAGGCCGGCTGAGAGAGGGACTTCTGGGAAAACAGACTTCTGCTTTGTAGGTAGCCAGCTGGTCCTGAGTTCTCCTCCCCAGGGAGGAGTCCAGGAGGCATGCAAAACAGATGGAGAAGCAGCAGCTCTACTCAGAGCTCCTCCTGTGTGAATGAGCAGCTCACCCCTTTTTTTAAGGCTGAAACTCATGAGGACGGCTAATATCGCATTTATTTGGTCATTACCCAAAGCTCATGAGGGGAACGAAGGTAAATTCTTTTGCTTCTGAACAAAACCTGATACTTTTAACTCCTCCACTTGAGGTCGGACCTCAAGGTTTCAACAGAAGTTGAGCTCAAATGTAGTGACAAAACTAGGTTCTTCCAACCTCGTCACAAAGTTGGTGCATATAAGGTTGGTCCCAAAGTCGATACCGTTAAATCATTAACAAAAAAGCCTAAAATGTCAGGATTTCTGTTAGATACAATCCAAAAATTACATTTTGAGTAGTGTTAATTTAACATGGTAAAAAGGCAAAGATCAAAGTGAAAAAAATGACATGTGAAAAAAGGAAACGAAACCGGGAACTATTTCATTGGCCAAGCTCATGTAGTGTTGAATAACAGTCAAAAAAGACAAAAATTGAAACAATAATTAAAACTACAAATGTTTCTTTTCCAAAAGACAGAAATGCAGATGTGAGAGTTTGTGCTTAAACAACAGTAGTGCATAAGTCAGTGTGCAGCGTCATGTGAGAAGGGAAATGTAGTTTTTAGGGACTATTCCTCGTTTGTGGCCTACAACTCCCAAGATCCACTCCTCGTCCACGGATTCAACTTGTGTCAAAACGTCCCCCGCCTTAAAGAAGGAAAGAGAGAAGATCACATGGAACAGATCAGGTTTTTGTGAGAAAGATGAAAGCAACTGTCAAAGTGAAATGAACCTTGAGAGTGAGTTCGTCCTCGTTCTCTGCGCTGAAGTCAAACAGAGCTGTGGCTTTGGTTTCAGAACACTGCGCTCTGATTGGCCGAGCTGTGAACAAAACAGTGGCTCATAAATATTCATACTTAAGTTTTTTTTTTTTATACAAGCAACGAGTGCTAATCAGGAAGGCGCTGATCGGTTACTGCACATGCTACTCGCTAGCTAAAGCAGATATCGCGGACAGAAGGCTCCTGATTGGTCGAGTTTTTTGGGGCTCGTAACTGGACTTCGGAGTGTGATGCCACAAACCTTTGGCCGCTGGTTGTGTGAACGCCGCAGGGTAAAGTCCCTCTCGATCCTCCACTCTTCCTCTCCTCCACTCTGCATCCACGTGCTCCAAAACCCGGATCAGCGCCCCCTTGTGGAAGCGCAGGTCGCCCGCAGTCTGACCGGGGAAGTCGAACACCGCCACGGCCCACTCCTCACTCTGACGGGGAAAAAAAGTGGCGTCCCTTTGGCACCTTTTCTTTTTTACATTTTGACAACATTTTTGACTCATTTGACTTTAAGTTGTATTTTCTATGAACAAAGCAAAGCAAAACAATTATATGTAATGGTTGTTTTCTGAGAATTAGAGAAATAGCTTGATCTAACACTTAACGTGAAAAGGGAGTAGTACTTCTGTAACCCCGGTTTCAGTTTTGTGCAACACATTGTAATCGTGTCTTTGCCCCGCCCCGGCCCTAACCTCTAACCAATCAGACCACTCTTGTTCCAATCGACATGTGAATGAGAGGTGCGGCTGGTTCCTTTGAAGTGGAACATACAAAACCACAGTCGGAGCTCATGCAACAGAGATCAAGATCATCCAGACATGGGAAGAACATGCAAACTCCACTCAGAGAGGCCCCTTATGTACGTGCATGAGCTTTACAAACAAGACCCCCGATCTTTATTTGGTCAAACTGTGCAACGAGTCCAGAGAGAACAGCAGAAAGGTGGTCATATGTAGATTGGAATGAGAAAGTGAGTCTTACCGGAGGCTCTTGTGATGAAGACGGTGGTTCTGTTAAAGACAAGAAACAGTTTAGAATGTGAGAAATTACATCAGACAGAGGCTCACGTGCACAAAGTCACTACAGATGGGACTTTAAAAACATGTGCAGTAGTGAAATAGTCTATTGTATACGTTTTAAATCAGAAAAAAGGAAAACTATCGGGTCTATAATCATATGAAACCTGTAAACAATAATATTTTTTTTATCCAATTAAAATTTTGGCAAAAGCAACAGCTGCAGTGATAGAATAGAAGCAGCTTTGGGTGTTCAAAAACTTGACACAATAATTACTGTATTTTTCAGATTATAAACCGCACCTATTCCACGCTGTATTATTTTTACTGTCAGTAAATGTCAGTAACTGTCAGTAAGAAGTGAGCCACTGACTGTTCTTGATCTTCCAGTGTGAAGCAGAATGACAAGGATCTCTTTTCACTTTCATTTCTATACAAAGACACAAAAAACTTATGTTCTACTGTGTTTACACAAAGATATAAATGAGGACTTTTAACATTTATTAAATATGCTTGATTGACAAATCTTACAAGTTAATTGGACCTCTGAACTACTCTTCAATTCTGTCGGTCTATTGTTATTTGGCAAAAAAAATTTGGCACTCCAGAAAAATAAAAAATTCTGCGTAAGCCTCCTTTTGAAGCCACAGCTTTCAAAATGCAGAAAAAAGCTGCGGCTTATTGTCCGAAAAATACGGTATTGTGTTCTTTGTATTTTAAGTCCATTACCGCTTTGATACAACTTTAACAAAAAGCAACAGTATAGTTTGGATTGTCCATTTTCTTAATTAAAAAGTGGGAGATTTTCTTTGTTTTGAAGCTATTGTTTATTGCAATCGCAGACACTATATTAGTGGACAGACTGAAGCAGAGTAGAGCTGACACACAGATAGTCTGATATTCAGCGGGAAAGTGGAGCTATATTAATGTAATTGTTCATAGCCACGGCCAAGTTACACAAATGTCGGCCAATTCAGCGAGAGAAGGCATCTGATTGGTTAGGGCCCATATCTGGATTTACAAAGACGATATAAAAGAGATGTTGAAAAAACCTTACATTTTCTAAACCCAAAATGGTTTTAAACCAAATGAGTTTACTTTTCAAGTCAATAGGAGCCAGAGAGAGGAGCTAAACTTTGTCCATGAGCACTTCCCTATTAGCATTGTCCATCTATGTACAGTCTATGTTTGCAATCTCTGTCTGAAGGAACATGGTCAAACTTGTGAGAGGCATTTATATTCCCAAGTCTTTCAAAAACACATTCAATTTCAAATGACTGAACATTATCGAGTTCATTTGGATGATTCAGACGAGCGTGTGTCCGTATTCACCAGTGCTGTCAGCGGCGCTCGTCTCCACTGTTGTCGTTTTGCCCGTGGCCGGTGGCGCTGGTGGCAGTGGCTCCACAGTCTGGGTGAAGTTCAGGGGGAAGATTCCGATTCGTCCGTGCAGTTGGCCCCGCCCCCAGTCTCTGCCTGCACCAATCACGTCCAACAGGGCTATGACGTCACCGCAGGAGAAGGTGAGCTCGTCCTCCTCCACGGCAGAGTAATCGAACAGAGCCACGCGCCGACGGCTGCTGTGGAGCGACGAGGAGAACGTGCATCATGAGTGTTTTAGACCGAGTTCAAAATAAACACAGCTTTAAATAGTGATGTTAGAGGAAAACTTAACCATGTAAACATTGTTCACTCATCAAAAGCAGATCTGGACCATCCATGCCACAACTGCTTCCTCTGGTGGCAGTAAATCATATAGTTTCCCCTCCACAACAGTTTCCCACATTTAATCTACTTTTATTTGTGTCTAGCCTGGTCGTACCACACCATATTACAAATGACATTTCGTACTAAGGTCTGGAGGTGCTCCATTGAGCTCCGTGAACAGGTGGGAGGGGTTAACTCCTTTTGCAGATTGAAACGATTTGATCTGAGTTTACCGTGACTCGGGCGTATGTAATGCACCAGAGTTTGTTGTTAGCATTTAGCCTTGCTATCTCCTTTGTCGCTAATGGAGCCCATGGGGAGTAGCGCCACAATTTCTTCTAGCGATTACATTTGCTAAACATTCCTATTGCTCTGGCTTCAATTTCTTGATAGAACCGGACCGGATTACTTTACTATCGCAAGTACAACCTTCCCGTTCGACGCAAACTCTTGACGTCACCCACAAATAAATACAACACTCTACTTCCACGCTCGCTGATTGGTCGGTCGAAATTCTACTGATTGTAATCGCTAACATGGGGTCCAGACCCAGACGGTTACATGCAGTGAAATGATGATTGAGCGGAGTGTACGGATGGATAAGGCCAGGCTAATATATGTCTACATGCAATAGGTCTCTTTTACAAATCATATTTCAGGCAGATTATCCAATCAGAGGGCAGAATGTAGCTCTCATTTGGATGAAGCCAAGCCCAGATAAATGTCATAATTTTTTTCAAATAACATAACATTCACAAACAAAGAACTAAGAAAATAGCACCTATCTAGCACATCTGTTTAATGAACCAGGTAGAAAAATAAGTTGTCAAACGTAATACACAGTGTTTGTATCGTTTGTAGGGCGACAGTAGCTCAGTTGGTAGAGCATTGGCCTTTGGGCCTGAAGGTCGTGGGTTCGAGCCCACCGTAAGACCTACTTCACGACTCCCACTGATGACTGCTGTCGTTGTGTCCTTGGGCAAGACACTTAACCCCACTTTGCCCAAAGCCCCCACTGAAAGATCTCAGCTCCTGTGGACTCACCACCTGCAGGAGGATCAGTGAGGGCCTGGTGCTCTGTGTACTGGGTGCAGCTTTGACTGCCACCCCCCCGACCCAGAAATGGATTAAGGGGAAGAAAATGGATGGATGGATTGATGTATCGTTTGTATCTGAACTCCAGCAGGTGGATTGCATCAGTAATCCGTTTTAGGAGCTACATGCAGGAAGATTCTTGTAATTGTAATGACTTTATTAGACCACGAAGAGAGGTGGAGAGGGCGGTTCTTTCCAAAAACTGTGACATGGGGAAAACAAACAAACCCTTTAGAAGCCGGCTCCTGCCCCTCGTCCTGATCGTCACCCGACTGCAGAGGAATGTTCTGGAAATTAACAATTATTTCAACACGTCGTCACCAGATTTTTACATGTTCAGCTCAAGTACAGAATGCTTACTTGAGTTTGAGAGAGTTCTTCCAGAGTTTCTTTGGATTGACATTGATGCGGGTCCTGGTCCCGGTCCTGGTTCTTGACTTCTGGTTCCAGATCCAGATCCAGGAGACACACAGTGGAGTCAATCAAAGGAGCAGAATTCGATTGGCTGTTGGTCTCTGAGGGGGCGGGGCTTGGGTCATCCACGTCAATCAGGACCTCCTGCTTCTAGAGCACAGGAGGACACACATCAGTGGCTCTGGGCCGTTCCCAAACCAATCCCTTCCTACTTTCTTAGCAACATATTCTCTCTTTAACTGGGCACATTGTATTTGACTAAAAACTAAATAATAAAATTCCTTAACAAAATGACAAAAAGGCATACGTGTGTCTTGATCTTTCCTCACCACATAACTGTTGCACAGCGGATGCCCAGGCTTTGGTCGTGGAGGAAGAGGAGGCCGTTTCTTGGGTTTCGGACCCGGCACCTGACCGGGTTCTTGTGTGTGATTGGTCGATACTGAAGCCTCACTCTGTAGCGACGAAGACGAAGGGCTTTTGGTCAAAGACGGCGGCGGAGGGCGACCGGGGAGCGATTTAATAGGTGGAGGCCGGAGGGGGAGGAGTTTCACACCGGTCGGCCTGGAAACGGTAATGTGAAGATGAAATCACTGCCAAAATGCAGAGAAACGAACTATATTATAGTGAAGAGTCCCCAGAAATATGTAAGAAAGTTGAAACCTTTTAGATATTAAATCTAGTCGTTGTTTTGTCCCATGTGGCATGTGTAACTTTCTATTTGGAATAAGATTTTTTTATTCAGCACACTTCATAATTATACGAACTGCAGCTCAATGCAGTTAACACCATTTATTAAAGCAGGTTAAAACAGCTTGAGTGAGTGAAGACATTTGTTAAGACACAGCAGATATCCTGACAAACTGTATGGAAGGAAACAGCACCATCTACTGGTGTCAGTGGGAACTGTAACCCCAGTGTACACCTGGGCATCATCCGTGTCCTTTATTGACTGCGATCAAAGTTTCGTACCGTGGAGGTAAAGACAGCTCCACTGTGTTCTGGGTGGAGGTGGACTTCCTGAGGGCCGGTCTGGGGGGTCCAGAGGGCCGACTGGGGACTGGACCAGAGTCTGCAGAAGGAGTCGTGTTTGAGAGCAGGTTTGGAGCTGGAGAAAAAAGGAAAAAAAAGAACATATCTATGTGTTTTTAATTCTTCTTATAATCTTTCAATATTCCACCCTCCACTATAAAAAGTAACAGTTAACCAGCGACATGTCTCCTACGAGGTTTTCTGTTACCCATCATGTAAACTTCTCACCCCATTTTTGGGAATAACGTGTACTGCAGCCAGTGTTGAGTAAGTTACTTAACAATTACACAAGTTGACAGCCAAAAAATGGTCAGGGGTTTCTCAACTGATTTAGACTAATTTTGGTGTTCTGAGTCCGAATATCACATGCATTTTGCTCTATCAGGTCAACTTTGAGATACAGCCAAGGATTACGTACGTCTACGTTATTATGAATTCTGCTTATCAAATTTGATGGAGTAAATAAAACTGAATGACTTTGGATACGTTCACTTTTATTTCTTGAGGAAAACTGAAAAAACGTCAAGGGTTTCTCAGCTGATGAGCCGCAGAAATTTGTTTTTTACGCAAAATCGATTTAAACAAATATTTCTGTAGCAAAAAATCCTGACCTGATTGAGCAAAACCAAGGTCATTTTTGGACTCAGAGCATCAAAATTAGTCTAATTCAGCTGGAAAACCCTGGACTATTTTAAAAAAATATTTTTTTGTTACCCAGTGTTATCAAAATCTAACAAATGACTTTTTCAATTGTAAAAAGTGAAGTTACACTACGCCTCAATAAACACTTTGAACACCTGCTCAAAACACACATTCAGTCTGAGGTGAGTCAATACGTCCTTCTTAAGCGCGTATAACACTATATTGCTATAGGATAAAATGGAAAAATATTGGGCCCGTATTCAATTGGTTAAAATACATAATTACTTAAGTAAAAGTAACTCATTACATAGTTACTACTTGTAATCAAATTACACCTAACACTGAACATAACAAATGGAACATCATTCAGGAAAAGTAAAAACACTCCAGCAGAGCAGATTCACAACCAACACATTTACCACAATCAACTACATAAACTTTTCAGAGGAAAACATTTATTTTCCCTCAGAATTCTCCCTGATGCATCCTGGGAATTCACTGAAAGAAAATAAAGAGTGAGTCAGAGCTGCAGCTGAACAACAGGCTCATTCTGTGTGAACACAATCAGCTTTTCTCTGCTGTCGTCTCCAGAGTCCAGAGCTGAACTTTACGAGGCTCCGGCTCCTCATGGAACAGGACCCACATACATTCACTTGGACTACTTTACTTTAAAGCCTAGCGTACATCGACAGAGAAACTGGGGACAACTAGTTGCAAGGCGGCTTTTGGCAACTGAGAGGAGATGGTGGGAGATGATCAGTTGCCGAAATCGGTCGATGTGCGCGCTCTTACAACTGGAGATGATCAGTCGGTCTCCAGTTCCAGTCAGTTGCCCGTGTTCTACTTTTCGGCAACTAGTTGTCCTCAGTTGCCCCGATGTGCGCGCTCCATGCGCCGCTCCGACAACGTGTGTGTATTGCGTGTATTGCGAGCCCGCAACAGTTTGTTGTCAGAAAACACACTGTGGTTGAGGCCAGTTGCTGTCGATGTACGCGCTGTTATTCAAGAGACTGGCCTGCGACTCGAGTTGCCCGTTTTCGCCAGATTGTCGATGTGTGCGGGGCAGCAACTCAGAGGCGACGGATATAATCAGTTGCCAGTCCGATGTACGCTAGGCTTAAGGGATATCTATATTCATGTACATAAACGACAGCCTATTACACATGTCATGATTATAAACAAAGTCTCACCACTGGACCGTCGACCAATTACTGCAGTTGGTTTTGAAGGAACACCGGGACGAGGACATCCAACTTTTACTGAAAATAGATATTCAATAAAACAGAAAATCAATCATAATTCAAATTAGATAAACAAGATGAACGCAATATACATTCAATATACAATACAAATGTCTAACCAGTTTTGCAAGCGCTCTCGTCTTCACATGCCTCCGTCTTGGCTCTGGCTCTGAGGTCCAGTGTGGGTCTTGGGGGCAGCGGCGGTGTCGTCTGGCCCACATTTGAGCCTCTTGACCTGGGTGCAATGGAGGGTCTGGGAGGCAGTTTGGGCTGGGACAGTGATGGACCAGGTCTGGGTAACGGAGCAGGTGTAACGGAAACCGGTTCTGTGCTTAATTCTGTTTTGGAAGCTGACAAAGGCTTTTCTGAGGTTTGGCTTTGCTCTGATGTGTCCACAACATCATCACAGATGTTTACGCAATCCGGGTTCAATGTGTCCCCAGAAGTCTGAGTCACATTTTTAGGTTTTGGTAAGATTATAGGTGGTTTACTCTGAGTCATCCTTGGCCGTGGTTTTGGTTCTGGTCGCTGCTTTGGAGGCGCGCACGGCTCGAGTTGCGTTTCTTCAAAGTTCCCGTCGTGCATTTGTTCAAACGCCTGGATCCGTGCCCTCAGAGTCGCCATGTCCTCTTCCTGGTCCTCGTTGGGGACTTCCTGGTTTGACTCGTCCTCGCTCTCGGATTGGCTGGAGATCCGTTGCTCAGGAAAACCCCAGTCGTCAGAGCTAAACGCCTCCAAAAGCTCTTGCAGATACGTCCCACCTGTCGCCTCCTGGTTTGACGTCTGTGAAATGAACCAATGAGACCAACTATTTTAAAGACAGATTTTTTTCTTTTGTGTGACAACCAACAAAGATAAATAATAAACTATGCAATATTTATATTTGAAACAACATATATTATGGGAATGTATCTACTAGGGGTGGGCGATATGGCCTAAAATTCATATTGCGGTATAATTTGGGACACAGACGGTAGACGGTATATATTGCGGTATAATTTGGTGTGTGAATTTCAATATAGGTCTAGCAGGTTCTAGTCAAGATTGTTACTTATTTATATATTAGAATCTATTAGAATTTGAGTTAGAAAATCAGTTCACGAATAAAGAGACAAATGTTGTAACATACATTATTTATGTATGTTATAGTAAATACCATTCACTGTAAAAGCAATTTTTAAAAAGAAAAACATATGCATTCATTTCAAATATAAAAAACTCACAAATGTTGAAATCAAAGTCTGTAGCAGTTAGACATGGTCATTATTTATAGTGTCTGATAGTTTTGTGCAGGTACATGACTTCAGTAAAAGCTATTGTTCGTTTACAAAGCTGGTCTTGTCATTTGTTGACGCTCCCTAAGCGCTTTTCTCTGCGCTTGCAGTGAACTGGATGATTTAATGGATTTATGTTCATTAAAACAGCACATTGGATTTGAACAATTGATGTAAATGATCATTTTGGCAGAATTCATTTTGTTTAACAAAGTAGTTTTCGTGAGATATTGACCGCGGAGGTCCGAATCTGACGCTAACTTTCCCAAACTTCTGCTGTGATGCTGCGGACACGGCACACGCATGGATCTATTTTGGCTCACGCTGGCGCTTCGAGCCTACGCCCCTTTGACACTGATTGGCCAAAAGGTAGACGCTTAAACTGTGATTACTGTGTGTGTATTTACCTCTGCTGGGGCCGCTGTGACAACAATACAGAGACAGAAACACGGTGTTAATGCCGTGCTGTTGTTCGTTGTTTCCAGTGGTGTCTGCTAGGCTAATAGTGCTAGGCTAATGCTGCTGAATGCCGGTTTGTTTTGGTCCTTTCTGCTGACGTCAGAGCCTGCGCAATTTGATGACATAATGACCTATTGCAATATGCCGGTATAACAAAAATCTCTACCGTGGGCCAAATTTATATCGCATACCGCTTATACCGTTTATATCGCCCAGCCCTAGTATCTCCAAACACAAAGTCAACATGTACAAATCATAGAAGGACCTTTACAAACATAATTATTGTTATGTAGATTCATTATTTTTTCAGATTCAGATTAATTTATTTGCCATTTGCAGTAAATCAAATCAAAATCTATGGGCGTGCTGACAACATCAATAGTGTTCAGAGCTAGCTAAAACAAGACTGCATGGGCAGGAATCTAGAGTCAAATTCATGGGTAGCAACAACCTAGTAACTAAAGAGCCAATGAGGAGCAGGTTCCCCGTCAAGCTATTCGCTAACTGGAGACAAATTTCGGTCAGTTTTGCCCCAAGTTTGGCCAGATGTTAGGGGTGGATTTACAGACAATATCAGAATAAAAAGTCCATGATCATGTAGAACTGGATTTTAAGTCCAAAATGGTGAGTGTGAGACCAACAGTTACAGAGAAAGAGGAGTTAACATTACATTCTTGGGTTTCATATGACGTCGGGGCAGTGGCGCGAATGACATACAAGACCGGACCAGACGGTGCAGTCTGCCGGGTATACACACGGAGTTATAGTAGAAGAAGATGCACGGTCAAAATGCCATCTTTCTGTGCGGTGTAAGGTTGTAGAAACCGCGCAAATAGAGAGAAAGACAAGACTTTCTTCCGTGTTCCAACTGTGGTCTCATATAAAGGAGTACACTTTAACAAATCACTCGAATGAGGCGGGCGAGGTGGATCGAGGCTTTCCCAGATAGGCGCCCCCTGCAGGCCATCCGAATGAAACGCAGCAATGTCTTCTGTTATTTTTTCCAAAAATGCCCAAAATCAAGACTCTTGAGAAATATTTTTTAGTACTCCCATAGAATTGAGTGTCCCCCTCCCGATTAAGACTGTTACAACAACCGTACACCGCACAGGATGAGAGCCTTTTGATTCCAAAACAGACAAGATTTACATGGTCTTCAATGGGAGCAAAACTGAGTTGTCCCATCTCTGCTCATTCGCCCCCTAGAGGCCAGGTTAATGAAACCCAAGAATTGCAGGTCAATGGGAGAGAAAAATTGTGATCTGCTGCTCTCAGTCTGTTAAACACAGATGATTCAACAATGTCCAAAGAAAATATGAACAGTTTGACAAGTCAAGTAGTTTTGCCAAGAAATTGCTGAGGCTGTTTTTTGGTGGCTTTCCCAACATTCAAATCAATACATGAGAGTAAAGAAAAAATCCAATACCTGCTGGTTTGCGTTGGCCCGCGCTGCTAGTGTCTTCAGTCCGTCGTCTCGCAGTTTGACCAGCGTCTGGACACGGACCTCGTCTCTGATTGGCTGGAGGTTGATTTTGGAACGAGGGCGGGGCTTAGGGCGCTGCTTCCCGGCGTCCAACTGGTCAGGCTCAGGGAATATTGGAGTCTGAGTGGATATGGAAGGAGCGGAGTCACCGTTTGGTATAAAAGAAAGTGATTGGTCCAAAGTGTCTTCTGCTTTGGAGAACTTTGTGGTGCAGTGTGGGACGGGAGGTTTCGGTGGCCTCAGAGGTCTTCGGACTAAAAGAAAGGGCACAGAAATGTCACATTGAAAAACAAAAATTGCAAATTGTACAATAGCAAAAGATAAAAACAGCAAATTAGATATGAGAGTTTGGTACAATCAAGATTAGAAAAGTCAGTTAAAGGTGATGCCAGAAACCAAGTGGATGATGTTGCCTCTTTGCCCCTGGATACTAAAGTAAGTATTTAGTATTCAGTAGGTCCCTCCCTTCACCAGCGTTGTGCGTTCCTAACCTTGAGCAGCGGTGTCCGGCGGGCGCCTTGTGTCGGTCTGAGTGGCGATGGTTGTGGTGACGACTGCAGATGATTGTGGAGACGACGGAGCTTCAGCGGCCGAAACAAAGACCCGCTCCTGGTTCTTCTCCCGGATCACCTCCTCATACGACGGAGGAGGCTACAGAGCGGAGACAACATGTTCAGGAGTAAGAGCTTTAAACTTATTCGTGCGCAGACTAAAAATATACTACATATAAAAAGATACTAGGGTTGTCAAAATTATCAAAAGGACTTTCCTGTTCATCGGTCCTCAGATGTGTACGTTTGTGTGTGCATGTGTGGAGCTTCAAAGTGTAGTTCCAGCTATAAATACTGTTGGGATTTATGGTTATACAAAAATATATTGAATTAAATTGAGCTTGTGTCTGTGAGACCCACAAGTCCACAACAAGAGTCTGACAGCGTCTGCGATCGAGGTTAAAGGTGTGATGTGTGAGGTTGGTCCTAGTGCGCTCCGGACATACAGAGAAACTACTTCATACAGATTGTGTGAGGAGCCAAGAAAATTGTCAAATATATTAGCATTTCTGCCATCTTTTGCTCGTTTTTGGAGACCGGTTCCCGACCAATAGATTACAGCTGGAATGGTAAAAAGTTAGAAAGATAACATGAACACACCTGTATGTCGAGCACAGCGGGGGCCAGTGAGGGGCCCCAGATCTGAGCAGCAGGAGGAGGAGGAGGAGGAAACCCAGCTCCAGGAAACCAGGAGGAGATGGGCTCCGCAGAGAGAATGGTGATCTCCGGCCGTCTGAAGGACAGACAAGGTTTGCACTGATACAGACAGGGTTAGCACTGATCACGGCATTAGGCAGTTCAGATTTGGAAATGTCATACATTTCCAGGCCCCAGGATAATCCTAATCCTGATGGGGAATGCTCGGAACCCTTTTGGATGTGGTCTTGTACAGCTGGGCTTGAAACACACCAGCCATAGATGTCATTGTTTTGGTCATATTCTGGAGATTATGATAATTTTATCCCATTTCGTGGTTGTGTGAAGCCATATTTTTGTGTCATCATTCAAAATCTAAGAATTATGGTAAAAGAAAAGTCTGTTCTGCCTGGGTTAGTACACTGTATATTGAATACATACTTAATCCAACTCAGTTCTCATGTACCTCCTGTCCCGCTCTCGCTCTCGGTCTCGCTCTCTGTCTCTGGGAGGTGTTTCTGACAGGGATGTGGATCTATTGGACGCTGTGGAAAAGACAAAACAAAAACATTACAATTACTCACATAGTGACATGGTGAAACACTGATTTTTGTAAACTCAATCTGACAATAGATAATTGTTTTACTTTTGCTTTGCATAAAAACAATGAAATACGTGGAGCTTTTGTTTGTCTTAATCTGGAGGATTTTGGCTTTCAGTCCAATATCAACAGATTATAATGTTCTGAGTTTCTTTTTAATTTTTGGGTTGTTACAAGCTGTGAACCAATTATCAAATATATTTTGAACTTTACTTGCAATAAGCCTGTCATGTATTAGTTTTCCATTGTAAGTTCAATTACAGAAGTAAATTGACTTTTGAATGATATTCTAATTTTCAGAGTTTCACCTGTGTCACCCAACGAAATGACTGTCTCCTATATGCGTCCAAATGAACACCTTTTTTATATAAAATGGCTTTTCCCTGTGCTCTTAAATGCATTCAAAGCAGACTTATTTTTTTACACTGCTTTACATGGAAGATAATGAAACTGCTTGTGTTAATCAAATAGGAGTAGGCGAGTGATCTGGATTTCACTTGTAATTTCTAATCGCACTCGCAGATTCCCCGGATTACTGGAAGTTGAGACAGAGGGTTTGTTGCACTCACTTCGCTTGATGGCGGCTCGAATGGAGGAGAGTGGACCCTGACTGCAAAATATGAACAAAACATCAAAATAAACAATGCTACAGCTAGTTTATTGATAGAGTTTGGTTTCTGTTGTCTATTGCATCTAAATTGTGTGTTAGCTGGAGGGGGGATTGTGATTGGATGCTGGTTTCCATGGTAGCAGTAGAGTTATTCCACTCAGTGTTAAATGTCTTTAGCTTTGACAGAGTCTTTAGTTGTAGCTGAGAGGCGATACACATTTTAAGGAGGTGACCAGGGCAACTGACAATAAGACAAGTTAAAGGGGGGGCTATAAGAGACATTGTTTTCTTCTCAACTCGCAAAAAAGTTATTCAAATCAACCATATAGATCTACAAGTTTGTTGGGCTATGATTTATTATTGTAGGATTTTTATGGCTTTTGCTTATTCAAACAAACAGAGAAGTACAACACATGTGTGTAAGGACAGATTTATATGCACCATATAATATATTAAATGAATAGGCCACCGTTTTTTACATACTGACATATGTTCTTACCTTACCTTAGACTAGTTGATATGTACCTGTCTGGTCTTGACAAAGACCAGACAGGTACATATCAGTCTGTCGCTCTGTCATGCAAACGCAGCCTCTTCCACATACTGTATAGTTACAAATCAGCTCCCGTTAGAAACTACCAAACTCTTCCACGTGTTCCCTATTTAAATACAGTTACGTTACACTACAAAGTATAGTAACACAGAAATGTAACGCCGATTTTCTCAGCGGATAAAAAGCGGTACTATATTGTGAGGCGTAATAATACGAGGAGCACTACGTCCGCGCACTAACTCCTAAAGACTTCTCTCCCGCTCCTGTACGTACTACAAGTCACGCTGCTTCAATTGACGGAAGAGAAGGGAAAACGTGTAAGAGTTTGGTAGCTTCTAACGGGAGCTGATATTAATGGCTTATTAACCGAGCGCGAGGTCTGTATGGAGAAATATCAGACCGCGGCCTTAACATACAGACCGAGCCGTGGCGAGGTCTGTGCAAAAAGGTCTGATATTTCTCTGTACAGACCGAGCAAGCAAGGTTAATAAATGTTTTATTATATGACCATCGTCTGTGTCTTTACCAATGCTTTTGAGATATTTGTGAAGTATGTTCATGTCCGACTTGGTTTTGTGTGATACGCGCTGCGGACAGATTGTCATGGTAACGGTCCGAGATGGGAAAATATCAGACCGGTAATCAGCCAATCAGAGCGCGCGTATGGTCCAAGTCATATAATAAGGAACTATACAGTCTGTGGAAGAGGCTGCGTTTGTGCTCCGTTTGCATGACAGAGCGCACGGACAAAGATCACACAGGTACATATCAACTAGCCAAAGGTAAGGTAAGACCATATGTCAGTATGTAAAAACAGTGGCCTATTCCTTTAAACAAAGACCTTTATTGTCCCCTGAGGGAAAATCATTTCCTCAGACAGTGTCACATACATAGAATAGGAAGTAAGTTAAATACAATACACACAAGATAAACATAATACACAGAAGGAAACACATGCAATACAGGAACAAGGGTAACATAACATTACAGACTGTTGAGAGCAGGTGTATCTGTGTCCTGAGGGCAGCAGAGTGAAGTGGGTGTGAGGGAAACCTCTCACTATTTAAGTTATAGGGAAAAAGCGTATGGGTTTTACATACGTTTGATCCAGATCAACAAATCCATTTAAAAAAAAAAAAAGGAATTCAATTACATTTATTTTTGCATAGCCCTAAATCACAACAACAGTCGTCTCAGAGGACATTACAAAGTTGTCGATTCTCCACCAACAAATCAGAGAATCAACTGTTAAAACACAGGAAATGCAATAATAACTAACACATAGGAGCCATTGGTCGATAGGAGCGGGACGACCATAGTCTACACATGAGACAGTGGCGCTTGGCAGCTGTTTGCGTTCTCTCTCTTATCGAATTTCAATAATGAGCTAAAACTATGGTGTAAAAAGACACAAGTCTGTATAAAGTCCAGATGCATGAGTCCAATCAAAGACCGCAGATAAAGTGATGCAGTCATTGCCGAAGTAAATAAGGAGAGTTGGGAGTTTTCATTCCATTAATGGGTTAGTTGTAAAGATCGCTAACGATGGGTGAATAAAGGAATTTGTGTACATTTGACCCAAACAAAGCTCAAGTCCTGTCCCTGGAACATCACCATAGAGAGGACTTACACATTGGGTTGTATGAATAAAAATACTTTGATGCTGTGCCCAAAGCCTGTGTTTTCTATCTATATTTAGAAACAGTTGGGAGCCATGACATAAAAAGGGAAAAATGTGTTTCTGTTCGCCACATGACAAAGATTAGACACAGATGCGACCAAGGAGATACTGGGATTGTCTGACAGTACAAAGTTTGTATTATTCAGAGATAAATGTCCTACCTGAGTCGATGCTCTGGTTTACGCCTGTCAGGACGTCCTGTGAAGACACAATTAAAGAAAAACGGCCTTAGAACAAAAGTAAAATTACATTTACGCTTGGAACGTCTGGCACAATCATTTAGCTCCGCCCCCTCTGTCTCAAACGCAATCTTCCGACTTCTTAAAATCAGAGCGTTAATGAAGAGCCGGTGATGTCACACACCTGCTGCAGCGACAACAGAAATGTGACAGGATTCTCCCTTTGCTCGGTCATGAGAAAGGCCCAGAAACCTTTCTCTGCAGTGATCCGAGACACACAGGAGCGAATATGTTCCTTACAATAAAACATGCTTAAACTTACACAATCTTTGATATTTCAGAAACAATTTTGTGCCATAAATTCATTTAATTTTAAATTGATCTTTGTCTTTTCTTTATTTTGCGAGAAGTAAAACCATCAGGGTGATATAAAACACTGAAAAGCCAGAGTTTACGAGTCGAGCCACGTTCTTTCCCAACATTTGAAGTTGGTAGTCAGAATTCTCGAGATTGCATGAAAGCAGCAGCAGACCTTTTTTGGCCTATATTATTTTTTTGTTGATTTTACAGGTGAAATGCTTTTCTTTATAATCACATGCAGCCGTTAACGTTTGAACTTGGAAAAAAAAACAGATTTGACCAATTCTTCTGGTGGCAGCATATGAGAGTTACAGGTGGAAAGCATTTTTTATCCCTTACATATTTGTTTCACTGTATTTGGTATTTACAACTTATTTCACACTCAAAAAAGGCCAATGTATATAGTAAAATGATTAATGCCCAAAATACTGCTTATTTGCTTATACTGCTTTGAAGGGGTCCTTTTTTTTAAATAAAAACTATTAAAATGCATTTTTTTAGGACATTGCACTAATGTTATATACTTCTGAAAATTGAAAAGACAACATTCTCACATAACAAATATATCAGTGTTGTTAAAAACACAGACTGGTGACTGATAGCACCTCCAGGAAGATATCATGGAATTATGAACTGAATCGGACATTTGACACAAAGAAAGATCCATTATTCTTGAAGAGAATAAACAAAAAGCCTCACAGAGAAGCCATTCTCCAGCCTACCGTACGTCTCCTTCTCTTCAGCTCACTCCTGATTAGTTCAAGGGCAGATCTCAAAGACAAAAATGTGAAAATCCTTTAGGTTTGTGACCTTTGTGTTTTTCCTCTTCTCTTTCTAGACTGTGTCCCAAAAAACGCCAAGTGGACAGGACAAGTTTTTTCCATGCCTTTCTGTGATTGGCAGGGAGTAACCAGGAAGCAGCGATGTCATTGGCTGAGGCTGGATTCTGCTTGAGTCATCATGGTTTTTCCCCCTTTTTTAACACTTCCAGATGTTTGTCCAAGAGGAGCAGAGGCTTTTAACTCAAGCAAATGTCAAACTAAGCACTTTTTAGTTGCCGCTTCACGTCACAAAGTAAATGAAAAATGTCTTTTTGGGGCTGACACAATTAACTGGGCTATTTATTTCAATGACAAAAAAGCATTTTATGACAATTTGATGCCTCAAAAACATGTGAAAAAACAAAACATTGATATGCATGACCTAATTTACACCTGAATTATATTCTGGTGCAATTTAATTGGCATCTGCCCTCATATGGCGCAAATACCAGCCTGATGCATAGACTGCACATGGACAACAGTAAATCCCAAGGCTCAATAAAGCCCATTAAGGAAGTGCTCATGGACAAAGTTTTGCTCCAACTATATTCCTTCCTTCCTTCCTTCTCCAATCTTGCAGTGCTACTCATGTGAAAGCCTGCTGTAAAGTGCATACATGTGTGTGTGTAGTCGACACAAACTGGTTGCTTCCCTTCCGTCAGTCTGCCCCTGGCTATGGAACATATCATAGAATTAATTTATCACCACCTTGAATAGTTACTGAATAATGCCATGTGAAGCATCTTTGAGTGGCCTGATAAATCTTTACATGAAACCAACGTATAATTACAATCATCATTATCATCATTTTTATTATTATTGAGCCTGTATCAAATGTGCTCCAGAACTATAAATATTCAAAATGAATAAACATTTAAGGAAATAAAATCAGGGAAGGCTAATAATCTTAGATTGTCAGTCAAGCTGAGTAGGGAGTCAGTTTGCTGGGAGAAGTATGGTAACTTCCTCCTTCCTACTTTATCTGTCTGCATTGTTAGGATTTTGACTTCAGTCTGTTCATTGCTATTCACCTGTTGTCCCATTGTCTGTTTCATGGCGCGACGACGGGACCCCTGAACCCTCTCCACCTACACCTGCAGACTGCCCTGCCCGACCCGCCTGGGAGATGCTTCAGTCCTGCACCGGACCTGCCCACGTTCTGCGACCGCTGCGAGGCCTTGGTCCTCGTTCTGTAGCTTAGGTCCTGGGTACAGCCTGTCTGTCCGTGTGGAGCGGATCCCTCTCTCAAGGTGGGTCTCCCCGAGGTTTCTCACTTTTTTCCCCAATGGGTTTTAGAGTTATTCCTTGTCGATGCAAGAGGGTCTGTTGGACAGTTAGTGTCTAACAAGAAGAACTGTGGTGATGATCCAGGACATTTATCAACATTCATGGACATTGGTCTATCCCTATGGACCAAAACATATGTGTTCTATATTATTTTGTCTTAATTGTTGATTCTCTGATCTGTGTTGGTGATTTCAATGGTTTTGTTAAGTCCACTGAGATGACTGCTGTTGTGATTTAGGGCTATACAAGAATAAATTGTAGGGCTGGGCGATATGGCTGAAAACTATATCACAATATTATTAATTCATATCGGTCAATAACGATATATATTTATTGTTTTTTATTTATTTTTAAAAATGTAAATAAATAAATTTGTCGTGTCGGCTAACACATGTTAGCAGCCTTGTTTGCAGTCACGGGGGAATGAGGCTGGAGCCAAATGTTCACAAGCAGTCTCCCCCACTTTAGTCCTGGTTTAATCCTGGTTTAATCCTGGTTTAGCTCCTGTTTTGGCTGTTTGAGTGTCTTGTGTCCCTGTGGCGGCTCCGGAAAAAGGTAATCTCTTGCTTTTGGAGTCTCTGTACCCACTGCATGGAGTCTCTGTACCCACTGCCTCTCCCGCGCTGCACATGCTGTTCCTCGCACGGACCTGTTTAACCATTGACACGGCACTGAAACATGATCTTTAGATCCAGGGCTATTATAATAGATCCATGATCCATGCGGTTGTTTTTATGCTTTTCCCAGAAAGTTTTGCGGTTTGTAGTCGGCTGTGATAGGTCGAGAAGCCTTTGCCTACATCCCCCAGAATGCCATGCGCTTCTGACTCGGCTTTACTTCCTGTGTTTTGATCCTGTTTTTTTCCGAACAGACTGAAGTGAAACTATCGAAGTTCTATCGACCCCGTTTTCTATTGATATCGAACACGTGTCTATCGCAATATATATCGTTATCGTTTTATCGCCCAGCCCTAATAAATTGCATTGTGTATTGTATTGTATTGTAAATGAAGTAACACCTGACTCGCACTTGTCCTGGTGGAAGGCCTCCTCCTATTTGCTTACATGGAAATTCTGTTCTTTTGGCTGCAACCGTCACAATATGGCATTTATCGTTCACATTTCAACAGAAAATGATTAATAATAAGGTATAACTGTTTATGTCCATGGACTCATGTGTTATATGTAGGACTTGAGGAGTACTTTGTGTTTGTGGTTCGCCGCTCTCACATGTGACTTTTATGACGTGTTGCTGACTTGGTGCGAGATTTTTCAGTTTGCTTCAGTCCACACTTTTGAGGGACTGCTTTGCACTGTCGTCAAAAGATGGAACGCAAATCCTGTTTAAATCTTTTTGAAGCTGTTGAGAATTGTAAGGAAATAAAATCATGAATACGCTGGTGATATAATGTTTGTGGAAAGTGTTAATCATAGTTAGTGTTCAGACATTATTCTCCTCGTTTTGAGTTCTTTTTCTTGAACTCTTCCTGAACTCCGGCTTCAGCTCTATCCTGCACAGATATACTGCTCCAATCTCCAGCATTTGACAAGTTCAAACGGGTGCAGCGTGAGGCACTAGAGAAAGACTGGGTGTGTTTCATATCCACATTTGGACTGTGTCAGCAAATACTGACAAACCACAAGGAGGGTTAATCCCGCTAGAACAAAAGCAAAAACACAGAAAGCAAAATCATGTAATTGTTTTTTTTTTTTTTTTGTGATCAAATTTTTATTGGGTTGTGCGGGTTATAAGTTTTACATAACAATTTCATATGCAGCACAGATTTTTTTTAATATTTTTTCCCCCCCTCACCCTTTGTGTTAATGGGTCTTTTAGTATGAGCAGAAATGCACAATACATGTTCATGTGAATTTTAAGGAAATAAAGATACAATAAAACAATACCACACTTAGATACTACACACTCACACACTCACTCACACCCCCATGTCCCACCCCTACTGTCCAGGCATGGTAACAAAAAATAAAAAGCAAAAGGCAAAAAGCAAACAAACACAGGTATTGGTAGTCAAGAGTGATAGACAGAACAAACATATTTGCTAATTTCCTCCGTCAGTGACATCTACAGAAATAGCTTTGGATACATATAGTTATGTAACATTTACACTGTATTTGGAATACATATCGTTATGTACTGTACATTCATAGTTATTACGTACAATCAAAGCATTTGCAATCAAGTTTCACACAGTAGCTGCATTTTATGTAACAGATTTGACCAACATGAGATATTTTCGCTTTTGGCGCCGTGGATCCGGGCTGCTGAAAGCTCCATCTGGACAATGTCTTTAAATGATGAGAGCCATTGCTCCACACTCAGGGTTTGTCTAAGTTTCCATCGACATGCTATCATCTTTTTAGCAGCTGTGAGACCAGCTAGAATTTGGCGGCGTTCATTAATATTTAATTTAAGATTGGAAGTCTCATTCAGTAAGAGTAACCTCTGAGTGTAGGGCAATTCTCTTTCCATTAGGTTTGACAGAGCACCAGCAACATTTTCCCAAAAACAGTGAACCTGGGGGCACTCCCAT